TGATGGTGAGGATGTTGATGGTGAGGATGTTGATGGTGAGGATGTTGATGGTGAGGATGTTGATGGTGAGGATGTTGATGGTGAGAAGGAATGTGTTGGTGATGATAATGGGGGTGGCCATGATAATCCTGTCGTCGTTGCCGCTGCTGATGGCGCAGCCGCCCCCAAAGAGGAGGCATCCCCAGCGTCTAGGTCGTCGACAACCGGGCTCAATGGCGGGGCTGGTGGTGTTCTGGTCAACGACGGCCGGGTTTCTGCTGGAGGCGGTCCTCCTCTTGTCCACGACCCGAGTTCAAGAGAGGAACTCGACGACTCGATAGATCCGGTAGGAGCGCGCGTGTCGGTGGTAAGGGTCCCGCTGGTGCCGAACACACTGGGGTCACCATATTCCTTTCCGGTTGACGCAGAAGAAGGCGCCAGGTTCACCTGGATCGTTGTCCTTAGCATGCCAGAGCCGACAGACGGAGGTCCTGGCCCTGGTGAAGTCTCTTCTCCCCCCAGAGTACTCCCTGTTGGATCCCCCGAAGCGCTGACAAGACTTGCTACCGTTGCTGTTGACTGTGGATTGACACCGCCAGGGGCACTCTGAACTGTATTAGCGGTGCCATCCTGACGCTTAAGTCGACCACCTGCTGCTGCCAGTCAGCGCCAAGCACCTTCGACGGAGAAAAATCTAGCGGATTGCTGGCTGACCTCCGAGGACGCTGTCGAAACCGAGAGCGGAGAGCACTGCGAAGGAAAGCAGCACTTGTGTGGCCCCGACCATGCTGTCCTGGTCCGGGACAACTTTTCTTGGAGCTTGCGCTGCGCCGCCGTCGTGGCAGAGGTGAGGTCCAGATACGACCGCGTTACACTTCGTCCGAGCATCTGAGCCGCCGGGAGCCCGAAATGTTAGCACCAGAACCTCCTCACCATGGCGCCGAACGGTGGCATCACTGGGGCTTCTTCCTCTGGAAGTCTCCGGGGGAAAGCGCAGAGAAGAAATGCGTTTGTGTCGACAAGACAACCTGTGCAAAGCAGTGCGCTGTGCCGGGAATTGGACGGGGGATCCCGTTCGAAGATCGGTCGACAATCCGAGACAAACTGGACAGCAGGGGGGCTGCTAGCCACCGCGCATCAGAATAATAATTTGTCGCTAGCAGGCCCGTCCGCGAGGACGGAGCAGCATTTACAGGGCAATATGCGCGCTGGGTTGAGCCTAATAGCGCGCTGTGGGACGTTTCATTTACCGTGTGGAACAGTTTATGTTGGCTGCCGAGCCACGAGGACAGCAACCTCCTGGAGGGAGACGAACAAGGGCCGATGATGAGCAAGGGTTTGGTGTGAAGATCTGTCATGCGCAGCCATTATCCCTGCCAAGCCAGCCTGTTCGAGGGGACGGGACCTGCAAGGTAACGGGCCACAAAGTCGAATTGGGCCGTAGCTTGGCCGGCAAGACACACCAGCTACCGGCCCTTCCAGACGATGGCTCCCACATTTTCCATGAAGATCGCGACTGCGCGCCCGAAAACCTATCGAGTACGGAGTACGGATAGAGCTTGAAGAGACAATTGATGAGGGCTTCTTCGGTGCGGCGCTGGCGTGGATGATAGCGCTTCATGCACCGGCTCAAGCAGGTGCGCATCCAGCCTCAGGTCGCCGACTCGTTTATGTATGTACTGTACTCCGCAGTACTCGGGAGTCTTGGGTTCAATGCAACAGAACGACTGATGGAAGACTGCCGAAGGGCCACTGAAAAAGTTGGTCCTCCGCTCTCATGGGTCTTGGCAATCGCCTGGGGCCCAACTGTCCTCTCTTCAGCCGTTCCCGGTGTCAGGCCGTAGGCGAGGCTTGTGATCTTGCTGTGTTGCTCTGGACGGCAACCTGAAGAGGCAGTCGGTCGGTAACAGCAATGACTGTACTGCATTGTACACTACAACTTGGATATGTCCATGCCAGTCCAGAGGTCCCCGACGCACCGTCTGCGAGCAACGCAACCCCTCGCTTCTCTCGAGTGCCGCCACCGATCGACGCGATGATTGACAGCGGGAGAGCGAGCAGGGGCAAGCCGCGGCCTTCTCGGCAATTGGCGACTTTACGAAGGGGGCTGGAGCTGCCGGCAAGCCGACAGGTGGAAATCGGTTTTGCATCTTGATCTGGCCACGAACGGTTGGGGTGCGCTGGGATTCGTGGCGTCAGCCGGCAGAGGCTTGGTTGTTTCCAACTGACTGATATGAGCCAGGGTTTGCACGACCAACGTTGGCAACTCGAACACACGCCCCGATAGCCATTCCTAGACCCAATTCACTGCTCGTCTCTCTCGACATTTCTGTCTGCAACGGCACGAGGGAGAGACGACTGTGCTGGAATGTCAGGCGCGCTCTTGTGTCTTGTGAGCCTCGTCCGGTCGGTGTAGTTGAAAATTCCGGGCAGTGTGTTTCGGAAAGACCGCTGATGAAGCACTCCGTACACAAGAGCCATGGTACATTCCAGCCCCAAGAAATGTGTAGGTGCACAACACCGCCAAGCAGCCAATGGCGGGGCAGACCAAGCGAGCAACGGGCAAATGTTCAGACCTTATTTGCTTTCGGAACAGCTAATGGCCGAATATAAAGTGAAGTCGAAGCCGTTGTCGCCAACTCTCAACCAGGAACCACGAGTGTATAATGGTTGGCTGAAAGTTGTAGATGCGTACACCTGCCCCCTTGTTGTCCACATCTGAGTCAGTCTGAGGTACCGTACGGCGCGTCGTCATTGACTGACCCGCAACGTCTTCCCGATTGAGACTCGGCCCATGCCAACCGCAGGTAGGACAAAAGTTCGACCGGGCTTCTGCTTGCGGATAACTTCGTCTGACGATCATCAGCGTTGCTCCGGTTCAAGCAGCCATAGCTGTAACAAAGAGATGCGCCTGATTGGAACGGAAATCTCAACGCTCGTCAGGGAGGACCAGAGGAGCCATTCGTTCAATCGCTGAAGAATGCGGCCACGAGCTCCGCAAAGGAGGGCGTTCATAACACGCCTTCCAGTGGTTGTCTTGTGTCGACGGAACTGAAGAAGTGGGATACCGTGAGGGCTTGATTTCGTGTACCGGCAAAATGGGTGGCACGGGATTTTAGCCAGAGTGGCCTCGCCCTCTCAGTGGTGAAATATATTACCTCTGCCGTGTCCGACGCACCCGTTATGCCTTTTCAGGCCATATCTCGTCCACAGTATCGCCAGCCGGAATGCTGACTGCTTGGAAGAATGAGGACTTCACGGCGGTCGATATTTGGTCAATATATGTGCGTCGCCAGCAGACGATCGTGAGCCGAAGGTCCGCCTCTGGGAACTTCTTGCTGTTGGCAATTAGAAACCGAGGGAGCTTCAGGATGTTTCGGTCGTCTGTCGATCGGCCTGGACGAACTCCGCAAACTCTTTGACGGGCCTTTCTGGTTGAAAGTTGACAATACGCAGTCGGAAGCCTACGGGGCTGCTGAAGAGGTGATTCGTTTCACAACGTCCTTGGTATCGATGGCGAGTGCAGGGGAGTTCCCACCCGTGGCCAAGACGTCCCTCCCTTCCCCCCCCTTCCCTTCGGTTTCACTGTCACCGAGACCCTCTCCCCGGCATTTGCGGTACCAAGCAGACGGCATGCCAGTTCCAAGCGAGGTTCCCCGCAATGTCGCTTTGCTCGTGAGATACGCGGCGCCCAGCGATGTCTTGCCGTGGTGGGAGTGACGGAGCGAATTGAGGCTTCCCGACGTCAAAACCCGGGACTTTACGAGGAGAGAAGATTCCACAGCCATGAGTCTCGACGACGTTGAAAGGCTTGGCTCACCACTGGATCTAAGGTGGCCTTCCTCGGGTATCGTTCGGAGCCGGGCGCAGGCTAATCGAGCGATAACTACTCCCGTCTGTACCCATCAGAAGTGCCCCAGAACGTTAGTGCCGGGAATCGAGCAGCCACCGGAGCTAGCCGCATCGATGCGCCACGTGCTGGAGACGGCCATCGTTGGTACTGGTCCTCGAGTGTGTCCCGGTTCTTGAGCAAGTTGAGGTGCGGAGAGGTTCGTGTTGTATAACGGCAGGTCCGGTGTAGCGCTGAGGTGAGCATTGTACGAGCTGTTGTGTTTTGCATGGCGTCGCGTTCGCGCTTGATTCATTTGTGTTGCAATCTACGGACGGCTTTCCCACCACAAAACGTGCCGAGAACGCGGGGTGGGCTTCGGAGGCCCGGCACACCTTCCTTGGATGTCACTGTGCCGTCGTTCTCCAAGCATGACTTTCCATTGCCATCTTCTTTGGGTGGACGGAGAAACAGAGCTCGGGCACTTCCATCTCATCAGGACAATCGGGTGGTTGTGGCTTTCTCACTTTCCCGGGCGGAGACTTTAGCCAGCATCCCTCGCCCCCTGTCCTGCACCAAGGGACGGCCCCTGCTCCCTTGACTTGGGGAAGGAGTGGGGATGAACCGGTCCAGTCGTGGCTGGATTCCCATGATGAACTTGAAGCTTTTTGCTGGGCTGTAACGTGAGGCAGTGGAGTGGAAGGTGCCATCGCATTATCGCAGAGGCTCGAGAGCTTCCCGAAGTCGAAACTTCCATGTTCGCTGTTGCTGGCTGGCCTGATGAATGCGTGTTTCCATTTTTTACGCCCTGAGACTTGAACAGTCACATGGCATGCCGAAACCCGACCCTGACGCCCGGTCAGAGGCTCATCGAGAAATCTCCTTCCGACCTTCAAACCCTTGAACCGGACACTCTCCGACCTCGAAGCCATTGAGCCTCGCTCCCTTCGATCCCTGGCCCGCCAATGCCGTGCACCTGCCGATCTTTCCTTCTTGAGCAGGCCCCTCAGCAGATCCATCCAGAAGCAAGACAATCCATCCAATCTTATCCCAATCCATCCCAGAGGGTTTCGTTCTGATTCCCGACTGGTATTTTCCGCCGTTGCATTCTTCGTCCCACGAGACGCCGCACCCGCGTGCCTGGAGTCTCTCCCGCATCATCACCGCTCCCTTCCGGATCCCTCGCTCGTGTGTAGGAAGGTCGTTGCACCTTACACTCACGGTGTAGTCAGTCTCTCAACCTACACCTTCTACCCTACTTTTCTGTAGCACACATTCTCTTCTGTTGCGTCATTGCTGGCTTTCTGCTGGCCGGCATGGAATGAGAGAAGAGCTGGGCTCGATCTACCACGATCCGCCCTCACCTGCCGTACGCCCGACCACATCTTACATGCCGACCTCTCGCCGTGGCGACACTGCTCCCGTCACTTATCGTTAACACGCGCTGCAGCTCATGGCACACCGATACGGCCTCGCAACCGTCCTAGGACCCGTCCCCCTCTCGTGACAAACGGCCGTTGATCGCGCGCACTCCGGCCCTGGGTGCTGCAACAATGCGGTTACCCTGGCTCGGGGCCGCTGTCGTTCGTGACGTCCTGCTGCTGTTCTCCGCGTCGCAAGCTGTGGTTGTCCAAGCCGCGACCGAATCCTCAAGTCCCGGTCCTCTCTGGATTCAACCGTCTGGCGAGTGGTGCGTCCGCCGAGTCTCATATCCTTCGCTCGCCATCTTGCTGTGCTTCCGCTGACCCGTACGGCAGGTATGGCATCGACGGGACCTGGTCCAACTTCGCCTTCTACGTTGGTTCCCCCGCCCAGGTAGTGTATTTGACAGCCGCCACCACGTTGTCCGAGATATGGGTTGTCTCGACAGGCGGCTGCGTCCCAGGTCAGTGGTTGCTTCGAAGAGCTAATTGTTTTGTGCGCCGGCGTGTTGACTTGGACCAAGTTCAACTGTGCATTGATGCTCGCGGCGGCGTCTTCGACTTCTCGGCGTCCGAAACATGGCGTCCTCTGGGAAGCTGGCAGCTGGGCATGAACAACACAGGCATGGGGGGGAACGGCGACTATGGGCTGGAGACTTTTGCGTTCGTCAACACAGTGGCGCGACACACAACTGCCATTGAGGGTGCTCTGGTGGCCGCGATAAACGACACCAACCACTACCAGGGATATGTCGGCTTAGGGGTGACGCAAGGCAGGTTTGGAACGAATCTTACCAATCCCTTCATCTCGCAGTTGGCCCAATCCTACGGCACGATACCAAGCCACGGCTATGGATATACCGCGGGCGCTTATTACCGCAAAGGTACGTTGCCGCTACTTCCTGGCATCATGGACCTGATTTGGTTTTGCTGACGCAGTCCCAGACGGAGAGAGTAGCGGCACTGTGGCATCTCTGACCCTCGGAGGCTACGATACCCTCCGATTTGAACCCCATGGCACTACGTTTTCGCTTGACCCGGTAACGCGGCTGCCTACTGTGCGAGTGCGAGGAATAACCGCCCAGGTTTCGACGATGGAGCAGGCCCCTACCAAGAACTGGACATCGACCGCACACCCTCTTGTGAAGATGGACGATTCAATTATTGCCGTCATCGACTCATCGACACCATATCTCTGGCTGCCCACAGAGGTGTGCGAACGCTTCGGTGCTGCTTTGAACTTGACGTGGAGGGAAGATCTAGGTGTCTATGTCTTCTCTGATGGCGCCCAGTATACGAACTACATGTCCGACACTGCACTAACCTTCACCTTCACCCTCTCCAGCTACCAGAATGCTGACAACTTTGGTGAGCCGCTCAACACACCTGGAGTTGTCAACATCACCCTCCCATCCGCCGCCTTTGCGCAGCTACTGCGCTATCCCTTCAAGAATGTTATCCAGTGGGGCAACTCTAGCGTTCCATATTTTCCCCTGAAGCGGTCAACCAAGGAAGTGAACAACAACCAGTACATCATTGGGCGCGCGTTCATGCAGGAGGCATACATCGTTACCAGTTACGACAGGGGCCATTACTCACTCCATCAGGCCCGTTTCCCCAGCAATGCCGCGACCAACTACTCGCTCGAGGCCATCACAAGGCCGGACGATAGCCCGTATCCCAAATTTGAGGACGAGCCTGTTCCCAGCCAGGGGCTAAGTGGCGGCCAGATTGCAGGCATCGTTTTGAGCATCTTCATATCGGGCAGCATTCTCGCTCTGTTTCTGTGGTTCTGCATCATCCGCAAGCGGAGGGACAAAGAGAAGGAATCTCCTAGTCAAGAGGAAGAAAATAAAGAGGGCCCTCCAATTGTCGAACAAGAGGAGGAACCTACGAGCCCGGTCAAGCGGATGTTTACCAGAATCATTAGGAAGAAGCGGTCGAGGAAACCGACGGCGCACGAAACAGATGGGAGGATTACACAGCCGGTCGAGGTTGGGGCCGACGCTCAACATCAACTCTTCGAAATGCCGGTGCCACCTGAGCCGGTCGAGCTGGATAGTCACGACATCGGAGAAGATGATGAGACTGAGTTCGGGTTTGACAACACCCAGCCATTGAGTCAGTACGAGATTACGAGGCGGAAACTGGAACGGCAGCTGCAGGGGCCCGTCCCGACATACACCCCAACAGCATCCATTCCATCTGATTTGGGGTCTGGGAAGTCGATGCAAGACACGAGCCCAATGGCTCATTACCGGCCATCCGACGAACCGTCGCCAGCGTCGTCGCCGACGTACGCCAACAGCAACTCGCTTGCCGGGTCGCTCCCTTCTCCGCTGACTCCGCACGGCGACTGGACGAGTCGTGGGGTTGACCTCCCATCACCACTGACAGTTGCGCTCCCACCACATTTCCTGACTGCCCGCTCGAATGGATCCGATCCGAACTACTCGCCCGTATCTCCGCACTCTCCACATTCACCACACACATACGCCCCGTCGCCGGTTACCCGCTCGGGCTCCAACGCATCCCCTACTACTCCGACCTCTGTACAGCTGCCTTCCCCGACATTCCAGCGAACGCCCATCGACCCATCACGAGTGGTATGCTTGGGGCCGTTGCCAGAGAATGTCCAGCTTCCGCGTCCACGACGATCTATACCGCGAATCGTAACCCCAAGTTCTCCGCCGGCCGAATCGGGGCCAGACGATTTGCGCCTAGAAGATTTACCGCTCCCTCAAGCCCTGGGCCATCATCGGTCGCACACCCAGGCCTCGACCGATACGCTCGGGAGCAACTTCACCGTCGACGAAGATGATCACCCCAGACCAGACGACATGACGACACAGCAGCTCATGAGGCCCGAACACGACCGACAGGGCCATGACCATGATATACCCCGCAGCCCTCGCAGCATGGAGCGGATTGAGGAGGGCTCGGAGCTCATCCACGTGCCGCAAGTTGCTGAAAAGCGGTATAGCTGGGAGGATCAAAGCGGGACCATTAACTAACCGTTCTGGACGCCGTCGCCCCAGCTTGTCAAGGGTTATCCGCTTTCATTATCATGTTTCATCTCATGGCATGTGCTTGGCTTTTATTTAAGTTTTTTATGGGATGCAGGGATTATACCACTACCATGACTGGCTTTTCTTCTTTGGTTTCCAAATTCGATGACAGCGAGGAGTTTGGGCGTTGATTTACTTGCGCGAAAAATACGGAAACGGCCGGATGCTGGTTCTTCTGGCGTTGGGATCTATCGTGGTGTGTTCCTTTTTTGTGGCGGCGTAAGAAAGGCCAAGGGGGGGGGCGGGCATCTATCCTCTGCTGGGGGAGGTTGTGCTTGGGATTTATCTTGTTGGACCTTGATTAGCAGCATTTGTGTGCCGCTAGTAGGCGGCTTCAACGATGGGGAGTTGGGGATTGTAAAGGGAAGCCTTTTGTGAGCCGATGTTGCTCTGACCTGGACTGTGTGGAATGGTGATGTTGAATCAGGTAGCTGGGTAGCTGAGCTTGTGGAGAGTAGAAGAATCAGACAAGATTTTTCGCTCAGATCTGTGGGCTTCAAGTGGCTTGGGAATGTGTTTTGCCCCTTGCCGTTACCAAGCCTTGAGAGATCTATCAGTCGGTGACCTGGGGAATCCGAAATGACCCGATGGTCGGGGCGGCACGTCTTCCAACCGCGCGTCCATGCTAACATGGTCATGGGTAGAAGACGAGAGGATTTGGAGAGGGATTCGAACCAGAATACGCGGTCTCCGGATGTCTTGTACGTAGGCACCCAAGGCCGCTCGCTCACCGGCCATCATGGCCCTTAGACTCTACTTAACTGGGTCTATACGAGCTCAAGTTATGGGTAAACGTGGAATATAGACACACGAAGATTGACATTACATCCCCGTTGTGAGCTCTCACTGTTGAAGATACGAGAAGTAAATGCTATAACCGCAGTTTAATGTATTCTCCCATATAATCTATCCGCCTGACCATCCCGCATCCCATGCATGCACACAAGCAGGTTCCGAAAGCCAACCACCTCCAATGCATCTCCGCAGAAATGTCCAAGTTCCACAGTCCCAGGGAGAAGAACTAAACGGCCCTCTCAGCCGCAGTTCAGTCTTTGGCATTCTCAGCCGGAAAACAGGAAATCCATTCCCTCATATTCTCCATAAGCAATAAGTCCGGCTCCTGCCTTGACAACTTGACCCCTCGATCTCCAGTCCTCGCCATCTCTCGCCAGCCGTCTTCTCTCTCTCTCTCTCTCTCTCTCTACCACGTCTCCTGCCAAAACGTGAGGTTCGCCGGGTTGGCAAACCACTTCTCGGCCTCCTCCTTGTCGTCGACCACGCCGCTGATGACCAGCGCATCCAAGAAGGCATTGCGCACCGAGATGGGCATCCGGCCGGCGTTGCCGCACACGCAGACGATGGGGTTGCGGCGCATGAGAGCGCCGACCTCGTCGGCGTGCTTGCGGATGAGGTGCTGGACGTAGTTCTTGCGGGCGTCGTACTGGACCGTGTCCTTGGCGCCGTAGACGAGCTCGAGCGACTGGGCGAGCGTGTCCGAGGGCGCGGGCGAGGTAGCCGTCGTGGCCGGGTCCGGCTCGATCCTGTCGCGGGAGAAGGCGGCGTGGACCTTGAGGTTGGGATACGTGGGCCACTCGCTGGCGAAATGGAAGTCGGCGGCGCGGTTGCGGCAGCCGAAGAAGAGGAGGGTGTCGCCCGCTACTCGACGATACGAGTCTCGATCCTCCATCAGGGCGCGGATCGGGGCGATGCCGGTGCCGGTTGCGACGGCGATCATGGGCCGCTTCGCCGCGGGCAGGTCCCCGACCAGACGCGGCCCGCTTGCTGGCTTCAGCTGAACGGTCAGCCGCGTGCCGACAGGGAGGTGCTTGAGGTAGCGGGAGCAGAGGCCCTGGCGAGGCTTGCGAATTATGGTCTTGTACTCAACGAGAGCGACCAGGAGCTCGACACTCAGCACGTGCCTCAAGTCAGCCCGTCTGAGGCTTAAGCCTCCGTTGCAAACGCTGTATTCGCGGCCGCGGATGATGGGAAACAGATCGAGGACTCTGTTGTACGGTATCTTTACGCCGGGGAAGTCGCGCAGCAGTTCGAGGATGGTCCGTCGGGGCCGGCACGTATAGTCGTAGAACTCCTGCTCGTTCCCAACTTGGGTGAGCTCGCGGAGCCGTTCCTGCTCCCTCTCGTCTCGAGTGAAATGGACCAAATCCTTGATGAAATTGCGCTTGGGCACTGCGGTAAAATCCAGGTTGTGAGTCAGGAGCTGTCGCAGGGTCGCGGTCCGCTGGTTGTCAACATAGAGGCCCCTAGGGGCACTCTTAAGCTGGAGTGGTGTATCTGCGTGTGCTCCCCAGCCCATCTGGTCGATCAGCTCCTGGACGTCTTCTGGGTAGTTCTTGGGCCAGAGGACAACAGTAAGCTGGCCGCTGTGTTCGAGGGCCTCTTTGATTAGCTTATCGCCGATGTAGACATGCAGGCGAAGGTGGCGGACATCCTGCCAGTGACCTGCGGGCGTCACCCGATCATGGCGCACCAGTTGGGCATTATGCGCGTCCGGTATTGGGAGCAGATCGTCGGGCGGAGATTCTAATACGCGGGCGGGCTGCTGTTGGAGGAGATACTTCTCTGGATAGTCTTTCAGGATGTTGTCTCTGTCTAGTATGTCGTAGCGCCGCGGCTCCTCTCGCTCGAAGGCCGCGTCTCGCCGGGCGATGTCGGCCGGGAAGGAGGCCTGGTGTCGTATCGAATGTTCATACGCCCGGTCCTCCTGAGTCACGGAACGGTCAACGTGGGAGCGAGCGGCACTCTTGGTCTTTAAGGCAAGGAATCTGCTCTCGTCGACGTCATCCTGAGACCGCGCCATAGTCCTAGCCTTGGGTCGAGTGGGGAGCACAAATTCCATAGCCGGGGCCAGCTCGAGGGAGTATTTAGGAGGGAGCAGGACGTCGTCGGGGACGGGGTTCAGAGATTCTGGGAGCGGATAGTCGGCGAGTAATGTTGCCTTGAGCTCCTGATACCACGGGAGGTAGATGCTGTCGATGCTATGTTTGAGGTGAAAATGTCAGTTATTCGCTTGCTCTTGGTTCTTCCAGGTAAAACCGTTTGTTATATTAAGAAGACTGAGAATTTCAAAGGCCGCTTACCCGTTGTCGTGCCGCTCATCTCCTTCCCCGGGCCTAAAGAACTCGGTCGCGCCAAGTTGAAGGAGCCGCGCTCGCAGTTTCCTCCCTGCCCAGTTGAATCTGTGCAGATAACTTTGTCAGCACTGGAAGAAAAGAAAAAGGGCCGAACGCACTGATCAGTGCCAGTGACCTAGGTCCTGCGGCGACTCAACAGCATCGGTTCAGGTGGCAGATGACGTGTGGTACGCACTTTTGATATGAACTGTCGCCCAGCCCAAAGATGGCAAATCGCAGCGATCTGAGGCAGTTCGTATTGTTGAGTTTCTCACGCCTGAGGTTTTTCCAGAACTTCAGAGTGTTCCTTGGCATCTCGCCCTGGCCGGTTGTTGATGTGACAAAGATGACGAGAGAAGCACGCAACACATCTGCCTATTGATGGGAACGGTTAGACTCTCTCGCCAAAGCGGCACACAGACTCGAGTGCAAAAATGAACGCACCAGCTTGAAGCTATCCATCTCATCCACAGTAGTCTGGAAGTGGAATCGCTCGGCAATCCTGCCCAGCTCGACGGCAATGTCCTCGGCGTTTCCAGTCTCACTCCCGTACAGCACGGCCAAGCTCCGGCCCTCAACTACAGCGGGTTGGACCACTCCCCCGGGCTCGCCCTGGTCGACCATGTTCGTAATACCTTCAAACAAACAAGAACCTCGACTCCTCAAACGCACCAACCTACCGAGGCCTGCTCGGCTTTCTTGGCTCCTAGGGCAAACGGTTGTCTGCTGGTTTCGTGCCAGCTGAGGTTTGATGTGGCCAAGTGTGAATCTCAAGTCACGAAGGAGAATCGGGTCCTTGAAGAGCTACTTGGTCCGTAGCGGTGAGGCGGCTATGAGTGTCCTTATGAGAGGTCGGTTCGTGCTTGTGCAAATGTCCGTGTGATCATTGACGAGTCCAGAGCAAAGTCCAATTCTGTCGCTCCGAGGTGGCAAAGTTGGGACAGTTCAGGGGGTCCTGCTCCTCTTTACCTGCGCAATGATCACAGTCAAAGCGTAGCAAAGCACGGTGAAAAGTTGTGCTGGTATCTTGCAGTTGACCAAGTCTCGTCGAGAGGCCGAAACGCTGTCGTTGAGTTATTGATCCAACAATCTTATCGGGTCTGATTGTACCTGATCGTGGGGTCATTCTCGAAGCCCCGACACCGGCCTCATTCGGAGGCCAGACTACTACTAACTTAGAGGCGGGCCCCTTAATCCTTACTCAGAGAACTCTGGAGGATTGAGCCAGTAAATGAAGCGAAGCGCTCCTTCCTCACTTTCATATGTAAAACAGTGCCAATTCGTCTTTGAAGCTTTGCTTCAATAAGGCAGTTGCCATTTGTACAACTGACACAATCTATTGCACCGGTATTACACTTGATTTAGAAACCACCTGTACCTGTAACTAAGAGTTGACTTGGCGGGTCTAGTATAAGGTATCTTGCAGACCTTACCTTACATCGCCAAGTCCTGTACGGTACTGTAAGACAGAAGCAGCCAACATTATGCCCCGCCGCAAGGGTCACATGCTCCACTGCCGATGCGAGGTTGGTCTGGAGCTGCTGAGGTGTAACTAATGTCGACATAGCCTTCGAGGTTTGTGCGGATACCGCGGAGTAGGTACCTCTCCCGAGTGCGGAAGAAAATGGTGTTGCCCTGGCCGGAGTCGACCTTCAGTCTCCATCGATGCCGCGGGAAAAATACTTAGCTTGCATCTCAGTTACCTTGATGCTTATTTGCTTAGACCGACTAATCCAGTCTTTCCCCCTTAGAAGTAGTGGTTGAGAATCGCCTCGAATGGAACCGTACCTTATGGAAGAAGTGTCTGGGCTCCAAGTTGCCCCACTGACAGGGCGAACCCCAGGTCATCCAGCCCTACGAGGGGCACAGATATGGCGGTGGAAGTCTGCATTGCTTCAGCCAAAATGGATCGGATGCTGACGACTTTGAAATCCTGGAAGCGTTTGCAAGTGTTTAAAGTTGTGGCACTTCTTGTGACGGTAATACCATTCTCCCAGTTCAGACTTCAGGTACTCGAGTGAAGCTTGCCAAACTGTGATGTCGTGGTGATGCCCTTGATGTCTCCTCTTCAGACAAGGCACATTAGCAAAAGGAAAGAGCTTGTGCCATTTCCTAGTGCCAGAGAGAAACCTGGAAGTTTCGTACATGCCACACATCGTGTGACACCAACTGGTTTGCCCAAATATGTGGTTGGGTTGTCAGAGACCAGAGACTGGGACAGATCTGCCGAAGCCAACAGACAGCTCGCAGCGGTAAACGACATCTTGACAGGCTTCCACAATACATGTGGCGCTCTCTTGGTGAGAGCACAATGGGATTGAAATGCCAGTTCAAAAGCCAACAATAACATCGTCACAAGTACATATCAAGCAAACTGGATCCAAGGATCCAATCTTCTCGCCGTTCCTCAACAACATTACATACACACCACTGGCAACTTGCAACGAACCAGCTAGCTCGGCAAGTGCATGCCCGGATTCTGACCTCACATCTCCGTCGTTATCAAGCACAGACCCGCCCGCATTCACCTGCTGCTAGGTCAGTCTGTCCTCAAGCTGAAGAAACTCTCCGTCAAGGTAAGTGCTAAGAGACGTCACCTCCAAACCCCATGCCTTAGGTTCCTACCTCGTTCAATTTTGAGAAATTGAGGTTGCAGAAGTCTGCAGTCGCACACCGACTCATGACACACCTCATTGGCAAACACCTATCCTCTTATACTGCCCTGCCCCACCTGACCCCAAGGTTTTGGTACGTACCGTTCGCCTGCCGCCAGTGCGCCACGCCTTCCCTCTTCGCCTATTTCCCGAAAATATTTGAACTATCTGGCCGAGCCGCCTTCGCCTCTTTTCCCCTTCTTCCTCTCAACGTCAATCATCAAGGATCGATCAAAAGCTCCCCATCCTTCAAGCAAATTTTCAACGTTTCTAGGGCACCAAGCGACCCTTTCAAACTCCCCCTCACACCAGAGTTCAATCACACTCGTCCGTTCCCCGCGTCGAGTCAACAAGCCGCACGTCACCCGACAATTTAACTTGTGGACTGACTCCATTCCCCCAAGTTTATCACCGACATCCATATCAAACAATCATGTCTACCGCCGTGGAGAAAGTCGTCGATGCTGCTGCCTCTGCAGTCCATGACGTTACCAACGCTCTGGCCAATACCTCAATCTCTGGCAAGGCCGCCGACGACAAGTCGGCCTCGAACGACGCCGTCCTTGCCAGCGCTGCCGAGGGTCGCCGCTTGTACATCGGCAACCTGGCTTATGCGACAACCGAGGGGGAGTTGAAGGACTTCTTCAAGGGATACCTTGTGTAAGTGCTCGCACTTTCTGGCACCTTTCATGACCTGCCCCTTTGAACCACCTGTCATCACGCACCCGTACATGCTTTCACCGCCAGTTGTTTTTGTGGCCCAGAGTCACACTGCCGCAAATTGCCCTGTCCGATGCACGCTGAGTGTATCGCTCCACTGTGCCGAATTCTCAAGACCACCCATCATGAATGATTTTCCGCCATCAATACAGCTTCAGAATCCACCGCGCACTCTTTTCACCGTTGCTAACAATTCATTCTTGGCTCCAGTGAGTCCGTCTCAATTCCCAAGAACCCACGCACCGACCGCCCTGTCGGGTACGCCTTTGTCGACCTCTCGACTCCCAGCGAGGCTGAGCGCGCCATTGCCGAGCTCTCTGGCAAGGAGATTTTGGAGCGCAAGGTTTCTGTCCAGCTTGCTCGACCCAATGAGAAGGCTGAAGGCGGCAACGCTGAGGGTGGTGAGGGTAACCGTCGCCGCCAGTCTACCCGTGGTTCGCGCGGTCGGGCTGGCCGTGGCCGTGGCGGGCGTGCCCGTAGCGGTCGTCGTGGCAGTGGTGTAAGTTATTCCAGCCTGTTGTCAGGAAGTTGACGCGTTGTGCGCATTTTACTGACGTGGGCACAGGACGAGAAGAAGGAGGAGGGCGCCCAGGCCGAGCAGACTGCCACCCCCGCAGCTCAGCCTGAGGCTCTGAAGGACGTCACCAATGAGGCGACTGGCGAGGATAAGAAAGAGGGCAAGGCCGGCAAGGGTCAGGCTCGTCCCCGGGAGCGTCGGGAGCGCGGTCCTCCGGCCGACGGTATCCCGTCCAAGACAAAGGTCATGGTTGCTAACCTCCCTTATGACCTGACCGAGGAGAAGGTTTGTGGATTTTCGTTCCTTCCTCGCGATGAGCAGCCGGATTTGCTAACACACACATCAGCTCAAGGAGCTGTTCAGCGCCTACCAGCCTTTGTCCGCCAAGATCGCCCTCCGCCCCATCCCGCGCTTCATGATCAAGAAGCTGCAGGCCCGCGGCGAACCCCGCAAGGGCCGTGGCTTCGGTTTCGTCACGCTGGCATCTGAGGAGCTGCAGCAGCAGGCTGTCGCCGAGATGAACGGCAAGGAAATCGAGGGTCGCGAGATCGCTGTAAAGGTTGCCATCGACAGCCCCGATAAGACAGATGATGATGTCCACGCCCCGGAGGTTGAGGCCACCAACGGCGCCGCGCAGACTGAGGCTGCCCCTGCCGCGGCCACTGCCTAGAGGAGGATGCTCTACGCTTGACGTGGCACACAAGCATACGTCAATGGAGATGCCAATGCACGCGCTTTTTCATTCGGCAACCTCCCCATTCGTATGCATTACTTTTGAGAGGCGCGTGCATCTCTCTCTTAACGACCGGAAATGGGGTGATGAACTTTCCTTCTTTTGCCAATGGCTAGACGGGATATTTTTATGAAATCGAGATTGAGCGGCGGGATACTCTTCCTGGCGTCTTGGGATTTTGCACGGGGCTATCAAAATGGGCTCACTGCGGGTAGAGTTTGGGGACAAAGGTTATCTATTTGATTTTGCGGTTTTCTGCAGAAAATATCCCCTAATATCCTCATGACCTACCTTATACTTTCTTTCGCATAGAGCTCAGAGACGACAAGGGCCTTATATTCGTTCATTTCCGCACCTTCAGGTGGTGTGCTTCACGTCTCTTCAAAGTCTACCGCCAGAGGCGGAAGTAGGAAAGCATCTGATCTCCACGACCTTAGATACGTGAACAGCTGCGCCTCAAGTGTTTTGTGAGATTGCTTCCAGATGGTCAGTCGGCTATGGTGTCGATATGTTTGTTGACGAAGCTCGCCAGCTGTTGACAGACTCTTGGAAACGGGAGGTTACAGATGGTTCCTGCAGGGTTGCGGCAGAGCCTTGGGCTCCACCTACACTGACTCTCCGATTGGCCCGACCCAGGCCAAGCACTTGTCTTGTCGCATAACGTTATCTGGACCGCCTCAGGATTCGACAACCAACAAGCACCACATAGGGGCTCCTGAATGCAAACGGACAAGAGAGAGGAGGGTATCGAGTCATGAGTCTGAGAGGATACTGAATACTGTGACAATTCGAGTCGGCAAACTCCTCAATTTCGAACTCTGAGCGGTCCGAAAGCATCGGGTGCAAAACCAGGACACCCGACAAACAACCCCATTCCAGCACTTCACCTCCTGGACGAGCACAACAGATATATCCTCCTCATCAGCTGTTTTACCCACAATGGCGTCCAAGGCCATGTGGGAGGTCGATCCTGAGACCAGATCCAAAGTATGCCCTTCCTCCCCCCCTTCCTCGCCCATTTCCCTCACCCCCAATCCGCGCCACACTCTCTGTTGATTCCAGACTGTTTGGTGCTAACCGACTATTCCCCCACTTGGGGGAGCGCTGTTTTTCAGCTCGTCGGGATTCAGGCCGAAGGTAAAAACAACCTGTGCTGCGACTGCGGCGCGCCGTCGCCACAGTGGGCCTCGCCCAAGTTCGGCGTCTTTATTTGCCTGTCGTGCGCCGGCGTCCACCGGGGCCTGGGCGTGCACATCTCGTTTGTGCGGTCCATCTCGATGGACGCGTTCAAGGCGGCCGAAATCGAGCGCATGCGGCTCGGTGGGAATGAGAATTGGCGACGGTTCTTTGAGGAGCATGAGGATACCAAGATGAGGGGGCTCAGCTGGGACGACGCGACGATTGCGGAGCGGTATGGCGGGGAGGTTGGGGAGGAGTGGAAGGAGCGGTTGAGTGCCAAGGTCGAGGGGAGGGAATATGTCCCTGGGGAGAAGAAAGGGGGCACGGCGGCGGGGAGGGAAGGAGGGAGTGCGAGTGCGAGTCCGGCGCCGAGTGCGGCGTCGGCGTCGGCCGTGCCGACGAGAAGTGGGCCTGGCGCGGGCACGCCGCTGGTGGGGAGTAGGAATGCCAGTCCCGGTCCGGGGAAGATCAAGGTGGATGTGGACTACTTTGCCAAACTGGGCGAGCGGAATGCGCAGCGGCCGGACGATCTGCCGCCGAGTCAAGGAGGGAAGTACAGCGGCTTTGGCAGCTCGGCGCCGCGGCCGCAGAGGGAAGAGCAAGGCCTGCCTGGGCTGGATGACCTGCAAAAGGATCCCGTGGCCGCGATTACCAAGGGGTTCGGCTGGTTCGCATCGACCGTCTCCAAGACGGCGAAGACGGTCAATGAGGGGTTCATTCAGCCAACAGCAAAGCAGGTACGTCCATATCGCGCGTTGACTATCCTCACTAGTGCTCGTCCTGCTGACGTTATTGCTTTAGATAGCCGAATCCGACCTTGCAGCCCAAGCCCGCCTCGCCGCCGCTCAAGCAGCTCGGTCGGCACAGGCTGGCGCCAAGTCGGCGCAGGAAGGGTTGAGCCGCTTCGTCGAGGGCCCATCTGGCAGCGGCTATAAGCCGGTTAACAGCGAAAATTTTGACGAGAGCAAGCGGTCCTTCTGGGACGAGTTCTCTGCCGCTGCCGATCAGAGGAAGAAGACGGGCAGCTCAATAGGCACGTCGGCCATGGGCAAGGGCGGGAGCAGGCAGGGTGGCTCGCACGGGCCAGCGGGAGGGAGTGCCAAGGAGGAGTGGGATGATTGGTGATGATAATGGGCGACGGCGACGGCAGACAGGTTTAGCAGTTGGAGTGGAGTTAGGCATTGCATAGTGCCGGGAGTTTGCAAGCCCTGGTGTAGCGAAACCGATTTCCGTTTATGCGCTCTCGAATCGCGGACATATAAACGCGATAGAGTGCGAATGTCATGTTGATAACTGTCACATGGGAATCTGGAAGCCAACTCAGGGTTAGGGTAAGGTTAGCGCAAATCTCGATTCAAAGCTGTTCGCTTGGCCGAGGGTGGCTCCGGCATTAGCCGGGCTCGGGCACTTTGACGGTCATTGAACCGCAACAGGTTGGCGCTCCTCTCCTCTCCTCGCAACCGGACATTAAACACAAGAACCTCGCCATGCCAGCACTACGGATATTGGTGCCCGTCAAGCGGGTAATTGACTATGCGGTAAGTGTGTCAGGCAGACGGACCCGGGCGAGCCGCTCGATTCGCATGATTTCTGCACCGTCCGAAGACGAGATGCAGATTGCTAGACGCTACCATTGCTGACATGGTACCTGACACAGGTCAAGCCGCGCGTCAATAAGGCGCAGACGGGCGTCGAGACGGCCGGCGTCAAGCACAGCATGAACCCCTTCGACGAGCTGTCCGTCGAGGAGAGCGTGCGCATCCGCGAGAAGAACAGGGCTCCCGGCGGCGTCGAAGACATTTGTGTCCTCAGTGCAGGCCCCAAGAAGGCCGAGGACATTCTCCGCACTGCCATGTCCATGGGCGCCGACCGGGGAATCCACGTCGATGTGAAGGAGGGAGAGGACCTGGAGCCCCTGACAGTAGCCAAGCTGCTCAAGGCGGCTGTCGAGCAGGAGAAGAGCAACCTCGTGATTCTCGGCAAGCAGAGCATCGATGACGACGCCAACCAGACGGGCCAGATGCTGGCGGGCTTGCTGGGGTGGCCGCAGGCGACGCAGGCGAGCCAGGTCGAGTTTGGCGAAGGCGACACAGTCAGCGTCACGCGCGAGGTGGACGGCGGCGTCGAGACGGTGCGCGCCAAGTTGCCCATGGTCATCACGACGGACCTGCGCCTCAACGAGCCCCGCTTTGCGACCCTGCAGAACATCATGAAAGCCAAGAAGAAGCCGCTGGCGAAAAAGACGCTGGCCGACTTTGGCGTCACAGCCGAGAGGCGGCTCAAGGTGCTCAAGGTCACGGGTGGGTTGCGCGCAGATCTGTGCATGCAGTCCTGTCTTTTTTGGCAAGCTAACAATATTCGCAGAACCACCAGCGAGGCAGGGCGGCGGCAAGGTCGAGGACGTGGATGGACTGATTTCTAAGCTCAAGGGGCTCGGCGCTATCTAGAGGATCCTGTACAGGTACAGTACAACTACCTTAGCACTCGAATGTGCCTCGAGAATACATTAGGGCCATGGCGTGTGCACTTGGTACGGTGCATGAGATGCGATCTTGGATATCCGTGAGGTGAGGACAGCCATGGACGTCATCCCGCAGCCTGGCCTCCAAACCAGATCCTCGATTGCCCAACAGGTCAATTACTCTTCGAAACGGATTTCGGACCCCTCTACTCGGTAGGCTCATTGCACTCTTGCGAAAGAACATGCATCCTGCAATCCGACGAAATACCATGTGAGAACCGGTGTGCGATCCGCCGTTGTTGCTGTCACTTGACTCACTTCCGAAGCCGCAGCGAGAATGGGAGCAACTGTCCCGATCGAGGAAAGCTCAAGCGGGATGCCCCTCCTGCGTCCCAGTTTCGGCCCAGGGACCGGAGAACGCCGTCCAATGACGGCCTGGCCAATTCGTCGGGTGAGAAAGCCATGGAAACCCTGACGGCATTGACAAAAAGGGCATTTTTCTCGCGCCATCCCGCCTTTTCGTCTCTTCTTTTTCTTCGAGTCAACTTCGACACGACCCTTGATCGAGTGTGAAACCAGCATCGCAAACCGAAACAAACACCAACAGCCGGCTGCGGCTCCTCTACTGATTCTGAATTGGCCATTCTCACAACCGCGCTGATGAAAGGTCGCTTCTCTATCTTTACTTCTCAGGTATGTTTGCCCGGCCCCTGGGTCGTGTGCTCCCCGACCCCACTGTACCCTCTCGATCTGTTTCCGATGCCCCTTTCCCGCCTCCCTGTATGGGATTACTGTGGTATGGGTTTAAGGATGTCCAGTGACAGTGTCCCATCTCCCCGTTTCTTCCATCTATGGAATACTGGTGCTAATGTGTTTGCGCTGTAGGACTATCTCTCAGGTTCGCCTACGTCCCCAGGGTCTCGACCCACCGCTTCGTGCTAACAAGAAAATCCAGACCATCTGTGGAGAGCACTGTCAGCTTAAGGCACCAACCTCTCTATACTAAAGCCTGATACACTTCTTTCACCTTTACCCCAACATCTCCAGACAAGATGTTCACCCCCCTAGCCCTCCGCCTTCCGTCTACCTTGGGCCGTGCTGCCGCCAGGGTTTCTCTCCGCCTCCCAGCCCAGGCTCGTCTCCTGAGCAGGCTGACGGTGAACGGCAGCAAGGGCAGAGCTATGCCTGCTACCAACACGAGGGCCACTGCCGCTGCGCCTGGCGTTGAGGCCACCTTTACCATCAGGGTACGTCTTGACTCCCTCAACAGGGCTCCTGACCGTCCTTTGTCTGACGCATCCCTGATAGGATGGCCCTGTGTTTCACGGCAAGGCTTTCGGCGCCAACTCCAACATTTCCGGCGAGGCTGTCTTCACCACCTCGCTCGTGGGGTATCCCGAGTCCATGACGGACCCCTCGTACCGTGGCCAGATCCTGGTCTTCACCCAGCCCCTCATTGGCAACTACGGTGTGCCCTCGAATGAGCGCGACGAGTACAACCTGCTCAAGTACTTTGAGTCCCCCCACATTCAGTGCGCCGGTGTTGTCGTTGCCGACGTGGCCGAGAGATACAGCCACTGGACGGCTGTTGAGAGCCTGGGCGAGTGGTGCGCTCGTGAGGGCGTGCCCCTCATTTCTGGCGTGGATACCCGCGCGATTGTCACATACCTGCGTGAGCAGGGGTCTTCGCTCGCCAGGATCTCGATCGGCGACGAGTACGATGCCGACGAGGACGAGGGCTTTGTTGACCCCGGTGCCATCAACCTGGTCAAGCGTGTGAGCACTAAGGCTCCGTTCGTCGTTGCTAACCCCAACGCGAACTTCCACGTTGCTCTGATCGACTGCGGCGTCAAGGAGAACATCCTGCGCAGCTTGGTCAGCCGTGGTGCCTCGGTCACCGTGTTCCCCTACAATTACCCCATCCACAAGGTTGCCGACAACTTTGATGGAATCTTCATCTCCAACGGTCCAGGTGACCCGACTCACTGCCAGGAGACCGTCTACAACCTGGCCCGTCTCATGGAGACGTCGTCGGTCCCTATCATGGGTATCTGTCTCGGCCACCAGCTCCTCGCCCTGGCCGTTGGCGCGCAGACTATCAAGCTCAAATACGGCAACCGCGCCCACAACATCCCCGCCCTCGACCTGACCACTGGCCAGTGCCACATCACCAGCCAGAACCATGGCTACGCCGTCGATGCCAGCACCCTGCCCAGCGAATTCAAGGAATACTTTGTGAACCTCAACGACGGCAGCAACGAGGGCATGATGCACAAGACCCGTCCCATCTTCTCGACCCAGTTCCACCCCGAGGCCAAAGGTGGTCCGATGGACAGCGCCTACCTGTTCGACAAGTACCTGGAGAACGTCCAGATGTACAAGAACAGCGCAAAGGTCTATCGTGACAACAGGCCGTCGCAGCTGATGATTGACATCCTCAGCAAGGAGCGCGTCGGTGTCGAGCCCTCGCCTCTGGCTGCAAACGCTTGAGCTTTTTGGTCCTGGTTCCGTGGCATGGCTTGGTTTTCGGGTTTCTAGGGTAGCGTTGCTTTTTCATTTGGTGGTTTCGTAAGGTTTATAATTGGAGTATGGGCGGGCCTTGGGTCGTCTGGATGAATCGTTATTGGGTGGACATGTCTCCAGACCCTCAGATACATCGTGAAAAAGTACTTTGTTCTGCGTCCTATCATCGATATGTTCCAGTGATGTGCCGATTGCTCTTTATGGCTGCTGTGCCCATGTCTATGCCCAAATTTATGGGTTCACATATTCGACGATCTCATAAGAGGACCGGAAACGGGTTCGTCAAGGTCGGAGTTGTCAAGATCGGAGCTCTATTGGCTAAGACGACACCCTCACAGCCTTGTCCCTTTCAGTATCCTTGCCAACGATCAGTCAAATTCATGTCTACGCACATGGCAGCAAGGAGCCAAGGTCGATTGCTGGGTATCTATTCCGAACAGCTCAACTTTTCCGACACGACTTTCCATCTGCATACACTGATGTCTCCAACATTACAATGTAAGCTAAGAAACCAGAGACGAAGCCAAGAGGAGTGATACCCTTTCCTAAGGGAAACTCTGCAAATCAGGGTCTGTGACCACGTATCCCCGTGCGGGCGTGCCTTGTGCATTCCAAGAACTTGAAGCATCCGGTTGATACCTGGAATGCATTTGATGCACAGCGCTACGCAGATGGGAGCTATCCATGCCCTCCGCCCCGAATTCTCCGCCCATATCATTCTCAACTGCACTCTCCTGCATTGCGAGCTTGCTTGGTTTTGTCTCTCCCGTCTTCATCGACCATGGAGGAGGTAATAAGTAGGCGGGTAGGCAGGCTCTATTCCTCCCCTCCAATACCTTTGCGACGCCGTGGAAATAACTGCCAATATCAGACCGCCTGTCCCTGCGTTCGCTGTTCCCTTTTTCTACTCATGCTGGGTTTGTGTGCGTTCGAGGGGGAAAAAAAAAGAGGTCATATGTACATAGCTTGGTGGATGTGTGCTTATTCCTGACAGGGCCGTCTCCACTAAAGGAGAAAGAGGACCGAAAACGGCTACCATGATGTGCAGCTGGTCCTTTGAAAATCGGCCGTGGAGAGCTTGACGGCAAAGTATCTCCGGCGGCGGGCGTCTCCCGGCCAACAATGCGGGAGACGCCGGTACCAGACTTCGTCAAGAGCAGACCGTTTCGAGAGGTGGTGTTAGTTGATGGTACCCTCAGTCGTGTCCCATGGTTGACAGCCTCAGCGGCTCGGGGCGGTAAGAGTCCTAGTAACGCTCCCTTCTGCCGCCACCGCCACGTCTGCCGCCGCCACCACCAGTGAAGGTGGGAAGGGGCTGACCGTCGAAGCGCGAGCGGGGAACATCGTCGATAAAGCGGTCGCGCCCATGGTCGCGGTTGCGGTACCGGTCGTAGTCGTCCCGACCACCGCCGCGGTAGCCGTCATCGTTCCGGGATGGGCGGCGCGGGGAAGGAGTGCGCCGACGGGGAGGCGGAGGTGGGGCCCGATTGCCGCCGCCGCGACCGATGCCCATACGGCGACGCTCGCGCTCGCGGTGCGGAGGGCGGATGCCGATGAAGGCTTCTTTGCCGCGGTCGACGAAGACCTCGCCATCTTCAAAGGTGTACCGGTTGATCTCGTCCGGGCGGCCCAGGTCTCGGTGGCGGTCCTTGGTGATGTGCGCCTTCATGTTCGCAAGCCGGCGGTGCGCGATGTCTTCTGGGACAGGCCTGTACTGCAAAGGAGGGCCTGCGCGGGTGGTAATAAAGCCGCCTCGATCGCGGGCGCGGTCGCGGTCGCGGTCGCGGTCACGGTCGTCAAATGTGGTCTGGGCTGGCGGAGGAGGCGGCGCCTGGCGGTAGTGGTTGGATCCTCGGCCACGTGGACCCAATGGCGCTCCCTCGACGCCAGGGTTGCCACGCGGGGGACCGGATGGAACCGGTGGAGGGCCGAGAGGCTGCCTCGTGGAGTTTCGACGTGGAGGGTCCAACGCCGCATCCACCAAGCTGGCCGTCATGTTGCCGTTGTCGTCGAATTCGTAGCGCACTTCCCAGCGACTTGATGAACCACGCCCACCGTCTGCAAGTTCCCGGTCAATCCACGCAGGCACCTTGTCCTCAGGAATGAAGTCGACCCAGAGTTCCTTTCTGTTGCGCTCGTTGGGCCAAACGGTCCCATGCAAAGCTGTGCGAACACGCGAGGCAGCGGAGATGCTGGTGAAACTCACAAATGCGTGAGTGCGGATTGGGTCGAGGAAGAAATCCACGACGCAATTTAAATCGGGCTCGGCGCCGGGAATTGTGGCGAGGTCGATCAGATAGTCCCGGACTGCTGACTCCCTCAAGGGTCTCATAAAATTCTTGATGTAGAGCGCAGAAGTGGCGGGGTGCTGAGCTGGAACAACGTCCCTGTCGTAGTCGGTCATAGGCTCATCGACATCGTCAGCGCGTCGCTCTCGGTAGTGGGATAAAGTGATCTCCCGGTTCTCTCGCCAGTCGGGATCTTGGGATCGGACGTCTTGCTCTCCCCGGTTGTTTTCAGAGGTCTCGCGGGTAGCTGCGTAGTTGTCTGCCGTTTGCGAAGCGGCTACCGGTTGGGCCTCAGCAAAATCTTGGTCGCCTGCTTCGCGCGACTCAGAAATGTCTTCTTCACCTGGCTGCTCGCTCGTGCGCGCCCGCTTTCTGAACGACTCAGTTTCGGGTGGAGGGCTTCGAGACCGACGCTTGCGGCTCACGGCATCGGTAATGAGTTCGGTAGCCGGGAGCGTGTCGGTATCAGTAGCCTTGGGAGCTCTGTCATCAGAGACGGAATTCTGAGTCGGAAGTGAGTCTCCTTCCTGTTGCTTGAGCGGCTCTGTGCTGGTCGTGGTTGCGTCGTCTATAGTTTGAGTGCCGACAGGAGCTTGCGGTAGCTCTTCAACTGTTGAAGGCTTCGGCGCATCGGAGGCAGCTTCGGACGGTGGTTCCTTCTCGACCAGATCATGCGGCAAATCAGGCTCTTCTTGCTTCAGGTTGTTGTCGGCAGGGTCATCACGGGTCTCTGATGCGGTTTGGTCGCGCTCGAATGCATTCAGCCGGTCGATGAGGTCCGTCTTTTTCCCAGTCTGGGATAGGTTGCGCTGCTTCAATTCATGGCGCAGTTCAACCACCGTCATCCGACTAAAGTCTGGCGCCATGGCGGTTGGGTTGGTGTATTGCTGTTAGACAAGTGAGACTTTGGGGGATGCGCGTCGCGGATGACAGGTTGAAGTGCAAGAAAGCAAAAAAGTCGCCCAATGTGACTTTGTGCAAGCGATTTGCAAAAGCCATTCGGAAGAATGCTTGGCGCGATTCTAGACGCACGGTCCAGGTGCTAACTCAGACCTGTCCAGCCTTGCGGTCCCACATGCATCCCTCTCAGCAACAAAAGACCTTGAATGTGTGGTTGTGCGCTTGGTCTTCTTGTGATTCCTCCGTGAACCGACCTTTATCGACCCTCGAGAGTGCCTCAGTGCTGGCTACCAATCTTCTTGAGTAGGCATATGCTTGAATTCGGCTGTATAATCGGTACCTTCCAGGTTCTTACAATACGCGTCTCAGGAGTACTTAAGATTGGGCATATGCAGGTCTTCATGTCATCCTCCTGTCTTGATATGTGACCGACCTTCGTCGTTCTTACCTTCAAGCTTGGCTGTGCGTTCTCGGTTATTCGCCAGTCGCCCTGTTGTTCTCCATGGGAGGTCTATGGCTTATGAATTACAGCCCGGCGTTGCTGTCGTTCCGCCGGAAATAGCCAAAAATGCAAGAATAGGTCAAATCCATCTCTTTGTATCCAGCAGGTGCGGCCCTGTTTGCAGTTCTTATGACCTCGCCATTGTTCTCGACTCGGACATTCGGTCTTCTAGCATCGACGGATGAGGAAACCGCCAATGTCTCTCTACCTTTTTCACACTTCCCCTTCGCCACAGTCCTTCACGCACTGCATGTTGCAACGACTTGGACGTGACAACTGCACTTCATCGTCAATGCATACATTCCCACCACCCTGAGTCCAGACACACTGCATTACGCCGCTCATCAACACTCTCGCCTTACCGTCACATTCGAGACAAATAGATATGCATTTCACAACACCTTGTCCGGCGCATCATCAGCTCGCGATGGACACCATAGTCGCATTGGGCGATCTGACGGATTCATCGTCCTACTCGGAATCCACAGACGTGGACATGGCTGAGGCAGACTGGACTGGTCATGGCCGAGATGAGCTGCTAGTCGAAATCCCATGTCGCCCTTCGATCAAGATCGAGTCCGACGATGACGCTTCTCTCCGAGGCGGCGTGGTATTCCCCCGGCAGACCGTTGCTTGGGCCCGAAAGGTGGCCGTTGTGCCTCCCCGGAAACACGGATACGATGAAGCCGAATTCCCCTTCGAATTCCCCGATCCCGGTCAGCTCTCGGATGATGATGGATACAGCACCAGCAGTGACTGGGACAGCTATGGCGCCCTCCCGCTGACCATGAGCGAGTACGATAGCGTCGTGGCTCGCCTGGAGGGTAGCGAGGATTGGAACGCGGACCAAAGGAAGCTACACAAACTGCTTTACATGCGCGGCCTCCATCCCATGATCCCTTCGTGGTGGCGAGTGAGCCTAAAGATGTGGGGGATTACCCAGCCACATCTCGACGACGTCTTCACCCCCAGGCATAGTAAAAAGCGGGTTGCGATCCATGCGTACGGAAACGAGGTAGCCGGTAAGCAGAGGCCACTTCCTTCTCTAGAAGTGTCTCCATACCGACTAATGTTGGGGGTGTAGCGACCAAGGCGCTCGAGTCGTTATTCTACCTCTCTCAAACAGTCTCTGACTACGAGGAGATTGGCTACCAAAGCAAGATCACGTCCACCGCAGTCAAGGGCATCCGAAGCTACATCAAGTGGGCGCTGCGGGATGCCGGAATCGACAACCGCAGATCGCTGCTTAACATGCTGGTGCAAGGGTACACGCCCGACTTTCACGTCGACGACGACTCCCAGAGCGGAGAGAGCGACTTTGCCCCGTCACCCGTCAGCAGTAACGAGGATGGCGACCGGGAAACAGCAGACGCCGTCAAGGCCGGCGGCAAGCGACATCACCAATCCGATGCAGAGCTCGAAGAGGCCCAGCGCGCCTTGCGCTTCACGCGCGCCGTCTCGCGCGACCTCGAGCGGCGACTCCTCGGCTTGGGCCAGCGCTGGCGCGAGCGGCTCCGCCAGAAGAGAGGTGGAAAGGGCTTCGTCGCGCGACCGCCCACGCTGTACGCATTTGCCGTCATCCAGCACATTGTCATGCTGGCCAGCTATGACTCGGGCTCGGCGACCGACCCGGTCGTCGTCCTCGAGCAGGTCCGCCTGAACGAGCGCGGTCAGTGGCTGTGGAATGCACTGTCGCTCGCGCTGCCTGTCAACATGGCGCGGGACGCGCTCAATGGATTTCGGGGCACGAGCGTGGTTGTGGAACGGCGTGAGGAGGATTGGCGCGCGGATCCTGATTTGTGAGGGTGAAGATGTGTGCTGGGATGGATGGTATCTCGATTGGCCATGCTGGTTTGGCTGTCTTCATCTGGCGTCAAGCTTAACATATACAGGAACGGAGTCTGACTTTCCTGAGGAGTCATATGAGCAGGTTTCTGGGTCATCTATTCTGACATGGTGATGTTGGTCGGCTGGAATCATATGCTGCTGTTGTCGGTTTGTCTCGCTGGAGTTGTCTGCATGGAGTATCTTGTTGTCAATCAGACTGTGTACCGTAGGAACTCACCTGATACATATACCTCCACTCAGACCCAATCCGCCAATTAGGCGTTCCAGACTCTCGGTCACCGTTGTTCTCGCAGCAGTGCGGCCAGACCCAAGCAAGTCCTTTGTCAACGATCTTGATGTGTGGTCGCCTTGTGGAGGTGTATGTATCAGGTGAGTTCCTACGGTACTGTGATCGCGGTCCAGCCTCTCACCAAGCAAGAGCGAAACCGCGCAGTTCTCCTCAGAGCGACACAAGGCTATTGTTTTCTTTGCTAAAGGCCAATCACAGAGTTTCTGATTACCTTATATCAACCGGAGGCCGGGCCGTTGCTTGTGGAGTCAGCTCGGACATAATGTTAAGGTTAATGACAGGGCCGTGAGGGTACGATTTCATCCCCTCGCCAGCCAACGGATACCGCATTCGTGTAAGGCTTCTTACCTGTTCCTTGAAATATCATGCTGCTGTCCTCTTTCCCATTGTTCCCCTTCTGGGCTCTCCTTTGTCCCTCTCCGTTGTGATTCAAAGTCGGCTGACAAGATCTTGTTGGGTTGCATCGAACTGATAAAAACGCTTGGCGAACGCAACTACGGATCTTGCTGCCGAACAGGGTTGCCAAGCCAGCCCGCCGAGATGGAAACCATCGGAAGGCCCATAAAAATAATCGAGGCAAAGCATGCATATTGGGCCCGAGTCACGGACAAGTCCCAAGTCCTGAGAAGGCCAGAACCAGCGCGTCACGGGAACTGATGATTCGATAATTAGATTGTGCCTTTATTGACCCCTCGGTGTGTTATGAGACATTATCCTGTTGCCCGCAAAATCCCACGGCTTACCGTACGGAGTACCTTGACATGCAAGGCGTGGTGGGATTGCCGTTGAGGTTCCACATTGGCGCTCAAGACCCAATCCAACAGGCGGTCGAGTTTGTATTCCCCCAAAATCGCAGATCGTGGCAGCGCCAAGGCATGGTTGTGAGAGCGTATGCCGCAACCCTGGTGTAAGCTGTGTCAATGGTAAGCTGGCTTGTCATCACTGACAAGGCGGCCAGTTTTGCTTTAACAACTGGTCCTGAAAACCACCAACTCCGACGTTGAAGGTTCGTCTGGGGAAAGCAAATCGAATTGGTGGGCCGACGTAATTGGGAGCCTGATGCCTGCCGGCCCCTGGTCTCTTTCACGTCTGCTGACATTGCGCGCCCGCTGATTCGCTGGGAATGCGCCAAGCGGGTCATTCTAGCCTGACGGCTCTCCTGAGAGTTGAACGGTTCGGGGCTCGAGGTTGCTCTTCATCCATCACGCTGTGCTGGAATGCCGCTTGTCAGCTCGCCGCTCAACAATCCGTTCCCTGCGCCTCCGACATCTCGAAGCCCCAACTTGTCACCATCCTGCTGTTGGCCGAAACCAGCACTTATCAACCGTTTAGTCCACGGTTCCTACCACACTCTCGAGGCACCACTGAGTTTCTTTTGAGTTTCAACCAGGAGATCCTTTTGGCGCAAAGATCGGCTGCCGGCCTGGCGTGAATCAGATAACTTGCGCTGTGGATCTGTGGACCGTGGCGGATATCACCTTACACAGTATTTCGTTTACTTTGCCCCTGCTCCCTTGATTCTCTTTCTAGGTTCTCCCGCGGCACCATATCACTAGAGAGTGCCGGTTCTTAAGTCTGGCCTCGCCATTATTCGTTCTCTTGTTTTGTACGACAGACTTGCAGGCCGTCCCCGGCTCCTTCCTTCGCATACCAAACAGTCGGCCGATTAAGTGGCGTAGTCGATGGTATCCGACACCGTGGCTTCAGTATTTCGATAACCCCGTCGCTGCTTGCGATCCTGACACGGAACAGCCTACAAGTTAGCAATTTTCACGACCGACTCGGGCCGTGCTCAACGGCCGCTTCGTCCGACTACCAATTAGCACTTGTTGCGTGGCCGACTCATACCTTGTCCATTCTCACTTCTGCATCCCCGGGAAGCTGTCCAGGCCACCGACCTGCTGAAATGGCGTTATCCGAACCCTCGCAGCTTCTCGGGGCCCCATCTCCCACAGCAAGCGCGCCTGTTCCTCGCCGGACTGCGTTGCCGTCAAGACCTATGTCATCTAGGGGCCTAGGCGACATTATGCAGCACTCAAATCAAGAGCCGGTCTTTCCTCAAGAGCAGAAGAAAGCTGGATCCGGCACAACTTCGCCAACAGTAAAGACAGTCTCGGCGGTCTCGCCCGCTCCCCGAAGTCCCACAGATCGAAACGCTTCGAGCACGTCAACCCAAGGCAAGACACAGACCAGCACCGGTCAAGGGTACACTGGTCAGGTCTGCAGGTACGTCCACTGCTGTTCTGATTCGGCGTCCTAGTTTTGACAGGAACGCAGTAACTGCGGCACAACTCAGACGCCTCTCTGGCGGAGGTCGCCGCAAGGCGAAACGATTTGCAATGCGTGCGGGCTATATCTGAAGGCCAGGAATGCCGCCCGCCCGATAAACTTGAAACGATCCCCAACTGTGGCTGGTAACGGAGCCCGGCCAACACCTGTCAAGCTCTCTCCGAAGGCTCAGGTACGGCTGCTACCCAACGCACCGGTAGCGAAGTATGTTGCTGCCGATCAGACACCATCGGGGTCATGTCCGGGGGGAGGAAGGTGTAACGGCACAGGCGGCGCCGAGGGATGCAGCGGATGCCCTGCTTACAACAATCGGGTGTCCAAGAGTGCTAGCCTGAGCGTACTGAAATGCCAGGGCTCGTCCAAACCGCCTTCTGCCAGTCTGGATGAGCCGACACCGATCGACATTGGGGCGCTACATCTCCAGAACCAGAACACGACTGTCGTCATCGCCTGTCAAAACTGCAGCACAACGATTACGCCTCTTTGGCGGAGGGATGAAGCAGGCCACACCATCTGCAATGCTTGCGGTAAGAACATTTGTTGTCCTGCTGCCCTCCGATCTCGAGCTAATTTGTCCGTAGGACTCTACTATAAGCTGCACGGTGTACATCGACCCGTGACCATGAAGAAATCTATCATCAAGCGGAGGAAACGTGTGATTCCTGCTGCAGGCGGGGGTCCAGATTCAGAAAGCACGACGAGTGAGCGTGCTGACTCACCACCGTCAGAAACCGACCTTCCCAAGGAGAGGGGCTCCGTCAACCCAGATGGGTCGGTGAATCTGGGTCTCCGGCGGCGACAAGACCCGCCATTGTCACTCGTTCCGGAGATGGTCTTGATGCAGAACAGGCAGACATCCCCACTGCCGTCGAGTGATCTGGGACAGTACCACTCGTCTCACCAACAGAACCCACCGCAACAAATGCCCTCATCACTCACCGACGAGAACCGGTTGGCACCGTTGACATCGATACCGATGCCCCACGACCGGAAATCGTCGCTGTCGCCGGCGTCCTTCCTGTCGCCATCACGGAAACGGTCGTTCTCTGCCGCCGACATGGAACCGCAGAACCAGAATGATGCGGAACACCCGAAACGGCTCTCCTCGATCAAGTCCATCCTCAACCCGACAGCGACAAGCCCTGGTCCTGAAGACATTTCTGAGCGACAGCAGCATTATTTCATGACGCCGGGCAGCACAGCGGCTTCCACCCCGAGCCCGGGGTTGTACTCGAAGAGCGGCCATACATCTGCCCCACACCAACTAGCCGAACCTCGGGGCACCTCGCCGCATCCTGTCCGTGATGTCGAGAGGTCCAAGGCGGAGAGGCGTGCCATGTTGGAGCGAGAAAGAGAGATGATGAGGGAGCTGTTGGCTGCGAAAGAGCGGGAACTTGCCGAGCTGGGTGAGTGAGCAGGGGATTGCCCCATACTGGGGTAAATGTCACCCTCTTAGGCCTGCGGAGGCCGTGGTGCCATGGGACTTCAAACTCAGCCTCGCTGTTTCAAGGACGTAAAGCCCTTGTTCCAACCAACTTGCTCTCGACCCACCGGGGAAACATTTGACATTGTTAGCCTGACTATGGTTTTATTCACCGAGCACCTGTCCTCCCCCGTTCAATTTCTGCCATCTCATCCCCATTGATGATTACCCGGCGAAAATCCATTTCCATCTCGACTTTGAATCCGAAACAAGCTCTGGATCTGACTGCAGAGACGCCATATCCTGGGGCCGACGTAAGAACACATCGTCTTCCTCGAAGCGTTACCTCGACTGGGTGTTTGATCTCTTCAAACCGCAGCTCATCTTGCCAGTTTCGCCAACTATGTGCTTACCGAAGAATCGGATCTCCGGGACCAGCCAAGTCGGATCACCAAAAGACATCCTCGGCGCTCCCGAAGTCCGAGGGCCGATCCTGTATTCCGTCGCGAGTCCGCGACATCCGAGTGGGCCGATCTGCCAGTGGAGATGCACCGGCATATACAACGCATCTTGAATGCGCCGTTTCATGACCTCATCCCGCTCCCCCGCACTCCGCAATACCACCTGGAGCCGCCCTGGGAGTTATCCTGGGATCCGGTATAACAAGTCGACTGTCACCTGCCCTATAGAGCCCGATCCTGACACATAGCAACCCCACTGTTAGCGCGAAGTCGCATCGACACTGGCTCGTTGAGTGTCCGAGTCGGACATTTCGCCTCCAAGAGCGCCGAACCTGGCAAGAAGCGGTCACCAACGGATGTAGCGGCGTCGACGGTGGAAGAGCTCGAGAGGAGTTGACATTCCCCGGCTATACATGTACAATACTCGGAGTATTTAAGCACGCAATTCCCGCCTAAAATGATGCCATCTCTAAGAGCTTTCATTGCACGCGATCCTCGTCGCTCCTCGGTATCGTATCTCACTTAGCCGAATTGGGTGACTTGTCAATATGGCTTATGACATCCCTGCCGAGCAGTCAAGTGCACAACGGTCTCGTAACAACCATCGTGACCTCTTGCTTATCAGCGTCCCGCGCACTGCATCCAACCTCTTTCTCAAGGTCCTCAACATCCACCACCAACCCAATGTTGTCACCAACAAGACAGCCGGATATTTCTTCTACGACGCCTACATGATCGCCGCCCGCGATCTCCAGAAGCCGGCCCACCTATGGACCACCGATGAGAAGACCCTGATCCGGAACACCTACCAACAATGCCTGGACCGCCTCGAAGAGCTCAGGGCACAGGCCCACCGCGAGAACAAGATCGTCTTTGCCAAAGAGCACGCCTTCTGGCTCGTCAACCCAGGCACGATGCACGGCCCGCCCAGCAACCCATCCGCGAATGGTGGAGCAAGCCCTGATGCTGCCCGTGACGATGATGTCTCCTTCCGCCTCCAAACCCCGGATTCCACCACCCCCGGCCCGGAGCGCACCTACTCCCCCAACAACCAAACCCTGCTCCCAGACGAGTACCTGCGCACGTGGCAGCTGGCCTTCATCATCCGGCACCCGGCGCTCGCGTGGCCGTCCATGTACCGCGCCATGCTGAAAATGAGCAAGGAGCTGGGCATGCTAGACGAGGACGGTGTGCGCGGCGCGTCGGCGGCCAATATGTCGCTGGCCTGGACCCGGAAGCTGTTTGACTGGTACGCCGAGCAGAGCGGAGGTGCGGGGCCGCTCGTCGTCGACGCGCACGACCTCATCCACGACGCCGGGTCTGTCGCGCTGCGCTTCTGCGAGGCTACTGGGTTGGACAAGAGTGTGGTGCAGTTTGAGTGGGGCTGCGCGACCGCCGGGTCCGGGTCCGAGTCCGAGTCGGTGGTCAAGAAGTGGGGGTCGGAGGGCTCGCTGGACGAGAAGGCGGCGCGTATTATGCTGTCGACGCTGGAGGCGTCCAAGGGGATCGTCAAGGACAAGGCGCCTGCGAGTGTGGATGTCCGGGCCGAGGCGGTGAAGTGGCGGGCTGAGTTTGGTGAGGAGGCGGCGGGGCTTATTGAGAAGGCTGTTTGGGCTGCCATGCCGGATTATGAGTATCTGAGGGAGAGGCGGGTGCGGGCTTGAGCTGGTTGGTGGCGGTGGCTTGTTGTAGGAGAAGGACCTGACATTAAGGATGATTTGAGGGGGAGGTGTTCTAGTTGGATGTTTGACATAACTGTTCCACAACTTGACTATGCAAAGAAAGGAGCGAAACCGCCTACTAATAGGCATATATGGGCGTGGTAACACGAGCAACTTGAACCTACTCATTCAACCACTTGTACGTCGACCATGAATCCTTGACTGACAAGGCGAAGCCATCTCAACCTAAGAATAACCTATACTATCGTTTGATTATTATAGCTATATATTCCCATCGCACAATCTTCGAAGACATACCTAACTATGTAATAAGATATTCGAACCAGACGATGTATTAGTAGTATCCTTGGATCTATACCCGGTAATCCTTGACAATTCCGCATACTAGTAATAGGCTGAGAAACAATGAGGGATTATTCTCGAGCAATGTGCGCTAGTTAAGCTATATACGCGGGAGTTCACCACTCACTCTTCGTTCTTACACGTAATGTGATTGACTTTTGAGATATGTGGTCAAGGTAATAGCAGGCACACCGCATGATGAGTCCTCATCCAGTTACCACGGTAATGATGAATTGACCTTCTCTCATGCTATTCAAGACTTGGCTTCTGCGAATGAGATGATTGATATCTGCGCACACATTCAACAGGTCGCCCAATTCGACGGCCAGGCGCAAGATGGAGTGCAGTGTGCCTGAATACTACTACTACTTGGACCCGTCTTTGGACCCGGGCTGACTGCAAGTGTTGACCAGACTGCATCGATTGAGGTCAGTTGGGCGTCCATGGTGACTGGAGATTGGGGTTCAAGTCCACCCGTCTCTTCATATGAGGAACTCTGTCTTGAAAAGGTCAGGACAAAGGCTGATTGCAGCAGCTGCAACGGCGCAACGCGGTCCAGGTAAAGTACCTTGTTGTGCGTAAGGTATCTAACGTTAGTTTTATTTGAGTTTCTCAACCATGCCGGACCTAGGTTCTTGACACAGCTGGCCATCCTGTTGTATCCAGCTCATTTCAAACGGCGAACCATTATCCACCGATCAGGCTTGATTATTTGTTGCCGACGGTACCATTTGCAAATCTGACTCTCCCCCGCTTGCTCATGCAGGAATGTCGTTTCACCATCGGGACAAGCACTCTGTGTGGAATCGAGATAAGGCTCTGCCGGTCCCTAGACTGAAGGAGGACGCGAGAGCTGTAACGTTGCTGCTTGCAACCCCCAGTGTGTGTCTAAGAAAGGCAACGCCAGCTCCATTGTCAAAGTGACCCAGCTGACTTGTTGTGGCCACGGGGTGCCAAGGCTTGTGAGTCTGGATGATGCGACGCGTCGTTGCATAGGAGGCGGAGCAAGCCGTGTCGTACCGAGTTGCCAAGCGCCCCACTGTTCCGCAAGCTCCCCCGAAGCAGCGCAAGATCCAGGTTCCAACTTGTCTCCAGGTCTCTTTGACAGCAATATCACAGCGATTCCAGCCGCTTATACTGCGGTAATCGCACAGACGCAAGACATACCGGCGCACCGTATCCACACGCATTTGACAACGGCAAGGGGCACGCGTTCTGTGGCGAAAGAGATACAATAATCTGCACCGAAGCATCACAAAGACCGGTTGAAGAAGACACGAGTCGCCAACGATGGATTTCTCGGATACTTTGTACGTCTTTTGGCCTATGCATTCGACTAGAGACGGGTAGCGGTGGCGCTATGCTGTGCTTCGACTTGCGCGCCACTTGTTGCGGTCTTTCCTGTTCCTGGCCATCGTGGAAGAGAAGCGCTGCCGGAAGCCTGCCCGCCCGCCTCCCTGACTGGGCGGTGATGCGCGCGTATGGGAGATGGAGGGAAAGTTGGGGCTTGTTTCGGGGTACCAACATGGCTAACGTTCTGGTTTCTGCTCTAGTCGCATCGTCAACCTCGCCGTGGCCGTCTTGATGATTCTGGGAGGCATCTCGCAATTCTTCCCCATCACCTTGTACGTTTCGCGGTCTAGGATGGCTGCCTACCTTGGGAGCAGGGGAGCATGGATGCTGATGGGGGTCATGTGCAGTCAGTCGGCGATTATCGGCTCTTATGTGATCGTTTTTGGGTTGGGTAAGTTTTCCCGGTCGCCTTCTGGTTGCGGCGTGAACAATGATGCTGACTGGCGTGATTCTGCAGCCACCGGCCTGCTTGGTGCGATTTGCCCCCGATATTCGAGCCGTCGAACGTTTGGGATACTGATGACTGTCTGTCCTTCAGAATTCCAGATTCCGCCCCAAATTTCGCGCTACGCCTCGTTCCTGTTCTCCTTCCTCGGCCGTGGTATCTGTAGGTTATATCTTTTTGTCTTGGGCTGCTTAACTTTGCGCTGACCAACTTGTGTGCAGTCTACGTCTTCATCGGCTGCATTATCCTCCATCATGACTATGTGCTTCGAATCATCGCCGGCACCATCGTCGGCCTCATTGGCGTCAGCTACGTGGCCCTCGAGTTCATCCCGTCCATTGAGCCGCCGGCGAACATGCGGGAGGCAGATGCTGGCTGGGGCGCTGAGCAAGTCTAAGAGCTGCCAGCTACATGAAGTCCCGAATCCTGCTTGCGCAGGCACTCTAGGGATTTGCCATGAATGTTTACCGGACGCGACCGACTCGATGATAGAGTGTTTGGCATGTAGGAAACCATGGGCTATAACTTCCCGGGGCAACTTGGTCGAGGCGCCAGGCTAAGGTATTGGCGTCAGATTGTTGGAGGGATGGGATCGTAGGCTTCAGCAGAGAAGTGGATGGACATTTTTGGGGACCAGTTACAAAAGGTGTACGATATCTGTTCAGGTGAAGGAAATGGTTGATTTGGGGCTCAATTGCCCCCGCATGGGGAACGGCGACTGAGCATGCCCTGTTCACTCTCACTCTTCATGCGCTAGGGTTAGGGTCTCGATAAGCAAGCCCCCGCTTATCGTGACCAGCGAGGGGCCGCAGTTCAAATTTTGAGTCGTCAAGGTTCACACCCACGGACTGGTCTGGCGAAGCGAAACTCCCGACGCGTAATCTTTGGGTGAAGTCAAGAGACAGACGGAAAATAACCCGATATTCAGCGCTGGTCACATTATAGAGGTCATAAAATGGGAAAGAAGCGCTCAAGAGAAACCGACGGGCAGGGTGATGTCGCCATGGGTGACCCCGCCGTCGATACGAGGGACGATGACAGCTCGGACGATGAGGTGAGGCGCAAAAATATGAAAGCCAAGTCAGCATATCCCCCAGCTGACCCCGTTTCCGGCGCCCAGGACATGGACATTGTCAATGTAGACTTCGAGCTCTTCAACTACGACCCGCAGATCGATTTCCACGGCGTCAAGACCCTCCTCCGGCAGCTCTTTGACGCCGACGCCCAGCTCTTCGATCTCTCCGAGCTGAGCGATCTCATCGTCGAGCAAAACACCATCGGCTCAACCTGCAAGGTCGATGACAAGGCCAACGATGCCTACGCCTTCCTCACAGTGCTCAACATGCAAGAGCACCGCGCCAAACAGCCCATCGCCCAGCTGATCGAGTACCTGACGAACCGGGCCAAGACCAACCCCAGTCTAGTCGGCGCCGTGCCGGAGGTGCTGGCGTCGGGCAAGCACGTCGGGCTGGTGCTGGCAGAGCGGCTGCTCAACATGCCGGCCGAGGTGATCCCGCCCATGTGGTCGTGCCTGATCGACGAGATCGAGGCGGCCGTCGAGGATAAGGAGCCGTACGAGTTCTCGCACTACCTGGTCGTGTCGCGCGCCTACCGCGAGGTGGCGTCGACCCTCGACCAGAGCGAGCGCAGGCAGAAGAAGGCGCGCGACGAGCCCGAGCTGCAGTACTTCCACCCGGAGGACGAGGAGATGCGCAAGCACGCCGCCGCCTCGGGCACGTACGAGTTCACCAAGGAGGGCGAGTCGGTCGCCGACAGCAAGAGGGCGTTTCAGGAGATGGGCATCAAGCCGTGCGGCTTCATGATGCTGATCGAGGCGGACAAGTTCCAAGGGGCGGTACAGGCCATCGCCGAGTATGTTGGGACGGCCACATAGGAATAGAACCGCTTGCGAAGAAGAAAATATCAAAATGAACCGAACAAAATCACGAAAGGCGATGATTATTATTGTGCTGGCTCCAGTCTCTGCATCAGGTACTCGATTTCGACCTCCTTCGTCAGGGGTATGACAAAGTCCTCGTACATAGACACCACGGCGTCCACGTTGATCTTGCTCTGGTCCCACCCGTCAGGGCCTAACGATGGGTCAGTCCCGTACGTCTGGGCCTTGAGCTTTAGCCTCTCCAGCACCTTCTTCTCGACCGCCTTGTTGGTGATGGCTTCGCCAATGCCGTCCCTGTCCCCGGCGCGGATCAGGCGGGTGAATTTGTCCGTCTCGGACTGGAACTTGGACTCGGCCACGAACTTGCCAAAGTGGATGCGCCGGGACAGGGCCTGCAGGCAGGAGATGTCGCACGTCGCCGAAGACCCGTAGTTCTCCTGCGAAGCCCCTCTGTCCCCGTGCCCGAAATCGGGGCACACCGTGGGCAGGAACGTCTCAATGTAAAACTTTTTAATCTTGTCGTTGACATTGACGTCGTTGGGGTGCAGGACGCGAGGGTAGTGGAGCGACTCCAAGATGGGCTTCTGCACGGCGTCCGGGAAGAAAGGGACCTCGTCAGGGGACTCGTAGCGGCGGATCAACGACTGCAGCTTCTCCTGCTCCGTCAGGTACCAGTCCAGGAAACTCAGGCTGCTGTTAGGTATCGGCACGGCCCGGGGTATGTAGATATTCCTGTTCAGAGGAAACTGCACGCGCTCGATCAGGTGGAAGGTGATGGTATCCTCGAGCCGGCTGCCGAAAGAAATTGGTGTGAGCATCCGCGAAAACCCCCATTGCCATTGCTTCGGAGTGAGTTCGACTGCTGAACTCACATCAACTGGTAGCGGATTCGCGAGAGGTCCAGCGCCTTGGACGGCTCCGAGAGGTCGATGAGCGAGTCCATGCTCGTAATGATATTCAGAAGCGCTGTGAACTTGGAGAGACAGAACAGAACTGTCCGAGACGGACTTCGCTTTTTGAATGCAGGTTGCTGGGCAAGTTCCGAATCGGAGACTGGAACCCGCTTCGAGGGTCGAGTGCCGAGCCAGGAACCAAATCCCGATCCGGGACCTTGGCACCTTCCAGTCCCACATTGCACACCCCTGCTGGGCCAAGAAACTGGTGCACAGGCCTTGTGCACCGCGGGCAACGTCGCGCAGGGTGGATTGCCGGCTGCGATTCTGGCTGCTTGCTGCTGATCTCGAGGGGCACCAGGTGCGCCAATCACTCTCGTTCCCTGGCGCTCCCACTAAACAACGTACGCCTCCACGCCTTCACGAGCTCGGCCTTTCCGCTCGAGTTCCTCCACGCTGCAATAACAGGTTGGGGTCTGTTTTCAAAGGGTATCTGACACGAACTGATCCTGAGCCGCCGAAGGGGGCAAACTCTGACCGTGCCGACGGATGGCCGAGCCGGGGCACGATAATGACTTTCCCGACGTGTCGTCATTTGACGACGAGTCCTCGGTTGTATCTGTGAGCGCAACACTCTGACTCGAGAAGGAACAGGGAAAGGAACGCCAAATAGGGGCTAACCAACTGCAACAATGGCAGACGCGAGGACTCGAGGCATTCGGCCGCAAAGTTACCACCACGGCGTCACACTTGCTAGCGGCGCGAACCGACCCTGCGGCGAATCGGCACTACCAAAGCGCCATGAGTGAGGTGCACCGCCAGTTGCAGAGGCCTGCGCTGCAGCGGAGCATGTTCTCGATGGCACGCACGACGCCGACAGACATGGTGCGGTCGCGCCTTTCGACCAAGGAGATCCAGTCGCGAGCCCTGTCGTACGTGCCGGAGGAAATGCTACAAAACATACCAGAAGCCGAGAACTCGTACTCTCTGTTCCAGGGATTTCAAGCCAGCTTCCCTGATTTTACCGACGAGGGTAAGAAGCACAGGCGGCGCGTCTCGCGAGGTAGGAAATTGCTCGACGAAGGCCCAACGACACCTGATGCGACCCCCGAGTCGCTGCAGAAGCTCAAGAAGGAGAAGACCTCGATGATGCACCAGTTGGAGATGCTAGGTATACGCAAGAACATGGCGAGCAGCGAGATTCGCGAGATCGACGCCAAGATAGAAAACCTAGCGGGCATGCGCAGAATTATCCTGGAGAGGTTAGCAAACCTGGAGAAGGACGAGGCGCTGCTTGAGCATGACAGTGAGCTGGCCCCTGTTCCGCCGCGTTCGCCCCATCTCCAAGTACTAACAGCTGTCAGTTGTCGAGGTCGAGGGCAGGTTAGAAGAAGCGCAGGAGCTGGTGGCCGAGGCCGAGTCAGTAGTACTACGGACACCCACCAAGTCGGAGGACGACGTGGCCTCAGAGAAGGGCGATACACCAGGCTTTATGTCACAGTCCATCTACGAAAAGCTTCCCTCGGCAAGCAGCACACCATCCAAGCGGAAACCGCGAAACATCCGGCGGAAATCCATGCCGATCCTCCACGAGCACTTTGAGCCGGGCACCATGATCCGCTCGATGCGCGCGCACCACGATAACATCACCGCCCTCGATTTCGACGCTCCCTTTGGCCTGATGGTCTCAGCAGCGATGGACGACTCAGTGCGGGTATGGGACCTCAACGCAGGGCGCTGCATCGGCATGCTCGAGGGCCACACGGCATCGGTGCGCACGCTCCAAGTCAACGACAACTTCCTCGCCACTGGCTCCATGGACGCCACGATCCGGCTGTGGGACCTTAGCAAGGCGCACTACGATCCGCAGGGCAGTCACTTTGGCAAGGACGAGGACGACGAGGACGCCATCGCGTTCGAGAATCCGGACGACCAGCCCGTCGACCCGCCCGCCGGCAGCATGGCCGACTGCCCGCTCTTTACGCTGCAGGCGCACCTGGATGAGATCACGGCGCTGCACTTCCGCGACAACGTGCTCGTGTCCGGGTCGGCCGACAAGACGCTGCGCCAGTGGGACCTGGAGAAGGGTCGGTGCGTGCAGACGCTCGACGTCATGTGGGCCGCCGCGCAAGCCTCAGCACTTTCGACTGCCACCGGCGACGGCACCTGGCGGCAGACGACGCGCGCGGCGGATGTGTCGGCCGACTTTGTGGGCGCCCTGCAGGTTTTTGAGTCGGCGCTGGCGTGCGGCACCGCCGACGGAATGGTCCGGCTGTGGGATCTGCGCAGTGGGCAGGTGCACCGCAGCCTGGTTGGCCATACGGGGCCTGTGACCTGCCTGCAGTTTGACAATGTTCATTTGGTGACGGGTAGTTTGGACAGGAGTATACGGGTAGGGTTTTGACCTTTCCCACCCGTTGCGTCATAGTGAGATGCATGCTGACGATTCCGGTGCAGATATGGGATCTCCGCACTGGGTCAATATACGACGCCTACGCGTATGACAACCCAATCACCAGCATGATGTTTGACACGCGCCGCATCGTGTGTGCCGCCGGCGAGGACGTTGTCAAGGTGTACGACAAGGTCGAGGGCCGGCACTGGGACTGCGGCGCGGGCATCGTCGAGGCCGAGCAGGGCAAGACGCCGGCTATTGTGGAGCGCGTGCGCATCCGCGACGGGTACATGGTCGAGGGTCGGCGGGACGGCATTGTCGGTGTCTGGACGTGCTGAACCAAAAGGATGTGGCCCGGGCGAGCCAGGGCATGCTGGGACGATTATGTAAATATGTATCCGAAGGTGTATGAATATGGGTCATTCAGGGTTAAGCTTTTGTAGCGGATCCATGGGATCGGATGAAACTGGAATAGCTGCCTATGAGGGGAGGTTAGGTTGCCTGTGCGAGCCGACCTGGGAGCCATCACGAGGTGGTTACTCATGGCCGCCCGGCCCATCCGATCCACTGCAGTCGGTTCTCCAGCCGCCCAAATGCACACCAATCGGATGTAAGCCGGATCCCGAAAGGGCAACTGGCGAAGGCCTCAGCTCGGCGAGCCCAACGTCGGCAAAGAACCATAGGGCATGCCACTCTCGTCATTATGGAGTTTACGACGCTGAGATGCCTGTCTTCTTCTTTAAGAACCAGGCAGCTCCGGTCAGAATGAGCAGTACTTACCCGGACTCTGCGATGCCGACCACGACCAGTCTCGCTTCTCGGATTGAAAAGCAGGCGAGAGTCCACAGACTTCAATTTCAGTCTTGCTCTGCAGGGAAGTGAGCCAAGTCAAAGAAAGGGACACAAGGTGTTGCTCCTTCCAGCGTAACGTCAGAGCGCCTTCCGTATGGGAGGATCACGGACTTGCACCTGACTAACACGTCATTAGCCTGCAATCCCTGGCCACACTGCTGAGTTTGAATCTTGAGAGTCTTCCGAAGCTGAAAATCGGCTGCTTGTTGTGTCGACACGGTTCCATGATCATCCGAACCGGCGAAACTGTCTTGCGGGACGACTCCTGTTACCGACTTTCACGACAATAAACTGAGGACCAAGGCTAGCCTGATCGGAAATGGCTTCGGACGGCAATCAAGGTCAACTAGAGCTGCTTGAAACTTCCACCAAAAGCAGGCCACGACGGACCTATTCTCACAAGGGAAGGACGAGTTGGGCGGTGTCTCTTCCCGCACTCAAACCGGTATCGAACACATCTAAGCTTGCCAAAACCGGTCTCGAGCTTCAGCCACTACGGATCAGAAATGCAAGAAGCTTGGAGGTCAAAATTTTGCAGGAGAGTCGGGCACGACAACTCCCAAGTCTCAGGGCGGAGCGGTTGGATGTGAATGGCGACGGGAAAGGTCAAAAGCCGGTTGAAGGTGCTGATGGTCTCGCGCTCAAGCGGGCTGGAGAAACAAACAGCAATATTGCTGCAGGCCCGGAAGAGAGTTCGTCCTCTGTTAGTTGTCGCTCAAATGCGCAAATGCATGCTGACTCTGCCGCCTCTCTAGTCACCTCGCCAGTGACACCAGCCAGTCACTCACAAACCTCACCAGCCTCCGAAGAGTCTGATGTCTCAGACGCCGAAGAAGACGAAGATGACGATTTTCTCATTCTCTCAGGACAAGCCTTCGCCAATAATACCAAACACGACCGACGCACGGGGAATGGAATGAGGAGCCTTCGCCGCCGCCCGTTCCTAATCTTCGACAAAACTGAATCCAAAGGCTACAAGCAACTGAAGAATGAGCCTCGGCCTGCAAAGACGCCCCCAGTATCCCGGTACCAACCAGGTGATGGATTCTCGGGTCGTGAAGCCAAACCAAACGGCTCAACCCTCCTGGTCCGCACAGGCAAGCTCTCCATCGCCAGACCACACGTGGGGATCCTCGACCTGACGCAATCTGAACCGGCACTAACCAAGAAGAAACGGAACATTCGAAAGGCTAACCTCGATGACAACTCGTTTATGGCTGCCCCAAAGAAGAAGACTCGGCGGCCTCTCCAGCCAAAGGACCCCAACCAGCCGCTAAAACTTGCGGCGGTAGCTCCCGCTCTGGTAAAGAAGAGCAATTTCGTGCTTGGTCCCGCAGAGAAAGCCCTGATACAACTTGAGACTCAGAGACCCGAAGCCAACCTCGCCAGAGAAAAGCAAGGCCAAGATGCTGGCGATACGGAGAAGCGGTCACATCAGGTTATTCCTCATCGGCTTCCACAAGACGACGACGACGAGGTGGACCTGCTCGCCGTCGAGGAGAGTGACGGGATTCAAGAACATGCTGGTGCAACCCCAGACCGCCATGGCATAACATCAGAAGAAGGGCAAGACAGCTGCGAGACCCATGTAACCGACAGCCCACAGCGACAGGTCAGGATCACGGCGAGATCAGTATCTCCTGAGTCACGTCGCAGTCAATTTGATGATATCCGAGGGGGGCCGCTGCGGTGGGTACAGGCGTTTCGGAGATCCGACACGCAGTGAAGTGGCTGGTCATGATAGGGATATTTGGAAGGACGAAGCTTTGAAGGTGGTGGTGGAAACTTGCTAGGAGATGGATGTATAGGGTCATCAAACACCGCGGTCAGGGGTTTGCTGATCGAGACTAATTGCTTTCAATGGATGTCATCAATCCTTAGCTCACCATCAGTCAGAGAAGCAATCGAGAATGGAGGAATCAACCACATACCACAACACAGCCACATAATAACGGAAGTCAAGCATGAAATTCCCCTACGACGCCGCAAGTCCCGAACCAGATCCTTTATACCCTACACCAACCAGAGCGCAACAACCGGTTCATTTCGCTCCCTTCCCCTTCGCCTCCGTCTCGCCCAACTCGCGCACAAACAGCTTAGCCCTCCCCTCACCACTGTAATCCTCCATGCCCGTCTCGAATCCAGGACAGACCCCAATGGCAAGGTACTTGCCATCCCCGGAGAAAGCCAGCGCCGCCACGCTCTCGGGGAACCGCTGATACTGCCTCATCCTCCGCTTGGCCTCGGCGTCCCAGAGAGCCACCGTGCCGTCGCCGCCGCCGGAAGCAAACGTGCCGTAGACCGGGTGGAACGCGAGCGCGTTGACGGGGTACACGACGTCGCCGCCGCCCTCGTCCTCGGGCGCCGCCTGCCGGTGGCACTTGAAGGCATACTTGCGCGCCTGCGATTCGGCGCTGTCGTCGAACCACTCCACCGCCACGCGCCCTTCGATACTCGATGTTGCGTACCCGGCGTCGTTGGGCATGCAGGCTACGGCGCGGGTGAGGAACTTGAGAGAGGATTCCCGGGTTTGCCAGGGCTGGGGGGGTTGTTGTTGTTGTTGTTGTTGCGGGGAGGTGGAGGAGGATGTGAGGGCTTTGGAAAGGGTGGGGAGGTCGTAGATGTGCACTAGGCGTGCCGTCATGGCGACTACCAGTTTGGTTGGGGAGGCGGCGAGGGCGTGCGGTTTGCCGGGGAGGGGGATGGTAAGTGGGGTTCGGGAAGGGTCGGCGGTGTTGTGGACGTGAAGGGTGCCGTCCCAGGAGGCGGAAATAAGGAGGGCTGGAAGGCGAAAGGATTGGTTAGCCAAGAGGTGGTGGTTGGTGTAGGCAAGCTGGGGTTGCTTACAGTGCTCGGCGCTGTAGACGACGCAGCGGACGGGCTCGGAGTGCTTGCTCAAGACTGTCTGTTCGCCGGTCGCGAGATCAAGTCTATTGTACGATAATCAGCCACTGGTCCTCCGGGTCTGCACAAGCAAGAGACGGCGTATACCTCTTGACCTGGTGATCAACCCCCGCTGTGAAAGCCTCGTCTGGACTCGCGCCAAAACAAACGTCCAGCACGGGCGCGCGGTGCTCAAAGGTGCCAATCAATTCCGCTTCGTCTGCGCTGTTGGCAACCTCGTAGAGGTACACGTTCTTGTCCCATGACGAAACCAACAGTCGCCTTGATGTGCCTGGGGCGAAGACGAGAGCCGAGATAGCGTCATTGGGCGGTTGCGTCGCCTCGAATTGTGTTGCTAGGAGCTTGTTAGCGATGAGAAGAACAGATGTGAACAGAAATTAATCAACAAACCTGGTGCCATGACGATGTATTGTTGCCGAATGAGCGACTCGTGGATTGAGGGGGCTTCGGCAAGCTCCAAAACGAAACCAATGCAGGAAGCTGGGGCAACATGGGCAAAGGTAAACAAGGGTCAATACTGCCACGAAACACCGCCTGGAGCTCATCGCCAATGTCAGGGTTGTGGAAGGTGCATTTCAGAATTCGATATTTCAACCACGCTTCCGACGAAATGGAAATTCCCTAGACCGATGAAACATCATGACAAGCTTAGCTAACTAGGGTAAGCAAAATAGCTAGGGTTACTGCAGGGCTAAGCCTCAGAGAGGTCTTTCGCTAGTGGGTGCTAGTGATAGACTGAAAATATCCTGTATTTAACCCTGACCATGAGGTAATTACTTTTCGGACTAGGTTAGTGAAAAGTTTCAGGAAATTGCGAAGTTCACTCGCCGAATTGAGATTTCATTCCTTTCAAGGCCCCCTTGGAAATCCGCAACCCTAATGGCCATCGCCGTGGACGGGAGTGGGTTGCGTTGACCCACCGGTGCTTGCGATGGGATCTGGCGGGGCAATTGAAACTACACAGAGCTTGACGGCCTCGTTTGGAGATAGAACCTTCGAGGCTTGCTCCTCCAGCCATTTAACCATTCGGTACTTAATGCGCAACTACCTCAGAACCTCGCGCATGCAGTTTTCTCAATGATATGGGAGTTCTATAGACAATACTACAAGATGCCGTTCGGACAGCTCGTCCTGGGCAGCCCCGGCGCCGGGAAGAGCACATATTGTGATGGCAGTAAGCTCAACCCCAAAGCTCGCCTAAGGACTACGAAATTTACTAACAAATGCAGTGCACCAGTTCATGGGCGCCATCGGGCGACAATGTTCTGTCGTCAACCTCGATCCTGCGAACGATCACACCAACTACCCCTGCGCACTCGACATTCGGAACCTGGTCACGCTGGAAGAGATCATGTCAGACGATCGGCTAGGGCCCAACGGCGGGATCCTGTACGCGCTCGAGGAGCTGGAGCATAACTTCGAGTGGTTAGAGAACGGGCTAAAAGAGCTGAGTGACGACTACATCCTGTTTGACTGCCCGGGCCAGGTCGAGCTCTACACCCACCACACGTCCGTGCGCAACATATTCTACCGGGTACAGAAGCTGGGATACAGGGTGAGCAACAACCCCTCCTCCCCCCTCCTTCCATCTCCAGCGCCCTTACTAACAAGCAAACGCGGCAGCTCGTAGCAGTGCACCTATCCGACTGCTTCTGCCTGACACAGCCCTCCCTCTACATCTCCAACCTCCTGCTCGCGCTGCGCGCCATGCTGCAGATGGATTTGCCGCACATCAACGTACTGACCAAGATCGACAAGATCTCGTCGTACGACCCGCTGCCCTTCAACCTCGACTTCTACACCGAGGTGCAGGACCTGTCGTACCTGATGCCGTGCCTCGAGGCCGAGTCGCCAGCGATGCGCAGCGACAAGTTTGGGCGGCTCAACCAGGCCGTCGCCGACCTCGTCGAGCGCTTCGGGCTGGTGAGTTTTGAGGTGCTGGCGGTGGAGAACAAGAAGAGCATGATGCATCTCCTGAGGGTGATTGACCGCGCGGGCGGGTACGTGTTCGGCGGGGCCGAGGGGACGAACGATACCATCTGGCAGGTGGCGATGCGGAATGAGGCGTCGATGATGGACGTGCAGGATATCCAGGATCGGTGGATCGATAACAAGGAGTTTTACGACGAGCTGGAGCGGAAAGAGGAGGAGGAGCAGGAGAAGCTGCGGGAGGCGCAGGCCGAGGCGGCGGCGGAAGTTACGGGCGTAGGTGGCTTATCGGGGATGCCGCTTTCAGATAGTGGAATACGAGTAGCGCGCAAGAAGAAGTGAAGTCTCTGAGTCGGGCTTGTCCCATTCACCCGTCGTCAGACGCGGACACACCGCCGTCTCCAGACTCCGGGATGTCATCAGTGTCCTTGGGACCTCCCAGCATGGCCAGACTGCGGGACTGCCTGTTGTCGCTGCGCAGGAGAGCGCCCAGGGCGTCGGACGACGAGCTCTTGCTGGCCATCTCGTCCTTGGCGGCGAGGACCAACAACTTGGCGCGGCGCACGGCCTCCTCCTCGACCTTGCGGATGGTGCCGCTGACGCGCACGACGCGGAAAACGCAGGGCCTGCCGTCGCGGATGGGCACGCAATTCATGAAGGCGAGGGCCGCCCAGACGAGGCGATAGTGGGCGCGCGAGACGCGCAGGATGAAAGTGGAAGTGGCGGGAGAGAGGTATTTTACTGCGTAGTGTGGTTAGTATCTATGAAAATGAAAGAGATGAGAGACAATGAATCCAATTACCCTGAAGACTCCTGTCCACGGCTCCCAAGCCGCAGTCGCCAAAGAGGGCGGCCACTTCGCTGCGGATGCCCTTGAGCAGCAGCTGCGGCCTCAGCTCGTTGCTTGTCGGTTGATTGTACAGGAGCAGGTCCGGCACGAAGCCCTTGACCTGACCCGGAGGGACATCGCTGTAGATGATGTTTACGAGGAGGTAGCGGTCTTTGAGGCGCACCATGGTGTAATTTTGAGATGCTGGGCTTTAGGCGAGGGTTGTATTAAACCAATGTCTTGAGTCCGTAGAGATGAATTACGGGATAAGGTACAGTATTTAAAAGTACATATTTCGGCTAATCGATAACGAGTCGGCGATCGAAGCAGTGGAATCCAGCTCTCTGGGTGGCTGCCGAGCTTGGCCTCGCTCACCTTGCTGTTGCTCAAACTGAAAGCCGAAGAGGGCCGAATCATTCCATGCACCACCTTTCCAGCACCGGGGAACCATCTGAAGTCGAGAGAAGGCCAGGCACTGCGCTTTATGACATGTAAACGGGTTTTTCACTCACATACAGCTACTGCAAGCAGTTATCGTCGTAGTAACAAGATTAACGAACATCCAGGATGATAATATCTCCGACTCCATCTTTTAGTATTCTGCTCAGCAGTCGAATGATATGCTACTTCTGAACCAGGACTATCCTTCAATACCAAGACGGGAGCCGCCGCAGCACTGCGCCTGAACCGCCCGGGCTTTATCCCCTTTCCTTCCTAACATCCATATTCCATCTCAGCACCAGGCGTACTTCTCGTTGGCGACCCAATCCAGCTCGGCAGTCGGCTCCTCGCCATACCACCTCAAGCTGGCAATGCTGTCCTTGTCGCGAGTGACAAACTCAAACTCGATGCCGCACTTCTCGACAAGGCCCTTGATCTTCGGCGTGGGATTCCACATCTGGACATCCTGTGTCTTCCACTCAGCCGCCTCGTGCTGCGCAACCTGCACGATGGATCGGAATCCGTCCACCAGTTTCTCGTCCGGCTGCTCCGGGTCTTCCACGACAACCCTCAGGATGTGCAGCGTGTTCCCCTCTTTCTTCTTCAATCCTCCATAGTACCCCCTCATCCACACTGCCCAGACGCGCTTCCCCGGTTCGCCAGCGACCGCGCCCCTGACAATTGGTGTGCGGCCAAAGATGGACTTGGTCATGTAATCCTCGCGCATGAGATGCCACAGCAGGGTATCGAGCTCGGGCACCAGCGCGACATGCGTCTTCCCTGGCCCGCGGCGAGCCAGATTCGCTCGCAATAACCTCTCATCTACCGCGCACAACTCCGCTAACTCATGATACCCAATCACCCTCGCAACCTGCCCCTCGGCCAGCCCCTCGACCGGCTTGAATGCCACATGCGAGCTCTCAAACGCGGCCCACCCATGCCTCGCGTAAAACGTCTTGCCGATATCGCTATACAGCACCGAAAACAACGACCTCCCATCGCCGTTACCACCACCACCAGCCTGCCACCCCCTCAACCTCTCCCCAACCTCCCTCATCATCCGACTCGCATACCCACGGCCCCTGAATCTCGGCTCCGTAAAAACGCTCGCAATCCCATGCGCCACCCCCTCCTTCACCTTCCCATCCCCATCTCCACCACCCCTACAAACAACGGCCCTCTTCCGCAGGCTTTCGCACGACGAGAGGATGGGCCTCCGGTCCGGCGCGGCATCCGCGACCGTCAGGATCCAGTGCGTGATGCCGCCGTCACGGGCGAGCGGCACCGTGGTCAGGTAGGCCTCGCGGGCGAGGTAGTCGTGCTCCGTCAGCGCGCCGCCCCACATCGGGTAGGTCATCTTCCAGGTGTGGGTGCGCTCGGCCGGGGTCGGGTGCGTCAGGATGAGCTGCGGGGAGGAGGCGTCCGGGAGGGAGTCGAGCGGCCAGGAGGAGGCGGCTGCTGCTGCCGCTGGGGAGGGTGGTGCCGAGGTGGAGGAAGACGGGTTGGTGGCTGAGGGGTTGTGGGAGCCCATTTTGAAACTTTGGTTTGGTTTAGTTATATGGTTAGTTGTTTTTCTTTTGGTGTTGTTGATGGTTGACCGCCGCGTTGAGATGTGTGAAGCTCAGGGATGCCTCTGCAGGGCCTCTTTTGTCAAAGAAGAAAGCAGTCGGAAACGGGAACAAAGCATTGAAAAGTCCGGCTTCAGATTCTCGTTTTAAGAGCTACACTGTAGGCCACAGCTTACCAGGTGGATTCCTCAGAAACCCACTCGGTCATGCACGGGCTGCTGCGCCCTCCATCCTTCGCCGCAACACTAGCTCTGACTCCAACGGCATGGTTAGCCATAGCAAACATCTGTCACATTCTACCCAGCAACACGTACTCTCAACACCAAGCTGTCAATCACTTGACCAAACGCCGACAGATAGATGCAAAGACAGTGTAAGAGAGGCACCCATGGACAAGGTCACCCTTCGTGTTGTCCCATTGGCCAATCGGACCGGACAAGCAGGTCAGATGTCGACTGTAGCTCTCGACCGGGGATGTTGCAGGGTTGAGCATCGCTCCCTTACAATGATTTTACGTCACAGAGACTATTTCAGAACCGGCTCCCGGCGGAACGGTTGCAGGAATCCTCGTTTGCTTCTCGGCGCTGGTGCAGAGGATAGCGGAGAAGACCGACGGTACGGGTTAAGCCGATGGTATGCGGGCCAAATAGAGCCCAGTCGAGCCAGAAAAGGGTCACAAGATGCGCCAGGGATGCGGAACAGTCGATCATCAAGGTATTGGATCTTGGTATTTACCTTGAGGGCAAAATTGTGATGTTCACTTTGGGATGCGCCGTTCCCTATCATGGGCCCGTGTGGCGGCTACGCCGAGCCCGGGCGTGTGTGGTGAGTTATCACTCCAGAAGCCTGGATCCTGACGCTGCTTGACAGTCATGCGGGGCGACTTCTTCATTCGTCTCATTATGACAGCATGTCTGTTCGTCTAATGGCCGTGGCCGTCATCCTCCGGTTGCGGCTCCGGGTCCAGCTTGATCAGGGTATCAATGCGCATGATGCTGATACACGCTTCCACGGCGCTCTTGAGTTGCCGAATCTTGCTGATGCTGGGCTCCACCACACCCGCCTTAATTTCGTCCACCACCTTGCCCTTCATCAGGTCCAAGCCATAGTTCTTGTACGCCTTCTTGCGTGCCATCGTCTTCTCGTCCTCGTTCGCCTCGCCCTCCTGGATGCGCTGCGAGAGGGCGTGCCTTGACCGCAGCTGTGCGACCAGCTCTGAGGCATCCTTGGCTGCGTTGACAGCCAGCGTCTTGGGAATCACCAATAATGACTGCGCGAACTCGCCGATGGCGAGCTGCTCCCGCGAGCCGACTGTGCCGGCAAACTCCTCCAGGTAAATGTGAAGAGCCGTCTCAACCGCGCCGCCGCCGGGCACGATGCTACCGCTCTCCAGAGTCCGCTTGACAGCGCACAGACTGTCATGTACGGAGCGCTCCATCTCGTCGAGTTGGAAGTCGTTGGGACCGCGGAGAATGATGGAGGCTGACGAGTGAGCCTTGGTGCCCTTGATCAGGATGCATTCATCGTCCGAGATGCGCTCCTGGACCACCTCGTCGGCATGACCGAGGTATGATGGCTCAAACTTCTCATCACCGTTCAGGTCCGAGAGTGTGCTCAGCAGGGTGGCGCCGGTAGCCTTGGCAATCCGGCGCAGGTCCTCCTTCTTGCACCGGCGGACTGCCATGGCGCCCCTCTCGACGAACAGCTTGAGGCAGAGGTCGTCGATGCCCTTTGTCGTGAGTACCACATTTGCGCCCGCCTTCAGGATCATCTCTATCCGCTCAATAATCATGCCTGACTCCCGCGCCCGGATTTGCTCAAGCTGGTCCGGGTCATCCACTGTTATCTGAACACCCAGCTTCATCCTCTCCTTTTGGAGGTTCATATCCAAGCAGGCAATTTTGGCGTCCTGTATCCGCGTCTTCATCGCTTGCGAGGCTACGGTGCAGTTGAGCGCGTAGCCTTTGACAAGAATCGACTCGAGGGCGCCCTTGCCGTGGGCCTTGAGGATGTTGACCGCCTTGACGGGGTACTTCGCCTCGCTCTTGTTGTTCGTCGTCCGGACAGCCTGCATGGCATCGACGACCATGTTGGCGAAGAAATCCGAGTCGGCGCCAATAATCTTGCTGGACATGGACGTCTTGGCAATGTTCAAGAGCGACTCCCGACCCAACTGCTCAACCTTGATGCTGACGTGCTCGTTCATGTACTTGACGGCCTCGCGGAGGGCCAGGCGGTAGCCCGTGATGATTGTCGTCGGGTGTATCCGGTTCTTCATCAGCTCGTTTCCTCTCCTGAGCAGCTCGGCAGCGATCAACACTACTGATGTAGTGCCATCGCCGACTTCCTTGTCTTGTTGCTGTGCAAGGTCGACCAGGATCTTGCCGGCAGGGTGCTCGACATCGAGGAGACTGAGAATGGTGGCGCCATCGTTGGTGACAGTCACATCCTGGACCTGTTAGGCTGCGTGATTTGCGTCGTGGGGTGACGGGCGAGGGTGCGGGACGTACTCCAATATCATCCACCATCATCTTGTCAAGGCCGCTGGGCCCAAAGGAACTCTTGACCACGTTTGCGATAGCTTGGGTAGCAAGTACTAGGGGGTCTCATCAGCAATATTCACTGGGATGGGAACGGCACATCAATTGTAACTGGGCAACCAACCATTCTGGTCCCTGATGTCTGCACCGGAGAGCTTTGTCCCGCCGAGGAACAGCGTGCCGTTACCCGACTGCTCAAACATGGAAGCCATCGTGACGGAACGTCGGGGTTGTCTTGACAGCTGGTGACGATGGAGGAGAGGGGCAAGATGTGGTGGGGGAGGTCGATGTCAAAAAAGTCGGGTCTGTTGACAGGCTCCAACAATTTCGAAGCTTCGGCTCGCTTTGCTGCACCAGGCAGCTTCCAGCAACTTTTACCGGAGGGGAGATAATCCCATGCCGGCTGTCAAACAAAAGCGTGGTCTTTGATTGGTTGTACAGCCCCACAGCATCCCATGTTATCGATCGCGGCCCAGCCCACGCTGCATGGCTGCCCCTCGATTTCAGCTCGGCGGAGGTTGAAAGTGCGGGGCACCACAAAAGCAGCCCGCGTTTCCTTCAAAAGTTCGAGTCACTCGACTCTGCAATTTTGACTCACTCCCCGGTTCTGACAGAGCAGTTGGGCACTCAGTGTCAATTTTTATAATCCAGGTCGACTCGACCCCATCCCTTCCTCCAACCTTTCTCCGGATCGCCAGAACCATGGAAGACGCAAAGGAGCAATCGAAGAGCGCGCTCAAGAAGGCCGAAAAGCAGGCCAAGATGGCGGCTGCAAAGGCCGAGAAGGCGGCAAAGCAGGCGTCGCTTCCCGTCGTTGGCGGCAAGAAGAGCGACGACATCATCGGCATCACGGTTTCCAAGACAGAGAACTTCCCTCAGTGGTACCAGGAGGTGGTGCTGAAGGCCGAGATGATCGAGTACTACACCGAGATCTCGGGTTTCTTCATCATGCGCCCCGCCACCATGTACATTTGGAACACCATTCGAAAGTGGTTCCAGGAGCGGATTGAGGCGATGGGTGTCGAGGAGACCAGCTTCCCCATGTTCCTGTCGCAAAAGTCGCTTGAGAAGGAGAAGGACCACGTCGAGGGCTTTGCCCCCGAGCTGGCCTGGGTAACAAAGGCGTAAGTCGGCTGCTACCAGACTTTTTTGCAGTTTTGACACTAGGGGTTGACGACATAATAGTGGTGATAAGGACCTCGAAGTCCCTGTCGCTGTCCGTCCAACCTCCGAAGCTGTCATGTACCCTTGTGAGTAATCTGATGTCCTCACACACGTCGACATCGCTGACCCGGACAGACTACTCCAAGTGGATCCGCAGCCATCGCGACCTTCCCTTCAGGCTCAACCAGTGGAACTCGGTCGTCCGCTGGGAAGCCAAGCAGACCACCCCCTTCCTAAGAGCCAGGGAGTTCCTCTGGCAAGAAGGCCACACCGCTCACCTCACCGAACAGCTAGCCGGCGAGGAGGTGCTCCAGATCCTCGAGCTTTACGCGGGCGTCTACGAACAACTGCTCGCTGTGCCGGTCGTGAGGGGGAGGAAAACCGAGGCCGAGAAGTTCGCCGGCGGCTACTACACAACAACGGTTGAGGGCTACATCCCATCCAACGGGCGGGGTATCCAGGGCGCGACATCCCACTGTCTGGGGCAGAACTTCTCCAGGATGTTCGACATCACCGTCGAGGATCCCAACGAAAAGGGCAAGCACATCCACGTTTGGCAGAACTCGTGGGGTCTCTCAACACGCGTCATCGGCGTCATGGTGATGATCCACGGTGACGACAAGGGTCTTGTCCTGCCTCCGCGCATCGCAAAGATCCAGTCCATCCTCATCCCCGTCGGCCTGACCGCCAAGATGTCGGCCGAAGACAAGGAGAAGCACCTGAAGCACCTCGACGAGATCTTCCACACGCTCAAGAAGGCCGGCGTGCGCACCGAGGTCGACCTTCGCGAGGGCTACACCCCGGCGTGGAAGTTCAACGACTGGGAGCTGAAGGGCATCCCGCTCCGGCTGGAATTCGGCCCCAAGGACGCGGCCAAGGACGTGGTCAGCTACGCCCGCCGCGACACAGGCGAGAAGGGCACCATCGCCATCGCCGAGCTGACGACCAAGGTGCCCGAGCTGCTCGAGACGATCCAGCAGGACATGTACAACAAGGCCGACACGGCCTACCGCGCGCACCGGCTCCAGATTACAAAGTGGGACGAGGTCGTGCCGGCCCTCGACGCCAAGAATGTCGTCATCATCCCGCACTGCCTGGTGCCCGCGTGCGAGGACAAGATCAAGGAGCTGACGACGGGGCGGTCCGACGACGCGGCCGAGAACGCCCCCGAGGGCCAGAAAGCGCCCTCAATGGGCATGAAGTCGCTGTGTATTCCGTTTGAGCAGCCAGGGGGTCTGGTCAAGGGCGAGACCAAGTGCCTGAACCCGGAGTGCACTCGATTGGCGGAGCAGTGGTGCATGTTTGGGCGGAGCTATTGAGCCGAGCAAATGTAGCGAATCAAAAGAAAGCGATCTTACTACCCTGTTGCTCTCCCACCGTTTTATCGTCCATCTGTCAGTGGAAATTGGTATTGGCGGGCTGAGATGCTGTGATTGCGACTGATATGCACTGTATCCGGTGTCTGGGGATGAGGGATCGGAAAGCGCGGTTAATGGTGGGTGACTTGCTCGACCAATACCTTGGGCTGCTTTCTACATCCGTACAATTAGAAGTGTGATGGAAGAATTGGCGACGCTGGGAATCAATTTGCATTTGTATGGTCATGACTCGTAAAACTAGGGCACTTCCATGTCCCATCCCACTTCCAGACGTATCTTCAGGGTATCCCGCTATGGTCAACCGCGACTCAATGAGTCCCTCGTGTGTCCTCCCCGCCAAATATACCAAGATCAGAATCGTCTATATCTGCGGACGACCAAGGGTTCGGCGCCCCAATATCCCCTGCTAACTGATTCGAGATTCGACATATGCCACCAAAGTTTGAGCTGTATGCCGCTTCACCCACCCGCGCCCGAGGCCGCAGCCACAGCCGCAGCCTCGGCAGCACCCACTAGCTTCCTCGGTCTGCCTCTAGTCCTCTTCACCACCCCTTCCCTCCCCACCAACCCACCATCCTCAATATCATCCAGCTTCCTCTCCCTCTCCTTCTCGCCCGGACCCTTCCTAGGCCTCCCCCTTCTCCGCCTCGTTCCCTCCCCGTCTTTCACCAACACGTCCCCTGCAACATCCCCATCCACCCCATCACTAGATGCAACACCAGCACCAGTCTGCCTGCTGATCCGCCTGTCCCTCGCCCTGCCGAGGGCCTGCTGATCCAGCTCCCTCCGCCACTCGCACTCGTCGCGGAACTCGCACGACCGGCACTTGAAGCCGGCCTCCTCAAGCGGCACGCCGCGGGGCTCGCGCTCGCCCTTCCACCAGCGCATGGTCTCCGAGAGGAACAGGTCGAGCGTCTCGGGCTCGACGAAGAAGGTATCTGTGCAGATGACGGAGCCCCGCTCCGGTTCCGGTTCCTGTCCGTGTCGCCGGCTACGCGGGGCGAGCGAGGTCGGCTGGAAGCGGTCTGTTTCGTATGGGCCGAGGTTCATGTCGGTGGTGGTGGTGAGGAAAGGGGGGTTCTCATTGGTGGTGGCTGGAGGTGGGGAAGGGGTGGGCTCGTCCCCTCCGCGGTAGCGATACTCGACTGCTACTATCCTGCCGATGTCTGCGGCACCGCGAGGGAAGGTGAGGCGGATTTCCTGCTTGAGGAGGATCAACAGGGTGCGGAGGGTGCGGAATTCGAGATTATGGGTGGTGGATGAGGAGGTGAAGGATAGCTGGGAGGGGCTGCAAGGGGCCGACACGAATTCCGAGTTGGAGTCAGTGCTGGACTCGCTGTTGTCCAGGGTGAAGACGGATTCGGCGTCGGCGTCGGGCTCTGCAAAGACTTCCTCGTGAACCGCGCCGATTTGCGCCATGAAGGAGTCGGAGAAAGGCTCGTCTGGGTTAAGGTCGTACCGCTCAAAGACGCTGATGTAGTCCAACCTCTCGGCGGCCATGTCCGAGAGAAAGCGGTGGTAAAGGAAGAGTTGGATGATGGATACCCGCACCTGTTCCTGCCGGGGCGGATAGGCGCTATTCCGGGTCTTGACGTCGGTGATGAAGATCTCGGAGTCGCCTGGGGTGCTAGGCTCGTAGGGCTGCGAATTTGCAATGGTTCGGCTGCTGCCGCGGCTGCTGAATACGCCGCCCTGCAACTCCTCGTCGGGGTTCTCATAGCTCAGTCCGTCGATGACACCATTGACGACGTGCCCTTCGACCATGCCCCACACCTCAAACTCGCGGGTGGCGCCCTGCTCTCGGAGCACGCGCAAACCCTGGATCATGTTCCATAATTTCAGGCCAAAGTAATCCTCTCTCTTGGTGACTTCGACTTGCACGGTCCTGAAGACCTCACGCTCTAGCTTTTCATGTAGCCTGGTGCCCCGTTTCATGGCCGCTGTGCGTGTCTTTTTCCCCCCCGGGAGCTTAGTCAGGGTGTAGAAGTGCTGAAGCTCGCACCAGGACCCGGCGGTCAAGTCCGACACGGACAGCGTCTTCATTGGAAACGTACGGAACCGGAGCAATGGCGAACGTTTGTCTTTGAGGTCGTCCTCGGACGGGACTTGTGCTTTTGTAAAGAGGCGCGCAGTCTCTTCGGCGTCAGACAGGGCGCGACTCACTAACCGTTTCTGGGTCAGTTAGAAGAATTGTGCGGTTGCGCAGTAGCAGAGAGCTCACAGTCCGGGTAGCGAACGTCCGGCCCTGGGAGCAGCGCGGGCATAGACCGTGGCTTCGTCTTGGGTACGAACGAAGTATGGTCGCGGTCAGTCCCTGCGACTGAAGGCGCGAACCTTCTGCTTTTCCAGTCAGGCATACTGCTGCGTGAGACGCCATCATGGACAAGCGCAGAGCCCTGCCCGTGGCCGTAGTCGTCATCTTCGTTGAGCTCCGAAACGTCGAAACTCAGGTCCTCATTGGTTATGGCAGCAATGGTCTCCTCGATGGCAAGAGTGGCATCAGGGTCGAAAACCGGGGTGAAGGGACTGGATGCGATCGTGTTTGTGTTTCTTGCAGGGTTTGAGGAACTTGTCGGCGTTGCAGGGGTCCGTCGGCTTGCCGGGACTGGTTGTGAGTGGTGTGGCGACACTGCGGAGAGACGGTCGACGATGGCCCAAAGTGTCTCCTCGTCCGACGCCGTCAAACCGTAGGAATATTCGCTGCCGCTATCCGATGTGAAGCCCGCCATCACAGTTGGCTTGGATCATCTTCGTGGAGTTGGGCGAATAAGCAGAAGCAATTGAGGGCTCGGAAGCAACGAGGCTGGGAGAGCCGGCGAGAGTGGTGCAGTGGCTGACCTCACCCCTCCTCACTTGCCGATTTGAGGCGTCATCGATTGGTTGAGCAACGCGCCTGCCCTTGCGCGAGGTCACATGGTATTTGAGTGAGAATTAGGTTGTACAGGCCAGCACTCATGGAGGGTCGGGTTTTCTTCTTATGATGATGGTTCCTCAACAAACTTCCCACACTGGGTGGTTTCAGCTGTCCCGTGAAACGGCTCTAGCTCCTGACATACTTAGGAAGTATGCAACGCCTGCCACTTCGTATTGACGAGTTTGACTACAGGCTGCAACGAACAGTTACTTCAGGTGACGCAACGGTCCATAGAGACCATTCTAGATTGGGCTTAGCCAGGCACCGGCTTTGGCCTGGCAAGGGGCACGCAACGCCCTACTCGACCGTTTGGATCGCCATTCGGCAGGGCTGACCGGCGGCCTGACGTCCGAACGGCCACTTGGAACGCGGCTGTGTTTCGCGATGGTGTCCTTGCCAAAGTCACATGAATCTTAAAGAGTCAGGTCGCATTCTCTCCCGCCGCCTGTCGCCCGTCCATATTTTTATGCTCTACCTTACCTTGCCGCATGCGCACGTACACGTAGAGCACACTGGCACTCACATCCTCCATCAAGTCGGCTCACCATTCGCAATCAGCCCCGGCCCGGGACCCACCTCCCGAGTCCCGCTCGGCAATTTGACTTTCCGAACCAACACCCGGGGCTCGGCCATGGAGTTTATCCTCCGACTCGTCCGGCGACCCGCCGCTTCCGCCGAGTCCCTACTTCTACAAGGCCCAAGACCTCAAAATGAAACCTTATCCAGAGACGCCGCTGCCACCTCGAAACCAGCAACAGAACTAGCACGCCGCCGTCCAAAACAACGGCCCGGCCAGACAACCCTCATGACGCTGCCCCCGGAGCTCCACCTGCTCATCGCGCAGCACCTCACCTACCCGGACGCGCTCTCCTTCAGGCACACCAACCGCCACTTTTACCAGCTGGTCGACACAGGCGTGCGGCTCAAAGTGGCATGGCTGATGGAGCGGCGGCTGCTGCATCTCGAGTGCCCGAATGACCAGCGTTGCGATCTGGGGAGTGATTTGAGGTTTTGTCGAGGGAGTGTAAGGTAAATCACCTCTTTCCCTGGTTGAATATGACATGCATGTGAAAATATTGAATCAACAAGCGTAAAACTAACAACTGACCTCGGGGGCAGGCTGTTGATGCAACGGCGCAGAGAACACATCGAGTGCGAGTCGCGGCCGGGACTGGGGTGTCTGATCTACGGAACCAGCACGTGTCCGCACGCCAGGAAGATTAGGACGCGAGTCAAGAAGTGGATGCGCATGCATTCCGCTGACCAGACGCGGTGGGTGTTATTTCTTGCGTCACTGCTGCCGTTGTTAGTTGGGTGGCTGTGGATGCTTGGTGTCATGACTCGGCATGTTCTGATTCGGATTCTTTGACCAGTCTGACGGCATGTCTGGGCAAGTTGTGTTGTGTTGTCCGCCTGCGATGAGCTAGTTGCGGCGCCTTCCTGCAGATCGGTCGGAGTACTTGTACTTGTAATAACGGTGTATCACTGTCTTAGGTTCGGGGATCTTATAGTGTTTGATTTTGGGTAAGAGCACCAAGCCATATTACGAATAGGTACAGTACCTACCTTAATTCAAAACCTGTTTCCGGCCCTTTGAAGCGGTTAAGCTGAATAGCACCCTGATTCGGCAGCCTGGTGTTTGTCCATGTAATCCAGTCCCTGTCCAAGAAGGGGCTGCTCTATGTCATCAACGACACCCAGATGGACTACGGCAGCTCCTCGTTAGCTGGAGCTGGAACTCTAATAGTGGGCTCGGTGAAAAGCAGATCTAAATGAAATGGAAGACAGAGCTTGAAATCCGTCGGTATTCATTGTCAAATCATTACCCCGAATCGGCAGGCCTGGGCCGCGCCATCTTGCGAAGCAAAACCTAAGCTTTGACGGGATGGGAACCGGGGACTGGAGACTCTAGAGCCGAGAGGGCCAGGGGCTGGCTCCATTCCAAATGTGAACGAAGTTGCCTTCGAGGGGCGCGGCGCTCTCTGAAGTCCTGACCTCTTCAGACTAGGCTGGAGCTCTTCCCATCACATCAGCACACTCCAAATGTCCGGTGACGGTGCCATAGCAACCCTAATTGGTCCGGTACCATTCCTGATCGAAGCGGAAATTGGTCTCCTTCAGCCACAATCTGAACTCATCGCTCCACCAGGCGCTATCATCGTCGAGCACGCGGTACTCTTCCGGGCTCTTGCGCTTGGCCACCGGGATACGGCGCGGGTACGGCGCCGCGGCGTCCTGCGGCTCAATGCCGCCGAGCAGCCGATCCTGGCACATCTCAACCCAATGCTCCCGGCAGTTCTCGGACTTGGTCCTGTATTACTCGACGAACGTTTGCACCTTGATTTCCACCCCGCTGAAGCTGCCGCTGTCTCGCGTACTCCACGCCGTGCCCTCGTTTCCCTGAACGTTGAACCCGCGAACATAGTCTTCCATCTCCCGCTGGCGCTTCTCGAGGTAATACCCCAGCGGTATCGGCACCCTTTCATGCGACCGCATAAAGGTCACTCTAGCTAGCTTGACCTCGTCCAGGGACGGGATGTCGCGCAGCCTGCAACGGCGCGCCGGCGGGAGAGATGCCCCAGCGGTTGAATGGATGCCCAGGGTGCTGGGCAGCACAAAACGATAAGGTGCGCAGGAACACGGCTTGCTGCCGCATAATTACGGCCAGCTGTTCTGAGCGGTTATGTACCGGCGACCTTGACGGCGATATGGCGCAGCTCCCGAATGAAGTACGCATTCTCAGGCTTAAGCAGAAACGCGCACATGGCGCCGGCATGGTCGCGGCCACAGTAGAGCGTACCGATGGCCGGGATGAAGTGATGGTAATGGGACAGCGAAGCCCGCGTTTGGGGAGTACTGCAGTTGGAGGGCTCCGGTCGTGAGAGCGACCTGTCGTGCAGTGCGGTAGATGTGTGCGATAGCGGGCCAAGCTGTGTCGACGGTGAAGGGGAGCGCGGGCTCTTTGTCGGCAAAGGGAAACTCCATGATCTGCAGGGACCACGTGATGCATACCTCTGGCTCGGGATTGGGGAGCGCAAGGGCCCAGATGGCGAATGAAGTTCGGCTGGGAAGTGACAGAAGAGAGAAAAGGATGCCATGGCGGAAGACGCTGCTGGGAGCCTGGGACTGGGCGGTCGGGCAGGCTGATCATAGGATGTAATCTAGCTGGTGGTGCCTTGAATTGAAATGAACAGGACAACATGAGTGGATCGTTGTCTGACCTAGTCTGCCTTGGGCGGAAATCTGCCTGAAGGACTCGGAGGTTTGGAAGAACGTCCCATGAGCCGTTATTTACCGTACTTTATGGTTTGGCTTGCGATGTCATCTAAGGCACGAAGGGTCAGGGACGTTAACTAGGTCGGGTCAAGGGCAAACCGTGCCTGCAAACATGAAGGCTGCATACTAGTAGGCGATAATCAAAAACCACATGAGGCGGTGGTCAAAGACCTCCTGGCCAAACCTATCGCTTTGAATATCCGGGAGTCGGAGATGAGCGCTGGTATCACCAATGAACTCTTCGTTGTGGAAGCCGCCAAAGTCAGGAATCAGGAGTCAGGAGAATGGCAATCAGTCCTTGATCTCTGGGACTGGAGGCGGGATAGCATTACGCTTTTGCCTTGAACTAGTGCAAGCTGACTCATCTACATTAAACGTATGCAGATATACAGAATAACTCCGGATACTGAAGCCACTTGAGAAAGTTGATGCTCATTTCTTCTCGCCCTCAAAGCTGACGAACCACACGGTTAACAATCCCTGCGAAATGAAGCTTGCAGTAGTTAATTCGTCCCAGCCCAATAATGGCTTGACATTGCTGTTTCTTCTCCCGAAAGGAGGGAGCGTATCTAGGTGACTTGGATCAAGAATGACATGACTCCAGGACGTCCAAACACGCTGAAAGCATAACGCTGAACTTGAGCCCTACAGTCACAGTAGCATGCAGTTGAGCGACATTAAGCCAGTACTCAGTCGTCTTTTTACCAATAGGTGAATCATGGCCTAGTGCTTAACCGCATTCTGAGTAGCATTGTTGGCGGAGTATAAAGGGGCTCTTCATAACACTCCTCCTGCATTGGTTCAAAGTCCTTTGAGGGAAGGTTTAAAAACATACTATTTCCAAGTTTGAATAGCATGGTTATATACCATGGTATCTCGTGGGCCTCTTCTGCTTCTTTCGCATCATTGAGCCTCGTTCTGGCCAAGCAAGTTCGTTGCCAGGGCAGAGGAAGCGCCCACCATTTCAGCGAAGACATGTTCGATTTCGTCCGATCAACCACCGAGTCCTTGCCATACAACAGACGCGTCAAGCCTCGCGCGGTAATAGGTTTATTTACACAGCCCCAGTTCAGTTGGAATTTCATGTCTTCTTCACGTAGCGACTTCTCCTCCTCGTCGCAACTTCTTCTTCTCGTAGCAACTTCTTCTCGTAGCAACTTCTTCTTCTCGTAGCAAGTCCTTCTTCTCGTAGCAAGTCCTTCTTCTCGAATCTTCAACTCATCGGCTTCTTCATGCACTGGTCAAAGCTGTTCATTCCACGGCCTCTGTTTAAGATAAGGTACGAATCAGATCTCTCGCAGCCAGCCAAGGAATCTTGCCAAACAAAGATTCCTCCCTCCTTTCCCTCTTGCTCTCGTTGTCGTCTTTCATTGTCGACTCACGACTCCAAGAGCACCTCTTGTTAACATCTCTTCTGCGCTTCCAAAACAGCGCACCATAGCAACTCTACTGGAACTCCTTCACAGCGTCATTCTCAGCCAACCTCAGCAGCCATGGGATCAACATCATCTATGCCTGGACTTCCTTTAGCATCTCTGCGAACTGCCAACGTCCCTCAGAGCGCTGGAATCAGGTCTAATGGAGCGGGAAGACCTAGCATTATGGATCTACCCTTGGAAATCCTCTTCATGATCGTCGAGGCAGCAGCTACACCCCTGGACGACATCACACCGCTCGACCAGAAGTCCCTGTCGGCACCAAAGTCCCTGTCCATGGCAAACAAGGCCTTCCGTCAGATCTGCCTGGCGGCCACACTGCACCACATCCGAATGTGGAAGAAGGAGGCCAACTTAGCCGATCATCTCCGTCGCATCTACCTTGAGGGGTCAGACATCCTCCCCTTTGCGACGTAAGTAACCCCTGTTGCTCTCTTCCTCCCATCTTCTCCTCGCCTGACAGAGACAGTTCTCTCTCCATCAGAAGCATCGGCCCAGTGCAAGAGATCCCAGCCGGTGCGCGGCGGCATGCCGCCCAGCAAATGCCTGATTTCATCGAGAACCTCTCGCTCGTCATGTCAGTGATGCCGTGTCTCAGCGAGATTCGCTTCGTGGCGGACAACGGCAAGTACACCATGGAACCCGTCTGGCGGAAGCTTTTCAACCCGCGCTTCCGCAGGTTTCCCACCGTCAAGTCGCTTTACCTGCGCACGGCGAGCAGCATGGCCAGCATCTTCAAATGCTTCCCGAATCTTGAGGCCCTCAACTTCAACCTGCATGGGAACATGTCCCAAGCGCCTGGGAAGACGCTTTCGCCGGAGTTGAAGGTGCTGAAGCAGGGAGATCTGTCGATCCGGAGCCTGGCCATCCTCAAGACGGCTCAAGCGGGGTGGAACGAGGAAGACATCAAATGTGAGGTTCATCAGTTGTCGCCCAGGCTCATGTACTTCATGTCAAGACAATGAGCTTTGCTAACCTCGAATCCCCGACAGTTATCCTCGGTTTATTTCCCCGCGTCCAGCGCCTGTTCCTGCAAGGCTGCATCTGCTCATCCCTCCACGGCGACAGACTCGGCCCGCATACACCCAGCGACTTCCAGGTGAGTATCACACCCTTTAAAGCCTTTAACCACCGCAAGCCCCGTTGGAAGAAGCCTTGAACTAACCCCAATGTCACCCCTGACAGAACCTGGCCAACCTCTTCAAGCGGCATCGCAACCTCCGCCACCTCGCCCTGACAGACGAGATCTACTGGGTGGCCCACAAGAGCTACAGCATGCACTACAAGGTTGCGCTCTCCGACCCGTCCAAGCGCTGGAAGACCATGGCCACGGCCATGTTCAACACCCTGCCCAACCTGGACGAGCTCTGCCTCGCCCGCCAGGTCGACTTCAAGGGTCGCGTGTTCCGTCGCGGAGCTCCCCGTCCGAACCCAGCTCCGCCGACGATTCCCGCTACATGTACACAAACCGGACGTGCCATCGCCATCGCCGTCGCCACCTCTGTTGCGGAGAGTAATGCCAACCCCGGCCCCCAAGACCACGACAGGGAAAAACCCATCGTCCTCCGCACCTACGTCGACAAGCGCAACCCAGACTACGCCCTCGCCTTCCCCTATGACCCCAGCCCGCGCCTCATTTTCCCACCGGCCCGCTGGACGGGTACTCGTTGCGTGTGGTGGCCCATCAACGGGCAGGTTCCTGTTGAGCCTGACCAGTTTGGCGAGCCTGACGAGCCGGCGGGTTTTGTCTCGTTCACTTCCGCGGCGCCTGAGCTTGCTGTTGGGAGGGGTGGGGCTGCTGCTGGAGGTGGTGGGCAAAGGTATGTTCGAATCTCACGTTGATTTTGTTTGACTTTGTTCTGTTTGTTGTCATTGGGCTGGGTTGTGGCTCGGGGGTTGTGGCTCGGGGGTTGTGGCTCGGGGGTTGTCCGTCTTGTGTTTGTGGCGTGTCATTGTTGTCCGGGTGGCGAGTTCAGGTTGTGGAGGGTTGGTAGTTGAATGTCATCTTTCCTTTTCACCTTTTACTGCTTCTTTTTGTTGGGGTCAGTTGTTGTCTGTTTCGCCTTGTAAGCGGGGTGAGAGGACTAGTGAGAGGAAAGGGACATGGCGTCTTTCTCCAAACAGTGACAACACGGCCCGATGTTGTACTACTAGTTCGGGAGACACTCCATTACTAAGCCCCTGTTTCACATAGGGACCAGCCGGCGTGGATCAACTATCAGCAAATGATCAAAGATCACTGCGAAACGGGCGTTTGGGACGTTGAGTGGCTGCGGGTTGTGAGGCCCAGAGCACGTGCAGAGAGCCACCTCAGGGAGGACTGAAGGGATGGATCTGGGATGGATACGGGTGAAGTGGTGGTGATGGGTTGTCATTACATGGTAACCTTATGGCGCAGGCACACCATGGGAGGAATGACTACCTATCCTGGCACGAGTCAACTTCCACGGTGAGTTCATATCGGTCAGTCAGGAGGTACAGCAAGAGATCTGACTAACTCATTCTAATTGCGCAGGCCAAGTTGTTCCTGTTTTCGGCTTCGTCGAGTCCCCCCCGGGCTGCCTGACACCCTGGACGAGGCGACCTAGCAATTTCTTGCTTTGCATGTTGGGTATTTGTCTTTATATTGAGTGGGAGAATGGTATCGATGGTTGGATGGATGAAAAGGCATACCCGTGGAGGAAGGATATCGATGAGAGAGCCCAAGGCTTGATGGCGTGTGTCGTGCCGCCGTGTACGCAACATCAGCGCGAGACAGTCTTGTCACGATTGTACAGGTTACGACTGTTAAACTAGCATCAAGCATTGATCGAGCATATATTCCATCTTCGTCGCCCAGTCTAGATAGTTTGTACAATTAGGTACGCAACATCACTCACGTTACTTCCTCTGCCGCAACAGACAATGCCTCCCCCATTTCCTCCGCAGCCGCTCCGGCACAACGTCCCAATCCGGCAGCCACAGCGCCCTCGCCAGGAACGGCGTCCGCTCAGCATCCAAAAACGGCAGACACTTGACCTCCTCCCACCTGCCCACATCCTTGGCATAGTCGGGCTCGCGGGGCGACAGCGCGCCCTCCACATCCGCCCGCTCGGGAAACTGGGTATCCACCAGAAATACACAGCTCCTCAAATCGACATACTTGCCCGGGTCCTCCTCGTTGCGGTCATTCAGCCCAATGGTAGGCAGCCAGGTGCCGCTCCAGAACCCGAACCCGGTCCTTGCCTCGGAGAACTCCCCGGGCAACAGGCCCCTGAACTCGGAGCGGACAAACTTGGCGTGCATGTCGCGCGGCAAGAAGAAGGACGACGGGAACCGGTACCAGTCCTTGCCGAAGCAGACCGTGTCACCTGGCCCGCCCACGCTCTCGGCGAGCGGCGCGTAGAGGGCCAGCGGGGCGTGGTAGGCTGCGTACAGGCCGTATATGCGGGCCAGGCTGACGTTGACCGAGGCGACGAGGCCCAGAGCGACCACGGCGAGCTTGGCCTTGGCGGGGATGCGGCCGACGAGCGACGTCTTGGGGTCGGCGTTGCCGATCAAGGCGAGCAGCGTGTGCAGGGCCAGGGCAGCGTCGAGCGCGAGGAAGGGGTACGCCGGGTACATGAAGCGCTCTTCCTTGTGCGGCTGGAGGGTGAAGATTCCGAGCCAGAGGTAGAAGGGCAAAAGGAAGACGAGGGTACGCAGGCCCGACTGGAAGGACTCGCGCGCGTTGCGGTGCAAGAAGAGCTTTTGAAGGAAGAAGAGCGGAAGGGACAGGAGGGCGAGGATGAACCAGAGGTTGAAGTTGAGGAGGAGGTTTTTGAAGTAGAAGGTCCAGGGCTCCGTGCCGTAAAGGTTGGGGCCGCCCGTCTCGGAAAAGAGGTTATACTTGATGATGTTCCACGTGACAATCTCGACCTTCTTGTAGAAAAATGTGTTGACCGCAGTGTCGAGGACCTTGGTCCAGTCAGCAGGGGAAAGGAAACGAAGAAACGAGAGACACATACCACCAGAAGTAGCGCCGCGACGACGCCGCGCGCGAGCCTGATGCACGACTCGAAGAAGCGCTCCTTATCGCTCAACATGGCGAAGAAAGCCTCTTCAAAGACGAAAGGGGCACACAGTGCCATGGCAAAGGGCCAGCCGAGGACGCCGCCCAGGGCAAACCAGAACATGCCCTGCGACGTCTTGATTCCTCCCCGCCAGTTCATGAAGGCAGCAGCGCCGACCATGGCCATGTACATGGCAAAACTGGAGGGGAGGTAGGCGGTGCTGGCGTGGAAGTTGCCCGGGCTGAAGACAAGGGCCAATATGAAGAAGAGACCGACACGCGGGTTCAAGGCCAGACACACAGCACGCCACATCAGGGTCTGGCAGAGGGCGCAAGCAAGGGCGAGAAGGTAGCGAAGAAAGTAGAACTCGGCCGCCTTAGACGAGTGCGGTAGCAGGCGGCGGACATTGGCGCCGATGGCGTGGATGGCAATGTATAGCCAGCTGCGGATGGCATAGTCGGGTGAGTACTCCCAGGTCTGCAAACCGTAGTTATGGCTGAGATAGTGAGTGGGCTCCCAGTAGTTGAAGGTCTCGTCGCAGTCCTGGATTGGGGCGAAGAGGGCGGCGATGATGTTGGCGGCCAGAAAGATATAGAAGGCTGAGATGGGCTCAATGGCGAAGGCGTTCTTGATTGCCCTAATGGGGGTGTTAACTCCGTCAATCTGTATTTTCAAGTGCCGACTGTGTTTTAAGCTTCCTTTCCAACAACACAGCACCCTCAACTTACTTCTTCCTGGCATGCTTGGCCACTGGATGCACAAATTCCTGCTTCTCTTTGCCTGGTGCCATCTTGGACGCGGCTTTGGCTGAGACCTTGGGAGCCATTGTTCCAATCCCTACCCAGCTCAGAAAGTGACAGTTTCTGCAGCGAGATCCAAGGAATGACATCAACACCACAAAACAAGGACGGGATTGGAGCCTCTTGACAGATATTGTTGAGAACAAAGCTTCCATTCAGTTGAATTGAGAAAGGTCCACCTACCTGGAAACTTCCCTGCATGCCAAGGAGCGCTAGTTTACCCCAGGCATAGCGCTCCCGTGCTAATCTGTGCGTTTTGCAACTCAATCCTGTGACATGAACTTTTTCGCATCCCATCTTTTTCTGCCGCCGAACTCTTCACAACGGTCAACAAATTCGATCTCTTAAAGTTCGCCTCATGTTGCGATAGTTCATACAGATCCTGTTGTTCTTATTCTTTCATCCTGCCACATTCCTTAATCTTCTCCTTCTCATATCAGGGGTTTCGAGTTCTTGCTAGGTTGTGGTCTAGGATCTTTTCGCGCCGGCTTACCAGCAGTGAAGCGCATTGCGTATTGCAGCATTTGGTTGCCGCCGTCTCTCGACAGGGCTTCACTGGATTACAGTTGGCCGGTGTTATACACATATTCCGGTGGATAACATGACGGGAGCACCTTTTCAGATTCCTGGCCTTGGCCAGGCGAAACCCAACGAGCAATTGCCTGTCGAAAACTTCGCCCCCGATCTTCTCGCTGCTGCCGCAAGTGTATCGGGGATGGACGAGGCCATGGGGGGCGCTGCTAATGGGACTGCACAATGGGAGAGCAGGAACCACCAGAAGCACCAGCAAAAAGAGGAGGCAACAAAGACCAACGGAGTGGTCGACAAAGCAGTTGACTGCATGGAACTCGACGCAAGCGACGCCAGCACTTTGTCAGCCAAGCAAGGAGACAAACAAGATGCCAAGATGCGTGATCAAGATTCCAGGATAGCAGAAGGCCAGGCACTCGACATGGACATGAAGGCAAGCAGCGATGCACCGAGCCCGGATGTTACGCACGCTCTGGAGGCTGCCCTTGATAGCATGCTGTCGCATGCCGCTGAGCCGGCCGAGTCGAGACAGAATCAGAACGGAGGCGGCACAGAACAGGTTAGCAATGCCGATGAACCACAGCAAGAGGAGGAGCAGCCGGAGTGGGAGGCCGATTCCTCTCCTTATGAGTCGTCGTCGGAATCTTCCAGCTCCGACAGTGATTCGGATGACGATTCCGAAGACGGCGAGGATTACCCCCTCCTTGGTATTGAGGAGACAGCCCGCCTCCTAATGGCCGCCGATGGCGAGGGCGATTTGGACGGTGATGGGACCGGCAAGGCCAAGGGTGCCGGCGCCGTGCTCCGAACAAAGAACGAGATACCCGAGGATTTCATCCCGAAGCCGGACGTCACTATCACCCCCGACATGAAGATTGAGCGCCTTGGCAATATCGAGTTCATTGTTGAAACTACTGTTGTCATCAAATCCCAGACACCGGGCGAAATTCAGGTGTTGGACATGGGATCGGTGCTTTGCAAGGAGGACCGAACCGTCATTGGCGCCCTGGCCGAAGTCATCGGCAATGTCCGCAGCCCCATGTACACCGTCGGGTTTCCAAGCGAAGACGAGATCAAGGCGCTCGAGTTGGTGGCCGGCATGCCAATTTATTACTCGGTCGAGCACGCCAACTATGTCTTCACGCAGCCATTGAAGCAAGAAAAGGGCACTGATGCTAGCAACCTGCACGATGAAGAGGTGGCGGCTGACGAGATGGAGTTCTCTGACGACGAGAAAGAGGCAGAGTACAAGAGACAGCTGAAGATGAAGAAGCGAGGCATGAAAGGCGGCCGTGGCGGACGGGAGCAGAGCACGGCAGCCGGTCAGCCTACAGCATCCTACGCTGCACCGGGAGCCGCTCTCCATTATGACGAAGACGAAGACGGACCGTACAAGCCCCTGGCTCGGCCTGCTGGATTCGGCCAGGGCGGGCCGCCATCTCTCCCTCCCTTGCCCCCCAAGCCTGAGACCGGGTTCAGTCCGCCTCGTGGCGGTCGTGGCCATGGTCACCGCGGAGCCCATCGTGGAGGGCGGGGTGACTTTCGGGGATGGAACCACCGTGGAGCCCATCGCGGTGGTGACCGAAGGCGTGGCTCGTGGGGAAGCGGAGGCGGTACATACCAACAATTTGGCCGTGACGGCGCAGCATCGCCGCAGACAGCTTTGTCTAACATCCCGCCGCCGCCGCCTCAGAACCCTCACTTGCCCCCTCCCCCATTCGGTGTGAAGCCACCGGCGCCCACTGGGCAATGGCCGGTCCCTCCTGGCCCCTATGTCCCTCCCCTTCCCATGCCATATTCGCCTCCCGCCCAACCGCAGATCCCCATGCCGCAGCCACAACCCCCTTCAGGCGGCTTCAATTTTCACTATCAGGCCTGGAACCAGAGCCAAGGCCAACAGTATCAATACCCCCAAGCTGCTGCGCATCATCATCAGGCAACCCCTCACCAGCAAGCCGCGCACCCAACTGGGTATGCACAGCCCTACGCCCCTACGGTTCCTCCGCCGGCATCTGCTTGGCCGGCGGCCGGAGCGGCGCCGCAAACAACGAACCCCGCGGCGGGCGCGTATAATCCAGCTTTCTTTGGCGGTTACCAGCAAGCGCAGTCGGCTCCTCAGCAGGGACAGCAGCAGCAGCAGTACTGGCCCCAGCAGCAGCAGCAGCAGCATGGTGCCTATGGCCAGGGACCGAGCCAGTAGTGGCGGCTTGGGCACTTGCTTACATTTTAGGTGCTCAACTGACTGCCAGGTGTCAGTTGTGATTTCCTCTCCAATGGCCCAGATAACATCGCATTTAGCGTCGGAGCAAAAAGGCACAGCAGGCGGAGGGCTTGGCTTCAGCGTGCCGCATTACGAACGCCTCACAACGAATTGAACAGACTCGCGGTCTCCTGAGGAAGCGGAAGGGATGGCATCTAGTCATGACATGTCTGTGCCGAGTTCCGGAGCATTTACGCGTTTCTTCTGCAATGTATGGATTCTGGCAAAATCACTTCGCTTGTATGGAGGAGTTTTCCATGTATTATTTTAATGGCAGCATCACAAAATCGGCGTCGGGGTCTCACATTCGGTAGATGGCAGGGAAAAAGCGGTCAGTGATAGATTGGGTCGAGGAGGCAATCGTGTTGGGTCTGTTACTTGCGACTTCTCACTGTATCAGCGGTGCGGTTTTGATTGAGATTGCAACTGTACCTGCAGTCCCTCGGGTCGCGGAGGATGATCGGCGAGTCAGCTTTCCACACAAAGGGGAAGGGATTGTCGAGCTGCAACCCTCCGTTGAGGGTTTCCTTGGAAGCAGCGAAATCCCTCACGAGTGTAAAGGAGGTTTCGAGATGCACCAGAAATGGCAGCTTGACCAAATTATCTTGAATCTAACTATACGTGTTTCTCCATGCTGTCGTTGCGCGTCTGGGCAGAGCCTCGGTTCGGAATTGGTATCTTATCATCGATAGGCTCGAAGCCCCACAGGCACCCTTATTAGAGTACCTGAGGTAGGTATAGCGGGTTGAGCGATGACCTCTGCTTTCTCCCTGTGCCGGGCACCCTTGGCTGTTTCAAGTTGCCGTTTACGGGAACTTTTTATTACCGTGGTGCCACCCGACACCCGATCGCCGTGTCTTTCACAGCCGGTCGTCGTTGTTTGTCGTCGTTCCGTCTGGCTGATCACTGCTTTTGATGGTAGAAAGGATGTGGTTTTGGTTCCGGGTGCCATAACATATCCTTTATGGCTCGCAGCGGCTGCAGAAAAATTCCCTGGTGCTCAAGCTCGCTACCTTACTTTGGGGGGATCTTTTACGTCAGGGCGCCAACCACCGGCTGAGCGCCGGAAATAGAAACTGGAACTGCAGTTGGGGGGCGTTTTGCAGCTGCGGGTTGACTCCGCCGCCACGACTCCACGGGAACATCTGGCGCCACGTTTTTTTCAATCCCGCCATCGCGATCCGATTGGAAATGTGATCGGGGCGCGTCGCCGCGTTTTTAAACCTGACGAATGTGCCCAGTCGATGGATGGATTGCTTCTGGAAAGCTTTGTCCCAATCCTCTATGTACGGTAACATGACCGGCGATTGGTGGACAACGGAAACAAGGGGATTTCGAAGGGCTGCCAGGCTCCGTTTGTATTGTACAGTACGGAGTAGCACTGGAAGTTATAGCGGGGCTGTCTATTATCCCTGCCTCGTCTAGCCAATGGCTTTTCGAGCCGATAATCTCGCTTCTTGTAGATATTTAAATTGACCAATCACACCGACCTCGTTCCTGAAATGGCCCTCGGCACGAGCCCACTCGCAGCCAAGACGGAGGGATCAGTCTTTGGACGAACGCTTGCGTTTCGAAACATTCCAGGTTGTGGATGAGCAAACGGGATGCTGTGTTCCCAAGGTTGCTGGAAAAGCTGCTTCCACTCGCCATCATTTCATGGTTTTGCCTGTTGGTTCAAGGGGTCAGTCAACCTGAGCGAGGTGCCCGTCGTACCCTGGATTTGGTAATGAACGACGGCTTCGCCAGCGGCACAGCATCCGTTAGGCGAGCAGCTGCCTGCAAGGACGAGGCCCCGTTTCCATCTCGGACACGCCTGAAGGATGAGCGGCACCCCATCCGCCCGCTGATCCCCTGGGCCCCAGCAAGCTGCATCCAAACGAGCGCCCGTCCCCTCCACTTTGCCGATTCTGCAGAGGGCAAGGAACCCAAGGCTCATGGCTCGTTAGCGCCAATTCCTCCTCTTCAGCAGCTCACGGCGCCGTCTCCAACGCCAAAGCGCATCATCCCACCGACACGTCAGGTCTGTCTAATCTCTCAGATCTCAGCGACCAGCTTGTCATATGTGGTGTCGCTGAGACTGCTATAATGATGACCAGCTGAGACTTGGGATCTCAGAGTTGTCTTCTTTTACAATCACCAACTGTTTATTCCTTCCTTTCACCCGTACCGATTGAATCGCTTTATCCGCAAACCGCCGTTGCTGCCATCCGTTCTTTGTTCTCTTCTCCTATCTCATTTTCCACCTTCAATTACGGTTCTCCTGTGGCACGCCTTCGACACTGCATGTTTTAGACAGGCCGAGCACCATCCTCCACAGGCGCCTGGATTATTGGATTGGGTATCGGGGCTTGAACTGGGACGACTTGAGGAAAATTCATCTCCACAGGGGACTGCGCTTGACACATTCCAGACGACAACATGGCCGCGCGGGACTGGTTGGACGCCGTGAAGCGTGAGGTTAGGGGCATGCTCTTGCCGGGACAGTCGGAAAGGGTTGCCACACCACCCCCGGGCGACTCACCGGCCTTCGACGCCGTCCGGAGGCAGGTCGACGTGCTCTCTACCACTATCTGGCCTCCCTCCCTCACCGCGCCAGGGTCCTCGGTGAGCATCGAGACCCATATTGTACTTGCCCCGACATCAACATCAAGCCCGACAACGCCTACCCAGCTTGTGGTAGCCAGCACGACAGCGAGTGCAATCCGACCGTCCGCGACAGCTGAGTCGGGCGAAAGCGACAGCGGAGAGATGAGTGTGGCCGCCAAGGCCGGCATCGTGATCGGTGTGCTGGGCGGCATCTTGATCGTGGGTCTGTTGGTGTACTTGATGGTCAGCATGCGGCGCAGGAAGCTGGAGAGGCGGAAACAGCAGATCGAGGACGACGAGAAGATCAACGGGCCGTTCGCCGACAGCGCCGCCATCAAGCCATTGCCGACGACCCCCAACAGGGCCCCTCGACTGAGCCTGCGGCCCGTGACGCAGTTCCTGCCAAACTTCCATTCCCAGTCCCAGGCCGAGCGGAGGGCCAGCCGCGGCATCGCGCTGACGCTCAATCCCGTCTCGCACTCGCCCCTGAGCCGGCCCAACGGCGGCAGCGCCTGGGAGCGCCCGACGGTGCGCTCGACAACAACCGGCCCCAACGGCGACCAGCGCGCCGGTACCAGCATGAGCCTGCACCCTCATAACCCGTTCCACGACAAGAACGAACTCCCAGACGAGCCCGTCAGCCCCGTCAGCTCGATGGGCTCCTTCGATCACCGCGTTGGCATGGCCACTGCAACCGACTCGATCCCCGAACCCGTCTCGCCCATAATCGGCCATGACGACGACGATGACCAATACCGCCACCATCAGCAGCACCACCAACCTGCCGCTGCTTCTAGCCTAACCCGCAAGGCCTCGATGCGCAAGGACATCCCCAAGCCGTTGGACCTCACAAAACCGCCTTCCCCGTTATATGCGGTGCCGCCCAGCCCGGCTGGGACAGAATACTCGGTGCACTTGATGGCGCCAGGTCAGAGCCCCGGTCCGTCCGCCAGTGCCGCAGAAATTGCTGCGGCCGGCGGGCCGACGCAGTCGACGGTCCACCGCGTCCAGCTCGATTTCAAGCCGACACTGCAGGACGAGATGGAGCTGCGCGCGGGCCAGCTGGTTCGCTTGTTGCATGAATATGACGATGGCTGGGTACATTTTTCCCCTCACGTCTTCGTTCCCTGTTCTCTTCCTCCTCATTCACCCATCCCCTCTTCCTCAACACCGGCCCCCTCTCACCCCCCTCAACCCAACATCATTCAACCCAGCAACAACACAAAACGAAACACCAGCAGACGCTAACATAACACGACAAAACAAGGCCCTCTGCATCCGACTAGACCGCTCCCAACAAGGCGTCGTCCCGCGCACCTGCCTCTCCACACGGCCCGTGAAACCCCGTCCGCAGCCCGGCCCCGGCGGTCCCCAACAACAAGGCGGCAACCCCCGCGGCGGGCCGCCCGTCAACCCTTCCTTCCACCACTATCAGAACCAAACACAGCAACAAAGCAGAAACGGAGGCGGACGCCGCCCCGCCTCGCCTTCTGGCGGGAAATTCCCGCCTGTGCCGGTGGCGAAGGATGAGCGGTGGGGGAGTGGGAGTGGGAATGGAGGAGGAGGAAGGCTTACGAGCCCTAGTTCTGGTGGTGGTGGTGGTGGTGGTGGAAGGGGCACGTGGTGGAGGACTTCTGTTGAGGAGGGGGGTTTTGGGGATGGGAACCCTGCGCCGGGGCAGGCATATTAAAACATGCATGGGGAGGTCACTCACTTGCACGCATACCTATCACCTACTTCGGGCCCCGGGGCCTCTGTTCTGTGTGGCTGCTTTGAGTCGTGGCAAAACGGGTTTAGCTTCATCATCATGTTGAGAAGGCCATGACGAGTAACTTTTCTGGATGGGAGGGGGTGGTGAAAAAACAAGGCTGATTGGGGTAAGATGGTAACCACTGTACGCTGGCCATTGTCAGGTTTGGCTTCGTTTCTTCATGGCGTTGTGGAGGGTTTATGGGCTTGGGTGGATGATGGGCTTGTTATCCTGGCTGATCAAGGTATTGGACTGGATGTGGTGGTTTCTGGGCAATATTGGCGCGGCGGAACAGTTTTCGAGAACTTTCATGTCACTCACTCGGTCAAATTATTTGTACATTTCGCTTCTCCGACGCACACACATCTGTGACGTGGTGGACGGTTGGCTGGCCGGTCTGGGAGTTCGCTTCTTAGATATGGATGGCATTTTTTATGGACGACTCTATGCTGTGGTGCTTGAGTGAAATGCACTGGTCCATCGTTTTGTGTCTTGGTGATCACTGCGGAGGGAAGACGTTTGGTTTCCAGCTGGCTGGTGATACAGTGTTTTGTAATGTCCAGTGAACATGTCCTGGTATAGTGACGACCTCCAGCATTCTCATGCGATTTTGATATCGTCTGTTCTACACGGGGCGCTTATCACCCATTCCCGTTCATGCCGGCAACTGATTGCACGGCCGCACCGGCGCTGACGATGTTGCGGAGGTGAACCCGCCAGTTATTCGGCCGCGGACCCCTCTCCAGCGTGAACGGCGCGTTCTCCAGCTTCTCCCCTTCCAAATAGTGGCCCTGCAGGGCCTGACAATCCGGCCCGCGCCGGTCGGGGAGCTCGGGCAAGCCGAGCACGAAGCGGCGCTTGTCCGGGACGCGGACATCGAACAGCCTTCCGAAGAAGCGCGTCTCGCTCACGCGCTTGTGCCACGGGCGCAGGTCGCTCGAGTCGAACCAGATGCGCAGGTCCTGCAGGTTGGGCAGGTCCGCCAGCCTGTCGCACAGCATCTGCCACGGGTTGTGCTGCACCGAGAGGGTCGGGCGGGCCCTGCCGGCGAAGACGGCGGGCGGGCCCTCGTCGCCGTTGGTGCTGGCGGGCGGGTAGTAGATCTCGGTGATGATGTTGGGCACGCGGATGTTCAATTCCACGGAGCGGATGGGGTACCGCTCCGGCTCTCCGCCGTAGCGCGAGAGCCAATCCCCTGCTGTGCGCGTGTCGGTGAAGATGAAGGTGGTATTGGCATAGAGCGAGGGAAGGCACTCAAGGTACCTGCCCCAGGTCAACAACACTTCGACACTTGATAGCTTGAGGTGGGGCAATGAAATTCACTCACATCCGCTTACACACCGTCAGGAGGTTGAAATGCCCGGTTGTCATCGAGGGTCGGGAAGCCGTCTCTTGCTTGACCAACTCCTCGGCAATCGGACGGCTGCCCAAGATGATTGCCATGAACGACATGTTCATACTCTGATCCTCACATTGCCAGTGCAAGCACCACTCGCTCTTCAAGCGTATACCCCAGAGAGTCCGTTCCGCCGACGCGGAATCACAGGCCAAGAACCGGTCAAAGCGAGTGTCTTGGGCCCGGGGATCGGTAATACAGGCCACGTGCGACCATTGACGGACCCACCCGTCGCTTTGCTGTCCAAGGACTGTGTGCTGCTGGACTATGTGCTGGCGCGTAGAGCAGAGTCTCCAGAACTCGCGGTAGATGAGGTTGCGGATCTCGGCGGGGAGGAGAGTGAAGAAGGGCGATGAGAGCTGGGGTTTCATGGAGCGGCCGAAGGTGGACGTGTCGACGGTGACTGTGGCCATTGTTTGTTTCGGTTTGTATTGTTTGGGTGTCCGTCCTGGTTGAAGATCCGGCCCGTGCTCAACTCTAAAGGGTTGGGTTGAAGAGGTTGTAGATACACAGCCAGTTCCGCTGCTGCCTCCTCCTTCCCCGCATCTCCAGCCACTGCATCAATGCAGGCGACCTGATGGGACTCGCAAGGCCTGTTTCCAAAATCCTGGCGCCTGCCACTGCCCCGTGAGCCACGCAATTGGCTCCACGCAGAGCATCTCATCACCTCAACCAGGAGGGCCGTCCATCAAGCATATCTACCTGGGTGTCCGTAAGGCAACCACTCGGTTTGCGTCGCGCTGTGTCAGTCGGCGGGAGCATCGGCGTCAGCTGGCCTGGGCGGACCGTAGGTCCTGTGCAAGCTGACAATTCGAGAGGTGATGCGCCGTGTATCAGTGGCGCATTGATGCTCCGCCCTGCTTCATCGGCCGCTCTTGCTGCCAGTCAGCCAGACGGGACGGCAGACATGTCGGATTCGGCCCTGGCCGCTGCTCCGCCCAGCGCTCACGCGTGAGATGACTACCTTGAAACTTGACAGCGAACCTAGAAGCATGCTTTAGTTGCTGCAGGCCGTGGCCGTGTGTATGAGTCCACAGTACGGATCCGTAGAACCTCGAAGACGCGGCTCCCAGGGCTTCGCATGGAACAACGGACCGAAAGCTTAGCCCGGGCAGCGTGGAATTCCGAGTCCATTTCATTGGGTCTGGGGTCCGGCTTTCGAGAAGCTTCCCGGATTTGACAAATCGGGCACAATGGCAGCCCGCCCCACAGGCACCGCAGCACCACAAAGCCGGAACCTGGAAACTTCGCCGGTTGATCTCGCGGGGCCCCATCAAACCGCGCAACAGCTTCAAGTTTGTGAGCAGCCCCAGAGGCTGGCTCAAAGAGCACTGGACCCGCCGCCTGACACTTGCCTCAAACACCCTACCGCTTGACACAAGCAATCTTGCTGTCATACCCTCGCTCTGACCAACCACGATCTTTCCCGTCCTATACCCAAGGCGATATCTTGTTGAACCAATCCCGTACGATATCTGGGGTCAAGTCGAACCTCCAGGACGCCGGGGATACCTGCACATCCACTTCAAAATCGCCGGGCAGCCGATGCCGTGACGGCCCAGCCATGGCGAAACCAATACATCTCAAAGAAGAGGGCAACCGCCGCTTCCAAGCAGGCGACTACGTAATGGCCGAAGCTCTCTACTCCCAGGCGTAACCTCCCCCCCTTACTACCTCTACACCTCCTCTCTCCCGCCCCAGCTAACCACTCCCCGTCTCTCTCTCGCCCACAGCCTAATTGTCGACCCGAACAACCCGGCGCTGTATACCAACCGCGCCATGGCGCGCCTCAAGATGGCGCAGTGGGACAACGCCATCGCCGACTGCACCGAATGCCTCAAGCTGGCGCCCGACAGCATGAAGGCGCACTACTCGCTGTCGCAGGCACATCTCGCGCTGCACGCCTACGATGACGCCCTGCAGCACGCCCTGTGCGCGCACGCGCTGTGCGTCAAGGCCAACGACAAGAGTCTCGGCACCATCACGGCCCACGTGCTGCGGTGCAAGAAGGAGCGCTGGGACGACCTGGAGAAGAGGAGGCTGCGGGAGACGGCTGGGCTTGAGGCCGAGGTGTTGCGGCTGCTGGAGCGGGAGCGTGACGGGGCGCTGAGGGAGGCTGGGGAGGTGGCCCTGGACGAGGTTGGGAGGAAGGAGATCGAGGAGGAGTGGAGGGGCAAGATGGAGAGGATGCGCGAGGTGTTTGAGAGGGCAAGGCCGAAAGAGGAGAGGCGTCGGCAGGTGCCCGACTGGGCCATTGACGATATCAGTTTTCAGGTCATGGTTGACCCTGTAATTGTGAGTATTTTGGGGGGTGTGGTTCCTTGCAGTTGCGGGCACGGCGAGTTTCTGATACAGTTGACAGACAAAAACCGGCAAGTCCTACGAGCGCGCCTCCATCATCGAGTATCTCCGCCGACAACCCCAGGATCCTCTCACGAGGGAACCGCTGTACCCGTCCGAGCTGAGGCCGAACCTCGACCTCAAACAGGCATGCGATGAGTTTCTGCAAGAGAACGGCTGGGCCGCGGATTGGTAGATGTGCGACTTTTGGATACTGAATAAGAAGGCCCAGGGGTGGTCAGGACCAGTTGCATGGCACGGCGTTTGGGTTTCTCTCAGCATTGCCCCAGATTCGGCGTTGGATTAATGTTGTACATGATGATTGTACGATTTACGGGGAACGATGTACGAATTGCCATGTCAGACAAAGTAATAAGACTTTCCTCAACCCTCTGTTGGAGCGGCAGCCACAACATAACCACCTGCCGCCTCCCTCCTCGCCTCTTCAATGCTGCCCGCCAAAGCGTGCAAGCGTCATTCCGTCGATAGTCAGGCCAAAGCTTTCAGTGTTGCGCGACTTGGGCAGGAGGCCTAGTCCGTTGTTGTGAGAGTTACATCAGGACTTGAGATACGCTCTCCCCTGCAGTGGGGAAGTGAGGTATGCTGAAGTCGCGTCGGCCGGTGGAATTGAGCAACAGGTCGACGCGTTGACGACGGACTCTCCCAAACATGCGACCCGTCATACTGCTAAACCCCCATTGCAAAGTCAAACAAGATGATCTCTCAGCACAACACAGATTCAATGCGTTTCCAGATTGTAACAGGGTTTGCTACCCCAAAGGCTGCTGATTCGTCGTCAATGGTCCATATGGTGGCGTATTAAGCGGTACGTACAATGCGAAACCATACTGCAATGGGTGTCTATCTACAAGTATACCATGCCTCATTACCACCGTCTATCCCTCCATGCAAACCCATGCCAGTGGAGAACGCAGCCCTGAAGGCCATGCACTGGTGTATGCCAACCATGCTCATCAAATCAATACGTGAGTGAGAAATCCTTGATGAACACCCCAAAACAACAGACTAACGCCATGGATGCATGCCCCGAAGCGAGAGTAACATAACAGAAATTGACCCCTCATCATGCCTCATACCATCATGTCATATCCATGCCGCCTCAGACACTTATATATACCAAAAACAACAACGAGAAAAAGCCAACCCACAATCAAATGAAATCCCCCCTCCTATACGACCTCCCATGCTTAGGCGGCGGAGGAGGCGGCCTATCATCATCCCTGCCACCCCCTCGACCATCATCCCTCGAAACACTCCTCCCATCACCACCACCAATCCTCCTCCGTTCCTCCAACCTCGACCTCCGCTTCTCATACTCCCCAGCACTCTCCTCTCCAACCCCATCCCCACCCCTTGTCCTCTCCTCCTCCTTTTCTTCAAGACCACGGGGCGGACTATTGACGCCGATATAATACCCTTTCGTGATACTATGCCCATACCGGGCCTGCCTATCCTCATCCGCGTACTTCCCATCCTCATCAGACCCATCCTCGTCCTCAACGTCATCATCATCATCATCGTCGTCGTCATCGTAACGCACCAGCGTTGACATAGACCGAGAATTGGAAGCAGCAGCAGCAGCCATCGAGCTGTTGGAATCCCCTTTCACCAACCCCAGCTTTTCCTCCTCCGTGGCGCCGCGCACGTGTGGGGTCGAGTACCCCCGCGCCGAGAGGCCACGGCGCGAGGAGCTTGGGCGGGTGCCGTGATGATGGTGGTGGGCAGAGTCAGAGGAAGGGTGGTCGTCGGACTGGTGACGTCGGAACATATTTTGGAAAGAGAACTGGCGGCGGGCGGTGTTGCAGCTGGAGGACGAATGCGGAGGCGGGGTTGGCCGGACGGTGTCGCTGGTTTCTGGCCGGGTATTGTAGTCGTCAAGCTCGCTAGGTTTGGAGGTGGGCACAGCGATGGAGGTGAGCTGGACCGGGTGCATCGGGCTTTGGACCTTGGGTAGATGCGGCTCTTTGTGGAAGTCGGGGTGGCCTGGGAGGACACTGCGCGCTTTGCTGCGGATGGTGCCGACCAGGCTCGAAAGAGCGGGCGAGACAGGCCTGTTTGCCTCGGCGAGTTCTTCTTCAGTAGGGATATGAGACCAGCCCAAGGGTGGGTGTGGCGTTGGGGGTACGAGGTGGGTTGGTGCCGGGGTGGACCTGCGGGTGCTGAAAGTTCCTGTCCTCCGTCGCCTGATGCCGTCCCATTCGAACTGCGGCACGCCATTCTCCGTGACTGGCTCGAGGCTCTCCTGGAGCTTCTCCTCGCGCAGACGCCTGAGTTCTTCGAGCTCCATTTTCTGTCTCGCAGACGACAGCCTTCTAACAATAGCGGCCGTGCCACGGATGGCATCCGCCTTGGGCTCCGTTTCGGGTTGTGGCTGCTCAGCAATCGTTTGGATCTGGTCAAGGCCTCCAGCGAAGACAGCGGCGTCTGGGACATCCTTAGCGGATCTGGATAACTGTAAGAGGACCACACCGGCGCAGATGGTCAGGAATCCGTTCACCACGGTGATGATAGACGTGGGCGTTCCCTTGAAACCCCGGAACAGGATCGCGGAACTAATAATCGTCGTGGTGGTGAAGTAGACATAATATGTCGGTGTAACCAAAGCCGCATTGAAGATATTAAGCGCTTTCTGTGGCTGGGTTAGCAGAGAGTAGGAACGGGAAAGGAGGACTCAGAATCCTCACATTTAGGTAGATAATTTCTGTCAAAAGTGTGCCAATGACAAACACTAGTAGCACGTATAAGAACCACTGGTTGAACTGAGGCGTCCCTCCAGCTTGGGCAATGATGGCCGCACCGAGTCCCTGAGTCGCAACAACGCTAAGACCGCCAACCCAGCTGCAGATGGAGATGTAGACCAGCATGTTCTTGTTGCCGTACTTTGGACCCAGCCAAAGAGCCACGACCGCCGAGCCTACAAGGATGACGCCGGCGTAAGTGAGAAACGCCGGGTGAATGACAAAACTCTGCATCTCCTGAATGTTGGCGACGGAGGACGACTGCGGCGCATTCATGACAATGACCACGGAGCCAACGATGCAAAGGAAGCAGGCAACCTTGCCGACCATGCTGAGCCGCTCTTTCAGGAATATCGCCGACAAGATGGTGCAGAGGACGACCGAGAGCGCCCCGAGTGGCGTGACTAGAATGGCGTCGGTGAAGGCGTAGGCGGCAAAATTGAGACCCTCTCCTAATATCATGAGGGTCATGCCGGCCCACCAGTAGAAGTTCTTGAGGTATCCATATCCCTCGCCGGCCACCTCGTTGTACTTTTCGTTTGCCTTGAGCAGCCCGACCTTCTTAAGCACGAACGATGTCCCGATGAAGGCTCCCGACCCGACAGCCAACCCTATGCCGATCGCTTTGTAGACGGGCGGTCTTTCTGTCCCTCCGGCGCTACCACCGCCGGCGCGGCCATACAATTCATGTGCATGGCTGATGGCCTGGGCTGCGCTCTCCATGGCGGCACGAGAGACCGACACCTCGATCGGTCGTCAATCCGCCTGTCTTCTCGAGTGAGCTGGCGGATGAAGGGATGGCTGACTCGAGAGGTGTATTCTGTATGACGTGCGGTCGAGAAGCCGTGAGAAATGTGAACTGTGGAGGAGGCGGCATGAACCTCGCTGGTCGAATTCTGAAGCGGCTGGAGTGTCGAATTGGAGACCCAGAGGAGGAAGGGGCCTCAGGTGGCTTCGTCGTCTGATCTTGATCGCTTTCGCCTTCGAATTCTCCACACGACAACACTTGTCAGAATGGCGAAGTCAAGAGATGGCCCGACACATGGTCCTTCTCGAGATGGAGCAAATGGAACAGCTGATGTTGACCAGGGTCTAGAACTTGTTAGAGGCCTCCCAGCGTACGGCAGATCCGGGAGAGTCGCAGAAGATGGAGAGAAATCGAGTGTCGCTATTAGTGTCCCCTGGGTTCAAGTCGAGTTTAGTCGGTGGTTTTACGAGACGGGGAATGGTTCGGCGGTGTCTGTCGCAACAAGGTCCTGTTCTGGCTGGTTGCTGCGCAATGGCCAGCCCAGGATAATGATTGGACCCCACCAAAACAAATATTCAAGGGACAGTTAGATCTAAGTGAGCACCCGGCTCACAAAGCGTGACTCGCAAGTATCAGGAGGTTGGGACCGATCTCATCGGCTCTGGCGCCAGCAAAGATCAAAGTCCAGAGAACAACTCGAAGATGGACGTTTCTTCTCAGATGGAAAAAGCTGGCTGGGAATGCAAGCACTTCCAAGTTGTCTCGTCTGCAGATACGGGGCGGGTGGGGTCCTTCCGGTTGACGCCACCAGGCTTCTGGCCCAGTCACAGGCCATGATTTTGCGGGTGCACGCCTGCGGCTGGAAGAGTGGGCCAAGATTCGCCGCCGGCGTCACTCTGAAACGTCAACTGGACAAACATGGTCCAAAGTGAACGGCTCCAGGTTTATCACCACCAACCATTGAAACCCTATGCGGCTGGTTTCGTTCTCATGGGGTAGACGAACGGAATGAACAAGATCAACAGGTCCGTCGGAGGTTTATGTGACACCCATGTGTGCAGTTGTCGGCTGCCGCCTTCGTGCGGGTTACAGCTGCCTCCTGACGCATAGCGATAGCAGGCGCTGCAGTTCATCACACTAACCCTCTCCGTCTTGCGTTCATTGCGCCTTGGAACAATGTGAGAGGAGGCGATGATGCCAACACTGTAACGGAACGAGGTCCATCAAGGCACAGTAGCGCAAGGTGCTGGTGATGTCAACCCAACACAGGGCGACACACTATCTCTTGGCTTTCCATGTCGGCAGGCTGAACACTGTTGAATCTAAAGACGCGAGCGAGGGTAAGACTCAAAGCTATCTCTATTAGGAGCGACTTACTACCTACCACAGTATTCGGTAAGGCATTGCGTACGGCAGAACTGCCCCCCACCAGTAACAGTCTTTGTCTTTTGGCATTATTGAGTCTCAGAGATGAATTTAGAACTCCACTAAGGCCTGGACGCAGCTCCCAGACGATGTGCATGGCAGCATCAAATCCGGGTTTCGGCAAGCACTAGCGCAGCCTTCTTCAGAGGCCCAAATCGGCCACACGCGCCCGGATAAACTCGATACGCATCATTGTTGGTTGAGATCTTCGGGTCCTGCTTGCATCATCGCATGTCGCAAGTGGCGCCAGGGGAGCAACCCAATTTTCCTAATAATTTGTACTTGCAATTACTCGCAAGTCTGTTAGTGCAGAGACGTGCCATACACATCACCCGACAACTGTCAGGTCTCCAGGGTTTGAACGGGTACATTCTTAGAGACGCATTGCACATATTCCATTTTTTTTTTTTCTTTTTTTTCCATGTCTTTTTCCTGCCTCGGCCTTTGCCGGTCTGAAAAATAAGTGGCACACCTTACCAACCCGTTTCAGAGCCTGATCGGACCGCAAGGGGCAGCATTGCTCCCAAGTTACCTAGCTCACCAGAGATGACCTTACCAGGTCCAGGACTGGGCAACGGTGGTAGACAGATGACAACATGCCGAGTCCGGGGCCTTTTCTCCTGCTAATACGTTCACTTGATGAGATGATTCGAGACTGATTCTGTTGTTTTCTGCGGCCCTGAACTATCTGGCCGCCAACCCCCTATTCCACTGGCTGATATTCATGTTTATGGTGTTGATTTTCGCTATGCCGTTTTCATCCAGTCATAAACCATGCCCAGGAAAGGAAACTTGGCCATGACCATCGAGGGCGTGCAAGCCGATGCGCTCTGTTTCGTGGGGAGAGGAACCTACCCTACCAAGGCAGTGGCTGACCCGTCCAGGTCAGAAATTGGCCCGTCTTCTCCATGGTCCAGTTGTCGATCTAGGCAGAGTGACAAGTGGTCAGTCATGTGATGACTGAGCCAGAAAGGAGGAAGCATACCTGCTCAACACAGCCCCTGGCACTCTCCTCGACGCTCAGGGGCGGCTCCTTGAACCCAATCGCATCCGCTAGCGCCTGGCCCAATTCCGTCTGCACCCATCTACGCCGCACCAGGGCAGTCAGCCTCGCATCTCCCATGATTCTCAGGGAACAGATGTTGTGAGTAAGGCAAACACGTACTTACCCAGGATGCAAAACACCCACCACCAGGCCCCGTCCCCTGAACTCAACACTCACCCTCTTCGCAAACCAATTCGCCGCTGCCTGGATCAATAATGTCAGCTGTGAAATTCCAACTGCGGATGCCTCTGGAAGGTTTCAGGAGTAAATGCCTATCTGGGGAGCGTGTGAGACAGCCATAAAAGGTTATGAACAGTCCACAGAAAGGAAAAAAAAAATTGGTTGTTACCTTGGCCATGCCGTACCCAATCCCAGGCATACACTCCTGCTCCAGCACGCCAATACTCCCCAGGGTGCTTGACATGAGTACAAACTTCTTCTTCTTCTCTTTTCCCCCCTCCCCTCCCATGAACGCAGAAGCACCGTCCCCACCATCTCCCGCAGCAGGATGATCTATCATCATCATCCCCCAAATACCCCGAAACAATTTGGCTTGACCGACGGCATTCACCTCAAAATCACCCATCAACTCAGTAGCCGGATCAGTGTCCATGAGACCCTTGACAATCTTGGACCCGCCTGCGTTGGCGACGACGACATCCAGCCGGGTGATGCCGTGCTCTGCCTCCAGGCGAGCCGGGAGCGAGGCCGAGGTGATGGCCGGGTCGGCCTCGTTCAGCAGGATTGGGCAGAGTCTGCTGGAGGGATGGATTGCGCCTCCCTCAAAAGGGGGAGAGAAAAGGGACGGGGCGGGGGTGCGGGACGTGGCGACCACGGTGGTGTGGGGGCGGGCGAGGAGCAGAGTTGTGATTGCGAGACCGATGCCTGTGTGTGTGTGTGTGTGTGGTTCGGGGAGTGATTAGTGAGGTTGTTTGGGGGTGAATCAGGGAAGTTGGGGAACGAGCGTTTGTGGGGAGGGAAACGGTAGCGATGGGAGAATGGAGAAGGGGAAGGCCAAGTAGGAGGGGGAGGAATGTGGAAGTGATAGGAAAAAACGGACCACAAAACGAGAAGGTGACAGGAGCGAGGAGCGGACTCAGGAAAAGGCCTCTAAGAAGAACAATCAAGAGTGTTGGGTCCAGGACGGAGAGGAGAGAATGAGAAAGTAATGAAGAAAAAGGGTCACAAGCGGAAGGCCGAGAGGAGTGGGTTAAGGAGAAGGCGATAAAGGAGGAACGAGCAAGAGGAGCGTATGGAGCGGATCGGAAGAAAGAGTGGTTTGCAAGCCTGACAGGGCGACGAGAGAGAGTTCCGCTTACCCCTATTTGCGCCCGTGATGAGGTAGATCGTGTTGTCCGACATGGTGAAAGAAGCGGGATGGGGTTGAGCAACGTGCTGCTCGGCCGGAAATAAAGGAGAGGATTGGAGAATGTGTAAGCTGAAGCTGACGGATACTCCTGGGTGAAGTAGGGGATGCTCTGGGCGTCAAATTCAAGCGAAGCCGGAGTGGAAAAGAGAAAGAACAAAAGGGGACGGAGAAAAAGAGCAACCCTCAAATACTTCCGCGTAGGCCAGGGGAGTGACTTACCGGCAGACACACCAATAATAAGACCAAGTGATAGGTCGGCGGCACGCTCGGGAGAGACCGTGTTGGCAGGCTTTCGATGGTGCTGGGCGGAAAAGAGGGGCACCATCCTTTCGTTGCCCCGCCCTCATGTTTACTAGCCCCTGAATTTCCTAAACACAGCACAGGTCAGAAGTCTCGCAACGATTCTTCAAGCACGCCTGTGTATCTGTTGAGAAATGTGCATATTGCTGCTTAAGTTAATCCATCATGAATTCAAGCATGTCGCTCCTGCTGTGGTATACCGTTCCGAACTCCCTAACGCCATCCTGCTAAGCAAGCTCTCGAAGCTGACCCTGAAGTTTGACAAGATCCCCCGTTGCTCGCTACTCAAGCTTTGATCACCCAACCGGCATTGACCATGAAATCGAAAATCCGGCCGCCCTTTTGCGAATCCAAGCGACAGATCTCCTTCGCCTGCTTCTTCTTGAGGCTGCCGTTACCTTTGACCGCCTCCTTGAGAATCTGCTCCTTGATCATCAGGTACGGCTTGGGTTGGATGCGAAGAGTCTCGCACAGCCTCGCCTCTTCAGGAGTAAGGAGGTGAAGATCCGGCGCATTGTCCTGGGTAAGCGGCATGGGCTGCACCCCGGGAATTGGTTGTGGTATGTACTTTGGCTTTGTTGGCGTAGACCCGTTCGCAACCACGACGCTGCCGCCGTTAACGTGGGTCCCATTAGGCTCCGTTTTGATGCCGTTCTGTCCTTCGCCGTGCAATACGCCGGCCGTGGCCACAGAACGGATCGGTAGCTCGGGGGCAACCAAAAGCGCGGCGCCGCTTGGTGGCTCCGGGGGTGGTTGCTGCTTGTTGCGCTGGTTGGCTGCCAGTCTTTCTCGATCCATCGACCCCAGGGGTATGGATTTTTGGATCCGCAGCGCCTTCTCCTGCTCGTACTTTTCGCCGCTTCGAAGGTCGCCGATCCTAACGCCGCGCCATTCCTGAAGCTGCGCGATCGCTTGTCGCATGTTCAATTCATCGATAAGCCCTTGGCAGAACTGCTCAAAGTCGACACGGTTCATTATCCGTGCGAAGGGCTTCGCCTTGTTTAGAAGATCCCTCTCTTCTTTGGACCGCTTCTTCTCAATCCTGGTGTTCTCGCGGTAATCCAGTAAATTGTGCTCAAAAATGACCTTTTTCCGCTCAGCCCGCTGTGTCAACCTGCAGTTGTAGATCTCCATCACGGTGAGCTTGAGCTCCATCTCGGGCTCCAGTTCCCCCGTCCGTGGGTTGATGCCGTCTCCGGGATCGAATTGCATGAGCTGCACTGCCTCCTCAGCCTCGTTGGCATACTCGGTCTCAAACTCCAAGCGGCCGGGCATGTAGCCCTGAATTTCGTGGCAGGCTGGCACACTGGCGGTGGGTTTTGTCTTGGGTTGAAGGGCAGGCGCATTCTTGGCAGCCTCTCTCCGTTCCTCGATTCTTCGCTTCTTACGGGCCTGGAATTCCTCCCTGGAGACCTCGTTTGCCAGTTCCATATCGTGAGGGCTGCATCGTTTAGGAAGGGGAAAGTTTGGTGACTCGACGTATACTTTCAGGTAGTGGTCGCGAACCTCGTCCTTGTGCCGGTACCCGCCAATGTGGTCAGCGATATCCGCCCAGGATCCCAGCCCGTAAATCTCGGCGCCTTCTAGAAGCAAAAGTTCCTCGTCGGCGCCCCACTCTGGATCGAAGATTGGGAACGAGTTCTGCTCAATGACTCGGTAGGGATGCGTAGCAGGCTGATGCGCGTTGCTCGAGGAGCCGTTGGAGAAGCATTGCACGCAGAGGTCATATTCGTTGCAGGCACTGTGGGCGCATCTTATCCGGACCTGGAAGGCAACGTGTCAGTAGGTCTACTCAATCTGGCATGTGCCATTGCGTTGGGACAGTATGAGGTAAGGTTCGCGAAGAGGCGCCATGTGTGCGCTTACAGTTGAAGTGATATCTGCAGAGCAGACGTCACAGACATATTTTACACCGCCTTCGCCTCCCCGCGCCGCGATTTTCTTCCTGATGACGCCCATCCTCGAGGTTGTGCGTGGGCGCCGGTTGGGGGAGTGTTACGCGGACAGGGGTACGTAGGTCAAGCACGGCGCACTGCGCTTATGCGATGCGAATAACGGCGTCGGGGCTGCTCATATGTGCGCCTACTGATGGCGCCAGAGGCAATGGAGGGGGAGCGACACGTAATTTGATGCCTTTCGATGGCGCCGTCGCTAGATTCGATGGAACGCGACTCGATGATGCGGCTGATGGCTGATCCTGGCAATCGCCATTCCGGGCGCGTTGTGGAGGTTTGAGCGGGGAAGTAGCCGAAGATCTGCCGAACCGCCGATTCCTGGTTGACCCGCAGTCCCGCACGAATAAGGAACCATACTGCAGACCCTAACCCTGATAAAACCTGACGGGGATCGGGATGAGATTGCCCGAGAGTGCCAACTTTTGACTCGATTTCTGAGGTCTAGTAACAATCACCTTCTGGGACGACGGACTTCCGCACGGTCTAATCTTCCATGTCTGAGTCGACGATCCTCTGTTGCTAAATCATATACGTACTACACGCAAAGACTTCGTGCTTCGTCAATACACCCGCGGATGTTTTTCGATATCAATGCAGGAAGACTGAGTGTTGCTTGCCCTCGCTGTGATCTTGGTGAGACAGAAGTCATATGGCCCCTCAACTTTGCGAAACCATGGTGTCCGCCAGGCGCACAGAGCGCGGGAATTAAGCAAGCCAGATGCCAGTCTACATATTTGATTTCCTCAGACTCTCGCTTCCCCGAACATATCCCGGTTTCTCCAGTAGCGACGGGGCACTGCCGAAACCGAGCTCCAGTTGACCCCGCTGCTTGAACAATCAAGACGGAGGGACAAGTGCAACCATCGACTTGCACGTGGTAATCGCCCATGATCGCGATTGAAAATTGACTTGCCAACCTTTACTTTCTACGATATACTTGCATTGCATCCCAGGGACATCGCTTTCCTTTTGATAGCTCGCCCCCATCAGTCACGATGCCCGACCAAGTACTCGACGACATCTCGCATCGCCGATACAACCCATTGACGGGATCGTGGCTCTTGGTCTCGCCTCATCGCACCAAGCGGCCTTGGCAGTACGTCTTGTCTCGTCACGCTCAGGGAGCCACCGATGCTGATGCATGGTTAGAGGCCAGCAAGAGGCGCCATCCAAAAATGTCCTTTCCGAGTACGATCCCAAGGTATGCCCACTTTCGGTGTGTAATGATTGTCGAATGAGTGAATGTATTCACCAAAATCTCCGTGCAGTGCTACTTGTGTCCGGGCAACAAGCGCGCCCAGGGCGACAGCAACCCCCAGTACTCCAACACGTTCACTTTCGTCAACGATTATAGCGCCGTGAAGGAGGAGCAACAGGAATACAACCCGGAAACCAAAAAGGATGACGTCGCCTCCCTCTTGCTGCAAGCCCAGCCGGTCACCGGCCGGTGTTACGTCCTGACCTTCTCCCCAAAGCACAACATCACCCTAGCCGACATGGCCGCGGCGGAAATCGTCCCCGTCATCCAGACCTGGACGCACATCTACGCCAGCCACCTGTCCCCCACCCACCCTCTTAGGGCGCAGGCCGACAAGACCCTTGCCAGCATCCCGGCCATTCCAGACGGCGAGGTGGACTTCCCCAAGGCCCAGCTGCGGTACATGCAGATCTTCGAGAACAAGGGCGCCGCCATGGGCTGCTCCAACCCACACCCGCACTGCCAGGTCTGGACGACCAGCACGCTGCCCGAGGAGCCGGGCAAGGAGCTCGCGCAAATGGCCAAGTACCGGAGCGAGCACGGCCGCCATCTGCTGGCGGACTACGCCAAACTGGAGATGGAGAAGCAGGAGCGCGTCGTGTGGCAGAACGAGGGCTTCCTCGTCGTCTGCCCGTGGTGGGCGGTCTGGCCGTTCGAGGTGCTCATCATCGCGAAGCGCCATGTCCGCGCGCTGATCGACCTAACGGACGAGGAGCGGCTGCAGTTCGCCGAGGCGATGCAGGAGGTTACCAGGCGATATGATAATTTGTTCGAAACCAGTTTTCCGTACAGTAAGTGTGCCAATGCCCTGCCTGAGAAGCGGGTTCCGGTACTGACGTGACACAGGCTCCGGCATCCATCAGGCGCCACTCGACTGCACCAAGGAGGAGGCTGAGACCAGCTGGTTCCATATGCACTTCTACCCGCCACTTCTTCGGTCTGCTACCGTGCGGAAATTCCTCGTAGGATACGAGCTGATGGCCGAGCCCCAGCGGGACATTACCCCTGAGCAGGCGGCTGCGCGCCTGAAGAACTGCGGCGGAGAGCTGTACAGCAAGCTGTTGAACTAACTGATTGACACGGGGCACACGCATCTATTTTGTACCAGGGGTATTAACATTAGATAGCCACCTAGACTCTCTCCATTCGCAACGCAGGGTAGAGCTGCAAACAGTACGGGCACAGTCACCCAGCCACATCCCTGGTCCTGGCCAAGACTACTTATTGCACGTAGTGATTGTACTGCAACAGCATCCAGATGGCCCCGCTATATCCCGCAAGGAAAGGGAACACCTGCGGCCCGCTAAACTTGATCGTCTTGTAGACCAGCATCTCGGTGGTAAAGTGGACAGCGGCAATGACGTGGGTGGAGAGGGCCAGCTGGTACAGAGCCGGGTTTTCGAGCTGATAGCTGGCATAGAAACGGATGATGCCCGCCATGAAGGTGTAGGTGCCAAAGAGGCGGGCGGCGAGCGGCGACACCTGGTCCTTGGCCTTCTCCGATTCCTTGCCCGTCGACGATGCCGGCTTGACAACGTTGGTGCTGTCTTCCGGGTTGAAGCGGTCCGTGGCCGGCGGGAGGGAGGGGTTGGGGACGAAGCGGCCGTTGTAGATGCGGCGCGTATAGTGCAGCGTCGCGTAGTTCTGAAGCGCGTTGCCCATTGCCACGATCGAGATCTAGGTCGAGCAAGGGATTAGTTGGACTCTTGGAGAAAGTAGTACGAGAGGCGGGATCAGCATGACTGACCACAAACAGGTAGTAGGGCAGGTAGCCCTTCTCCCCTGAAGGGAGGAACGCCTGAAGCTTGTCCATGGTTCTGGTGAGCTTCGGCTGCAGGACGACAAGTCTTTTCAAGGTCACGAAAGGTGAAAGGGATGGAATGGGAGCAGGAAAAAGTCAACACAAGGTATGAAAAGCTGCCCAACTCAGCCCTAAAATGCCAAGCTCAATAATGTGACAGGGGATCTTCCCCTCTGAGCCGCTAAATCCCCCGGCCTCGGCTCGCTTTTAGGTAGGGTAGTTGGTCAAAGCTCTCAGCTCCACCAGGGGCTCCTGAACGTTATCAAGAATTCTCAACAACAGATCTGGGTCGAAGCACTCCGGTCAGCGTGTCCAAATCAGCAACAAGCTGATTAAGCTTGAAAAGGGCGTTCCGCTTCTGACGACACACTGCTGATTTGATAAATCTTACAGCCACCGCGGCATCATGGCGTTCAACTTTACCGTCCAACGATCAATGGACAAAGCTATCGAGCTTTGGAGCTCCATCCCTCAGGCCGGGCACTGGGCCTTGGCTGGTGTTGGAGCCCTCTTCGTCGCCAGAAAAGCTCTGTCATTCCTCCAGCTTTTGCTGAATTGCTTCATCCTTAGCGGCACCAATGTATGTCGTTGCGCCCCTCAAAGTATATCCGAGAACCTCGCTAACAAAAGCTCCAACAACAGCTTCGCAAATATGGCAAGAAGGGCACCTGGGCCGTCGTCACGGGCGCATCGGATGGTCTTGGCAAGGAGTTTGCCTCGCAATTGGCCGCTAAGGGTTTCAACCTGGTCCTCGTTTCCCGCACCCAGTCCAAGCTCGACACCCTCGCTCGCGAACTCACGTTGAGATGGTCCGGTCTGCAGACCAAGACACTCGCGATGGACTACTCCCAGGACAACGACGCCGACTACGAGCGCCTGGCTCAGCTGCTTTCGGGTCTGGATGTGGGCATTCTGATCAACAACGTCGGGCAGTCGCACAGCATCCCCGTGCCGTTCCTCGAGACATCCCGAGACGAGCTCCAGAACATTGTCACCATCAACTGCCTCGGCACCCTCAAGACGACTCAGGTTGTTGCGCCCATTCTGACGAAGCGCAAGAGGGGCCTCATCCTTACCATGGGCTCGTTCGCCGGTGCCATGCCCACTCCATACCTCGCGACTTACAGCGGCAGCAAGGCCTTCCTGCAGCATTGGAGCACCTCGCTCGCTTCGGAGCTCCAGCCCCAGGGAGTCGACGTCCACCTTGTCCTCAGCTACCTGGTCACCACGGCCATGAGCAAGGTCCGTCGCACCAGCCTGCTCATCCCCGGCCCAAAACAGTTCGTCCGCTCGGCCCTGGGCAAGATCGGCCTGGGCGGCACCGAGAACTTCCCCAACACTTACACGCCTTGGTGGAGCCACGATGCGTTCAAGTGGGTGGTTGAGAACACCGTGGGCACGACGAGCGCTGTGACGGTCTGGTTCAACAAGAGGATGCATGTTGACATCCGGAACCGGGCGCTGCGGAAGGCAGCGCGGGAGGCTAAGAAGCAGTGAGCGGGCCGGGTGTATGGGAAAGTGTAAGCTTTTTGGAGCTGAGGCTGTATTACCTAAACAAATGGGATAGTGATGGGCAAAGTGAATGGCTAGGCTGCTGGAGTACCTGAAGTCTAAGTTCTGTGATGTTACGACTTTGTCTAGAACAGCACGTTCTAGATTTTGTTCTCTGTTCTCAGTGTGAAACTTCCGGGTGTCTCTTGCAATCGACGTTGGGTTCTGGACAGGTGACAGGTCTACTATGATAGCTCTGGGTGGCGGTGGCAGAATCAGGTTAGCGCGGCTCCAGTCAATCCCAGCGCATTCGCGTGTCGCCCAGCCTTGCTTGTCGCCCAATCATCCCGTTCTCCAAAAATTGTTTATGACCAGCCTCTTTCGAGCCAAGTTTCTTTGGCAGCTGCATAAAGCATCCCGCATTTCCAACGACGACATCGTGATCCGAACAGCCTTGCAGCAAGTTAGCTAGCTTCCCAACTTTACCCCCAAGTCGCTTTGATGGTTTAATTGCCCGAGGACACGAGCTGCAGGAAGTCAGCTCCGAACGAACAAGGGGGGAAGCTCCATTTACATCTCGCGGCTGCGACTTCAACCGACCGACGACAGCTTCGTTGACCGCGCTGCGGGCTCGTCAGGGCCCCCAACGCCGCCGACATGAACCCCGTCACGCCAATGCGCCAGATCCCTGGGGCATTTATCAACACGCCGGGACCGAACACGGTCCGGCGGAAGCTCAACTTCAATGAGACTGCTGGTCCTGGCGCGAATAGCACAGTCGGGACCACAACAGCGCCGATATCAACCGCTTTGGGGGCGGGACAGCCAGAAATTGCTACGGGCATGTTGCCACCGTCGCAACCCCGAGACGATCTGCCTCCTGAGGCAAAGGCCGCCCAGGTCATCAACCAGACTCTGCAGCTCGATGAGAGCTACCCCGACCTTGACTCTTATTGCAGACGTATGCCATCCTTTCCTCTCCGCCGCCTTTTGGTTGTTTGTATACCTGGGATCAGGAACTGACCATTTTGCTCTGGATAGCTGGCGCGTCGTCCGACTACGAGATCCAATTCGCCGATTCATCATGGGCCCCGTTCCACAAGGTGTCATCGTATCCCATACCGGATCAGGTGTTCTCACGCCTAAACCAGGGCGCCGTGTCTACCAAGATTGGCTTGTTCGCTGACATAAACTACGCCTGGGCTGCGATTGACGACTCCCTCTTCCTGTGGGATTACACACATCCGGACCCAGAGCTTATTGGGTACGAGGATGCCACCCACACCATCACAGCTGTCGCTCTTGTGCCGCCCAAGCCAGGCGTGTTCGTCAACACCATCACGCACATCTTGGTGGTTGCCACCACCAGTGAGATTACTTTGCTAGGTGTCGCCGCTACTCCCACCCCGTCCGGCTCCAAGACGGTCACGCTGTATCAGACGAAGATGGCGGTCCATCGCGGAGGGAGCGACGTCAGCTTCATCGTTGGCACCACAACCGGCCGCATCTTCCTCGGCGGCGACACCGATACAGATATCCATGAGCTGTTCTACCAGCAGGAGGAGAGGTGGTTCTCGAGCAGGTGCGGCAAGATCAACCACACGCATCCGGGGTGGTCGTCGGTCGTCCCTAGTCTTCCGCTGGCCGGACTGCCGTTTGGCCAGCGGCAGCAGGAAGGACTCATCGCCCTTGTTGTTGACGACACGCGGAATCTCCTCTATTCGCTGTCCAACCGCTCGACCATCCGCACCTACCACATGGAGTCTCCCGAGAAGCTTACGAGGGTCATCGAAAAGGACAAGATGAGCTGTCTACGCGACTTTGCCCACATGGCAGACAGCTCCCCTCTCTTCACTGATCGTACTAATATTGTCTCCTTGAGTCCCATCGCCGCCACCGAAGCTTCAAAGCTGCATCTCATGGCTCTCACCGATACAGGCTGCCGCCTTTTTCTGAGCGCCACTAGCTCCGCGTCGTACAGCATGGGAGGGTCCACAAGTCTCGCACCGCAGAGCATGCAGCTTCAGTTCGTCAAGTTTCCGCCGCAGGAACCAGGAGCCCGGTCCCGGACCATGACAAGTCAGACCGCTGAGGGGCAATTAGACAAGACCTCGCGAGCGCTCGACCCCAGTGGTCTCGGTGTCCGGTTTGCGCCGGGCTATTTCTTTGACGTCGTCCGGAAACAGCCCAGTGCCGATATTCTCTTCGTCTCTGCACCGGATACGGGCAAAATCAAGATCACCACACCCACGTCGTTGCTCAAGTACTTTGAGCAAGGGACCTGGATTGACCTGGCGAGTGGCAGCCGGATTCTGGAGATCGGTCTGACGACACCTCCGTTCTCCGCCTCAAAGCAGCCCCTTGGTTTTGGCAATGAGCTCGCCGTCCAGTTCGATAATTCCCCGTCGGAATTTGCGATACTCACTAACACGGGAGTACACGTCGTCCGCCGGAGGAGACTTGTCGACATCTTCGCCAATGCGCTTAGGACGTGCGCTGGTGACGAGAGCCTTGACCGGGAGGTGCGAAGGTTTCTCCACCAGTACGGCCGCGTTGAGACCGTCTCCGCGGCCCTGGCAGTCGCATGCGGTCAGGGGAGTGACTTGCGCACTGGCACCACCAGGACAACAGACAGGAAGACAGAAGACTATGCCCGCATGGCGTTCGTCGAGTACGGTGGCCAGCCAAGACTTAGCGAGTCGGACGGAAAGCAAGCAGTGTCAGAGTGCGTCCGGCTCTCTTCACGGCATGACGCATTGGCTCTGTACCTCACCCGTCTGATCCGGATGCTCTGGAAGTCCAAGGTCGTCGGGATCGGAGCAGAGATCTCGTCGACCATTCCGACCACCAAGCTCGTCATGATACAGGAGAATGTGGAGCGCCTCCGGAATTTCCTCGAAGCGAACAAGAGCACAATCCAGGGGCTTGCTGGTCCACCCGAACGGCTATACGGCAGACAGGAAGAAATTGCCTTGCAGAAGGAGCACCAGGCTTTGCACGGCTTGCGGAAGCTGATGGAGAGCGTCTCGGAGGGCATCTCGTTCGTGCTGATGCTGTTCGACGAGCGCGTCTCGGATATCTACGCCCGCCTGGACCCTACCTCTCAGCAACAGCTTCGGGATCTAACCTATGAGCAGCTGTTCTCTCAAGCTCCCGGACGAGAACTCGCCAAGGTGTTGGTTAAGGCAATTGTTAATCGCAACATTGCGAGCGGCGCCAACGTCGAGACTGTTGCCGACGCTCTGAGAAGGCGATGCGGTAGCTTCTGTTCTGCCGACGATGTCGTCACCTTCAAGGCCCAGGAGCAGCTGCAGCGCGCCAGCGAGCAGACTCAAAATCCCAACGCCCTCCGCACACTACTGGCCGAGAGCCTACGTTTGTTTGAGCAGGTCGCAGGCAGCCTCACCCCGGCTAACCTCCGGGGTGCTGTCGAGCAGTACATCGAGCTCAAGTACTACGCTGGTGCCATTCAGCTGTGCCTGACCGTAGCGCAGCAAAAGGACAGGGGGAACACGGCCTTGTCTTGGGTCAATGATGGCAAGCCGGCAAACGACTCGCGTAAAAAGGCGTTCGACGAGCGCAAGATATGCTACACGCTGATCCACGAGGTTCTCGACAAGCTTGAGGTCGCATTCGCAGGCGAACCTGAGGTCATCGATGGACGGCCGACCATCGCGGCCACGAAGCGTATGGAGGCGTACTTGGTCGTCAACGACTCAAATGACGAAGTCTTCCATTTCGATCTGTACGAATGGTACATTGAGAAAAATTGGACCGACCGGATTTTGTCAATCGACTCCCCACACGTCATCACGTACTTGCAGCGGCTGGCAGAGACTGACTACCAGCACGCGGAGCTCCTCTGCCGATTCTACACACACCGCAGCCGCTTCTTTGAGGCCGCCCAGGTCCAGGCGGCGCTGGCAAAGTCAGATCTCAACATTGGGCTCAAGGACCGCATCACGCTGCTCAGTCGCGCCAAGGGCAATGCCAGTGTTAACACCATTGGCATTAGCCGTCAACAACAGCAGTTGCTCAACCATGAAGTAACGGAACTTCTCGAGATTGCGCATATTCAGGACGATTTGCTCGAGCGGCTGCGGGCAGACCCCCGCATTGCGCAGGAGAAGTTGCCCGATATCGAGGAGGCTCTTGACGGGCCGATCAAGGGCGTAACTGAGGTGGGTTATTATCCCCCTTCTTTCCTCAATCTCGAATTTCACTAACTTCTCCTATCACAGCTCTACAACGAATACGCCGACCAGGCCGCCTACTTCGACCTCTGCCTCCTCATCTTCCACGCCGCAGACTACCACAACCCCCGCGTCATCATGGACACGTGGTCCCAGCTTCTCGAGCAAACCCACTTCGAAACGGAACAGCGCCAGACGCACTGGGCGCTCGTTCAAGCAGGCCGCCCGCTTCCTGAAGGTGCCCCGCCGCTCACGGGCGAACCCCCTCTGCCCTACGAGTCCGTCTCCCAGGTCATCCAGCTCATCGCCCACCGCACGTCGCTCGACAGCCTCGTCTTTCCCGTTGACGCCCTGCTGCCCGAGGTATGCAGATATGCGGTCAACCAAGGCCAGGACGCGTCCATCGGCGCCGACCCGTGCTGGCCCGTCAGGCTCTTTATGAACCTCGGCGTGCCGCATGCGCTAGTGGTGCAGGTGCTCGAGAATGTGTTTGATGCGCAGGAGGCGCCGTTCACAGGGAAGCGGAGGAAGGCAGTCGTGCAGTGGATCGCGGCGGCCGTGGAGGCGTGGGTGAGGGAGGTGGAGAGGAGGGCTGCTGGGGTCGGGGCCTTGGGTGGTGGCGGTGCGGGTTCCGGTGGTGGTGGTGGTGCTGGCGGCGGGGAGGGGGCCATTGGTGCGTGGGTCAGTGAGTTGCTTGCCAGGGCGGATGAGTGTTTGGTGCAGATTTCGCCGGCCGCGCCGGCTAGTGCTAGGGCTGGCGGCGCCGTGTCGGCTGAGGTGGAGGAGCTGTTGGAGCTGAGGCGGGTGGTTAAGGCGCTCAAGAGAAGTGTGGATGGGATTTTGGGTGGGGAGGGGTTGCTTGGGGGAAGTTTGTTTCGGTGAGACCGGTTTATGGCACGAGCAAGCGGGGCATGAGCATGAAACAGAAAATAGTGAGGAGTGGAAGGGTAGGGGAATCGCTGTTGGATGGGTGTTCTATCAGACTCTTGCAGGAAAGGCGAGATGATGTTGCAAAGAAGATGTTAGCTTAGAGCAGCGTGCTTGCGTGTGACGGTGTGACTGTAGTTTGGGGTTTGTGTTTGGTCAGGTATAATACTACGGATGTACATACATACTACTAAGGGCGATTCAGGTTTTGCCTGTGAAAGGTGGCGTCTTCTGGCTGCCGGTGCTTGATATGCAGGTAAAACAAGAGGCTAGTTTGATGAGAACTGCTGATTGTTCCGTGTTGGGCATTGTTATTTCCTATCCCAACTGCCGGTGTGTGTGTGGCTGGAGGATGTGTCACGGTGACTCTTGGTGTGACACCATCAGAGGATGGAAATAGCTTCGAGGTTTTCATGGTGAACGCACATACACCAACTGATAATCAGGAGCCAGGCGACTTGAAGTCGTGCTCCCCTGCTCTATAAAGGCATCTTTCAGGCACGGGCAGCCAACCTTCCGTTCTCCCAGTGTCTCACATGTGTGTCTTGACGCCGAACCCGAGGGCTGGATCGTCTCCTGTTCGGGTGTGTCAACATTCGGGTGGTTATCGCAGCCTCCATGTCGCTCGGCACAAAACACTGGGAAAATTGGGGTTCACCCGAGTTGGATTTGGTTACAATATATGTTTCGAGTGGTTTCATTTTCCCGGCTCTTGTCTGTTCGTTTATCACCTGTCTCCACCGCAGAAGCCCAACTTATACCTCTTCGACCTGCACCGTTTGGCTGCTCAGCTCGACAATCGTCGTGAACTTAGGCCAGACACTGACGCCACAACCACCCTTCGTGCTCCTCCTGTTTGGGAATGGGCCCAACGACTGCAATCACGCCGCCGAACCTTGACCAAGGATGGCCCGCGGCTGGCAAAACTGGTGTTTCCTGACGAAGCCGCGGCACGGCGGTTTGGGGGTATGGGAGAGAAGGCACCCAGCGGGGCCCATCTGTTCTGAATGGTTTGACAGCTATCGTTGAGCGAAACCGAACTAACGTCGCGCAATCCGACCAGTCCCTGGACTGGATGCGGGCCGTGGGTGTGTCGAGGCCGGAGGTGCTCGTCGATGTCGATGCGAGGCAGACGGGCCGGCCGCCCAACACCTCCTACGATGTCGTTCTCTCATCAGTCTGAAAACTAAGTGGCTACCTGATCGTCACACCCGTTGTGTTTCCTCCAGCGAGGCCGACAGACTTCCAGCCGTCTCCCGTCGCGTCAATATTCCAGGATTTGAGGAGTACTGCGCCGAGCGATACCAATGCAATTCTATAGTCGCAACCGTCGCCTGGGTCAGTTCGCGCCGGCGCCTCTTCGTTGAGCTCTTCCGAGTTTTGGTCCCAGGTTAGACATTATCATTGTCTCTTGCATCTCAGTCCACACGAATAGACAAATCATCGACGATATAGTCGTCGCCACAGTCTCCGAGACGCGAACTTGTCCTTTCTGTGGGCAAGTCTGACTCTGGCACCTGGTCACTCCGACACACTCCCTGCACCGACCATCTCGTTGTCACCAGATGATGAAAGCCGACCGTTTCAAGGAGTTGTTTTGCGGCATCGACAGCTGCCAATCCAGAAAGCCAAACAGGCGCCGACTGCATTACTCCAACCAGCAATCCAGTCACCCAATGGCCTGGGGCCTTCCCGCCACCTCTCAATTGGAGTTGACAGTTCCGCTTCGCTCAGATCCAAAACCAGGCCCATTTGCGCGGCGTCCGCCTTGATTCCATTCCTCTTCAAGTCCACGGATTTGGTGACACTGGCAAGCCTCGTGTGATCCGGCTGTTATCCATGATCTGCCCCGTTAAACCAGCTTACACGGAAAGATATACATCCAAAACGATTGCGCCGCCCTTCTTGTTGGTCAGCAGGTCACTGTACGGATATTCAACGACAACAGGCACAACCTGGAGTACTTGCAGAGTCAGATACTGACCTGCTTCGATGATGGAAGCCTACGCTGCGGCCTTCACCCTATCCTATCCAAGTCGACAGTATTTGTCCTTGGGACAGACACTAGTATATCAAGGACGCTCGGAAGGCGGACAATAGCGCCTCCAGCAGTGGAAGGATCAAGTCACAAGTGCCATTGATGTCTGATCGGCCAAAAACAAGGCCGTTTCGACCCCATTGTGCCACGGCCCTGCTCTTATATCAATGCAGAGCATATTGGCAAGCCTCTGACGCGCTCCACTGGGCGATTCACTGCGCAACTGGGCATCCCATGTCGTCATGAGCCCCTTCGCCGACAACAGGCTGGCGATTGAAGCTACAAAAGGCCGATTTCCCTCCGTATTAGTAGCTGGATAGATCTCTGGCCGACAACGATGAGCACCTGCGATACCATGATTTCGACCGCGTCGAACAGTTGCCTGGCCCGACCACGCAATAGTCAGCCGTTATTACTCCCGACCAGAATGTCACACGGTCATCGGCCGCATGCCACGAAGTATCAGGTTTCCCATTTTCAACGCATTGGGATTGGAAAATTAGACAAGTGATCGAGATCACCTCTGAGTTTCAGCAAGTGACTGGGTTTTGAGAATGCACGTATGGCGAGGAAGCAGCTCTCTGGTGGCTGAACTGTTACTACGTGCTGATTGACTATATCTCACTGGAGGTTTTCAGCTGCTTTCATGACGAGTAGCAGTTCAACACCTGCAATGGGATAACGACGTCGCTGTCCCAGGTCGCTCTCTTTGTTCTTAACATCTGGAGGAATGCTGCTAGATGCATTCTACGGAGGTGGCCTCGAGGGCCCCCATTTCTAAAATCCTATATAGCCCTCATCTAGACCTCTGCCCCGTTGGTGGATCAGGAGATCTATCCTGAACCATTGGGATAGTCATGATGATGACTTGCGGCTCAGTTCCATCGTGTTTGTCAAGTTGTCTCGGAGACAACCAATTTTTGTCCCCAGTAGTAACGGTGAAACGTGCTGCAGCTGCTGGCTCCGTCTGTCTCAGATCTCCGCGCTGACCATACATAGAGGCCTTTATGGGATCACAACGCGGATAATCACCATCCGCTGGAAGGCATGGAGACTTGAATTAAGGCGACTGTGAAGATTTGAGTCTCGGTCACGTACAGCACAAGCACTTCCGGCATTGCACGGGAGTCACAAATAGAACTATGACGTGTTCTTGTCAACCTGTGGAGTGGACACTGGTACCAAAGAGGTGTACACAGTCCACAACGGATAGTGTGGATTAATTCGCCTGCATATTCGAACATGGGCCCATCATCGGGTCAAAATATGGATAAATGGAGACACTTTATACCTGAAACGACGATTGGGTGGCCTTGCTGAAAACGACAAATGGAGGCTGACGGCTTCTCATTCGGTGGAATGACACATGGATGCCGGTACATGTATTGTAGCAGCAGAGAACGCGAAAAGGGAGGGGTGTCTCAGCGCATCATATGACCTTCCTGCGAGCCAAGGAACCGGAGATGGCTTCTAATGAATTGAAAGGTCGGAGCAAGACAAGCTGCTCTGAGCAACATGTATTTGCTTCCAGAACAGCATGCTGTGTCTAGGGGCTACAAATGCCAATGGTGGGGAGTTCAATCCCCGAGTTGCGGGCGTCTAAAGCCGGTGCAAGTCGTGCGATGGTGGGTGAGACATGAATGGTATATATTGCCGTATATTGGATGGTCGTGACTGTTGCTGCATGTCCCAACTCCAATGTGCAGTTCCCCAAATCCCCCATGATTTTTCCATTTCCTCCACTCGATACCCAGTGAATTAGTTCCCGGAGGTACGGAAGGGCGACTCTCAAAGGGACACCTTTCGGAGCTTCCTCCTTGGGGTTTATCCCCTGCGGATCACCGCAGATCCCCTTCTCCTTCAATTGCCCCATCCCGGCGCCCAGGTTACCCATCCCTTGCACCCATTCCCGCCAGACTCATAGAGTACTAGGTAGCTTATTCGCCGTTGCAATCCATTGCAGCAACTGGACGGTTGCGTCCCGAGAACTGGGCTTGCTTCGCAATACACTTTCCATCCCAGCTTGACCACACCATGCGTTCCTGGTTCATTACCATCCTTTGCACGCACTTCCCAAAAACTAACTCCTGGCGTTATTTCTTTCCGGTGCGCGCCTTCCGTCGGATTAGTTTCAACGGAGTACCCCTTCCCCTCACTCTCCTCAACACCTTCCTCCACGAAGCCCTGCAAAAGATCAGAAGTCGGTGCTCAGCGGCTCAAGCCAGCCCCAGAGAGTCAAATAGAAAAAATTTTTTGTCTCAGCTTACTGCTCGTCGTCTTCTCGTTACAAGCTCAGGATCACCATTCGAGTGTCCCGTCCCTTGCCACAGACGGGATCAGTCGAGAAATCTGTCCTCTTGACCCAAACTGCCGTGTTCGCAGTCGCACCGGCTAGGATCGACATTCGAGCATCCACCGATCGACAAGCTCTTTCCCAACAACAATCCTCAAGATGAAGGCACGTCTTAATTACTTCTCATCAATCCTATTTTAGTTATGCACTCTCACGGCAGGCTTACTAACAAGAACACAACGCTGCAGCTCCTCACGCTCGTCACCATCACGGCGCTCGCCCTCCTCACCCCGACTGTCGCAGCGCCAGTCGAGGCCACCGCCGACGACGGCGTCACTAACGGCGGTAAAACGCCCGCGGCCGCCGTCGCCGCCAACTACGGCACGCCGCACTGCAAGTCGGCCGCGCTGCTGAATCTCTGCACGGCAGACAATGCCAACGCGTATTGCGACGCGACGGGATTCCACTGCGACTTTACGGCGAGCTGCAAAAATGTCTGCTGGTGCGAGTAAAAGCAAACGTGCGATCATCTTCCACATGCATCTGGCTGGTGGTGATAGAAGGGGAGATGGCTTGTGCTTAGGGGAGCCAGGGGAACTCATGGTTGAGATGGAACATCTTACCTTAGTGAAAGGGGATGGACACTGAAGAGTGGTTAGCTGAGGGGAGAGAAAGGGATGTCGCATAATCTACTACGGGATTACCTACCTTACATGTAGGGACCGTCGAGTCTGGACTTCACTGCAGTTAACCAAAGACCGAAGAAAGGGAAATTTATGAAAAGCAAATGGGGTAACTAGACATTCGGTGGAGAGGCAAGCAACGTTAGTGCATGTCTGTATGAGACTGATCGGGAACTCGATTTCAGAGAGATATTCCTCGCATTACACTCTGGTTGATCGCAGACGGCGACCCTGGGGCCCCTTTCTCTGTTATGTTCTGAGTGTAGAAGGGCGCAAAGGCCTCCTGACTGAAATATCAGACTGAAGCCAAGCACCAAACATCATAGCGATCATTTTGCCACTTGGGATCACATCCTCAACATCACCGGCCACTCCCCCTTCCCTCTTTATCTGACGAGACCCAAACCGCTCCATCACACCCATCCGGATCCGCGCAGCCCATGCATTGTCTCTGCCGCGCTTCAATTGCACCAATAGTCAACTCAGCTGCTAACTAGCGATGGTTGTTAATTTTGCTTTGTTCCCTCCGCCGCCTCCAATACGCTGAATGAGCTTGTCGCCCAGCGCCTCAATGGACGCCTCAAACGCCTGCCATGAGGCGGCGCCCCAGCCGGCGCCGTCAGCACCTGGTACAGCGTCAGCACCCGGGAAGGCAACGTACATCACGTCGGGCTTGTCGTGACCGCTGTTGCCCGTCATGGACGGGCCGAAGCAGGCCGTGGCCAGGGCGAGGGAGGCTTCGCCGACTAGGGGCTTGTTGCCGTCGTCGCCGTTTGTGTCGCCCCAGACGCCATATATCTAGCAATCAAGAGTTGTGGGATTGGTTAGTTGATGTGTTTATTCAAAGAGCATAGGAACTTGGAAGGGAAAGGGAAGGGGAAGGGAAGGGGTGAGAGCACCAGTGCGCCGTTACAGACAACTGCCATGACGGAGAGTGGCTCGACGCCGTACTCGCGCGGGTCAAACGTCTTCCAGCCGCGCTTGGTGCCCTCGTTGCCAAACACGACGTACGGGTGCACATAGGCGTTGAGGTCCTGGATGCCTTTTTGGTAGGCTTTGATGGTGTTCTCAAACGACGTGGCGGCTTGGGTGTCGACGCTGTTCGCGCACCGCCCGTCGTTGTCGCCGGGCCCGTTTTGCTCGCCGTCGCAGTCGACGTCCATGTCGGCGAAGCTGGAGCCAAGGCCCTTGATGTAGATTACGTTGTAATCGGTCAAGTGATCGCCGCAGTAGGCGAAGGCTGGGAACTTTTTTCAGTTCCATGAAGAATACGGGAAACTGGTAAGTGGGGCATAGAACGGCAATTTGGACGTACTATTCGAACCATCCTCCTTGCTATAGAACCCCGTGGCCAGCTTGTTGAGACACGCTCCCTTGTTCTTCAGAGCGTCGTAGAATTGTTGAAGACTGGAGGGAATGTCGCGAGCAGTCACACTAGCCGAGGCCAGGAGGGCTGAGAGCAGCAGGCGTTTCTGCATTCTAGTCCGAATAGGTGAAGGAGAGAACTAGAAAGAGTTGGTGAGTAGAAAAAAAGACAACCAAACTCTCCTCAACAGCTAAGTTACGCAGGCACATTACCTACGGTGAGTGGTGCAGCGGCAGTTTGCAGTCAACGTTGTTCTCAATGGTTTCTTTACCGTTTCTAATCCAGCCGTCTGTGGCCAAGATAGACAGGCAGACAGAATCTGGCTGTTTGGGCAACAGGTCATGTGAAACGTTTGTTGTGGAAAGTCATTCCTCTCTCTCACTTTAGACTCTTCACCTGCAGAGCTCGAACATTCGGTCTGAGTATATGTAACTCCAGGATCTTTGCGGACTTGCGGCCACAAGGCAATGAAGGCACTAGACGCAGTTCATTGGCATCTCTGAATCTCCAATGCGGTGATCCCAAGAGAAAGCCAATTTCAACAACCGCCACATGTCTAAGCTAGATGATCGATCCTGTACCTCCATACACAACTTACAACCACGCCACCCCCAGGTATCACCACATGGCGTAGGTCAGGGGCGGAAACGTCCCTTATTTTAGCATTGGGAAGCTCGGCTCATATAAAGATAATAGTTGTCACGGACTCAGTGGATGCGATGGACCACCCCCGAACGCCGCTTAAAGTCTCAGCAGAGGGACCGTGGTTCGAACCAGGAATCGCACACATGAACCACACGCCACATCTCAATCCATCCACTGCCCGTAGTGGCAATAGTAGACTGCCCTGACTGGATTGATTTCGTAATATGGAGAGGCACACGAGTCACAATGGTAATCTGAGACATGATCTTCATTTCGAGCGGTGGCATCAAATGATGCGCTGAAACTCAGATTCATCAAGTATCAAAGTCTCGAACTTTGAACATGTACTATCCATGGACATGTTCTGAACTACCCTTCCGTAACTTCTTGAATGAAACAGTGGTGATCCCACACACTCCTCAGTATAGACGAGTGGTCCCATGGTGTTGTTAGTAAGCACGCCATCAGAATGACGACAGCATGCTTAGCAATACGACAGGCTGACTCGAAGCTGGGCCCTTAGGCACTAGGATAAATAGCCCATCACGAAAAAACAAAGCCAGCGGGTCAAAAGTTGGAAATCAATCTTGACGCTTCGCAAACAAGCCCCTGGCCTGCCCCTGATTTGACTCAGCTCTGAAGCCTGCATGCAACCATCACCATGTCCGCGGCCGAGGACCCCATCGCCGAACATGGCTGGACCGCCGTCCGTGTCGACGCCGACGCCATCTTCAAAGGCAAGCCCTACCTGTATGAACCCGGCCCCCTCCTCGTAAAGGACATCCACTTCCCCTCGGACGACCCCATCGTAGCCAAAGCCCAAGCCTACGCCAAGGACAACCTCCCGGTGCAAACCTACAACCACTCCATGCGCGTCTATTACTTTGGTAACCTCCCCCTTTCCTTCCTATACATCACCACCACCACCCCTCACTTCTGACAGACAACTTGACGCCCTTCCAGCAAGCGCCATCCTTCAAGACCAATTCCCCGCCCACCGCGCGGCCCTCTCCCCGGCCACGCTCGCCCTCGCCGCCCTCCTCCACGACATCGGCACAGCCCCGGCCTTCCTGACCAGCACCCTCCTCTCCTTCGAATTCCACGGCGCCATCACCGCCCTCAACCTCCTCACCGCCCCGCCGCACCCGGCGCCGGCCCCACAGGCAGAAGCGGTGTGCGAGGCCATTATCCGGCACCAAGACCTCGGCAAGGAAGGGACCATCACCTTCCTGGGCCAGCTGCTCCAGCTGGCGACCGTGTACGACAATGTGGGCCGGTGGGCGTACCTGGTGCATGAGGAGACGAGGCGGGATGTGAACCGGGAGTTTCCGAGGCGGGCGTGGGGGGCGTGTTTCGCGACGACGGTGAGGGAGGAGGTGAGGGTCAAGCCATGGGCGCATTCGACGCATTTGGGCGGCGCGGAGGAGTTTGCGAATGCGGTCGAGGGGAATTTGTTGATGGCTGAGTATGAGTGAGGGTGTATCTCAGAGAGATCGAAGTCTGTGGGATTCAGTGAGATAGTAGGTGTGCTCGGTCACTTCCAAATCCAGCTTATTATTCTTAGCCAGCTGTGGGTCTTCTTGAGCGGTGTCTCGTACGGATAGTATTGTTCTGCTTGCTTGAAGATATCCTCCAGCGGGATGTCGTCCAACGAGATGACCTTGGTGTTGCGAAACAGCTTCCAGAACATGTAGGCCGTGAGCACGATGGGTATGTCCCTGGCAGACTGAATCAGCATACAGGTGGTCGGCCTGACTGAGAAATGACGAGGACTTTACAGGTAGGACGACACAAACTTGGCTGCGTCCCAGTTGCCTTGTGTGAACACGCTGAAGCCGCTGGTCAGGAGGATGGTGATGCACATGAACAATCCGGCAGGCGAGGAGTAATCTGTTAGGCGTCAGACGTTGCTCGGTAATCTAACCGAAAATGATGCTTACTTGTCCACCAGTTATGCCACGGCAACCTGCCAGCATCAATCCCCTGCCTCTTCATCGCCTGCACCAGCCGGATGTGATTCAGCAGGATGGTCGACCATGAGACGAGCACTCCGGCGGCCGTCAACGCCACCAGCCACCAGAACACGGTGATGGCGCTTTCCGACATGCTCATAAAACTGAGAAACATAAATGCCGCAAACAGTAACACGCACATGTACGGCGTACCCCATGACGTCGTCCGCAAGAAGAAGCTGGGCGCCTGTCCCTTGAGAGCCAGCCCGTACAAAACTCTTGTACCCGTGAGCAGGCTCTGGTTCGACGCTGACCAAGCCGAGGTGATGACAACCGCATTGACAACCGAAGGGACCGCCGATATACTCGCCTGTGAGGCGGCAATAACGAACGGACTTTGAGCCACACTGCTCCCTGACCCGTCCAGCCGGGGGTCATTGCTGGCGACGAGCATGCCCACCACCAGCACGGCGAGCATATAGAAGATGACAATCCGGGCAAACACACGCTTACACGCCCGTGGGATCGTCTCGTGCGGGTTCCTCGTCTCAGCAGCCGCCATGGCCAACGACTCGACACCGGCAAACGAGAACACGGCGCCCGTCAACACGGCCCAAAAACCGAGAATCTTTCCCCAGTCCCCGGCCGCAATGTATTCGACAAACGGCCCTGGATCCCTCCAGTACCTAAACCCTATCCTCTCGGTCCCCGGCACGCCCCCAAGATTAATTACCAACCCCAGCACAATCAAAAACACCACCAACCCAATCTTCACCAACGCAAACCAGAACTCAACCTCCCCAAACACTCTCACCCCCGCCATGCCCACCCCAACCGTCACGAACACAAACACAGCCAGCACGACCGCAGCCTGCCCCTTCTCCCCGAACCCCTCCCAACCCCCCCAGAACCTCACCAACACGACCACCGCAACCGCCTCGCTCGGGATGCTCAGCAGATTCCCGTATACGAGATTCCACCCCACCGCAAACCCCCAGGCCGGGTCGACCAATACCTCGGCGTGCCTCACAAACGACCCCGTCAGCGGCATCAGCGCGGCCGTCTCGCCGAGCGCAAACTGCACGGCGCAGACGGTCAGGCCGATGGCGGCGTAGCCGAGGAGCGCGCCGAGCGGCCCGCCGCGCCGGACGGCCAGACCCAGCCCGAGGAAGAGGCCTGTTCCGATGGAGCCGGCTATGCCGAGCATGGAGAGGTGGCGTTGGCGGAGGGCGCGCGCGAGACGGTCTGGGGGTTGGTCGTGGTGGACTTGGGGAGGATGAGGTGAGGTCGGGTCATGGTCATGGTCATGGTGGGGGCCGTGAGAATTGGCGGTGGGTTCGAGAATGAGCCGTGTTGAGGAGGTGGCTGTAGGGGGGGATGCGGCACATTCGATGTCGGGTTCGTCGTCTCTGGAGGGTAAGAAGGTACCACATCCCAGTTCGGAAGGGTTGATGCTAGAAAAGGACTCAGAGGAGGACATGTTGAATTCTCGATTCCCGATTCTCGAGTGGCGAGCGGCAAGTGGCAGGGTTGATGTGCCGTAACTTCCGCTGCTTTTTTTCTCTTTCGATAAACTGCTCTAGATTCTGAGCAACACGATCATTTGCGAACTTGGGGAGTCAAAGAAACTCAGGTAAGTCGGTTAAGTTGTGGTTGAAGTAAGCGTGATTTGGGAATGCTAGTGATGCGGGAGACCCACTTGAAAATTGAGGGAATACTCGTAGCGGTCTCCATCAGTCCATATGGTTTGCATATTACTTCTTCGTACCGCGGGATAGTGATACTCTCCAGGTGAACTGGTTCATTCAAGGGTGCTACAGTAATTCATCGCTCTAGATGAGAAAAGAACACACATTCGATGTTGATTTGAGAACTTTGTAACCCTAACCCAAGTGTGAACGCCCTGACCCTTTCGTGATTGACATGGGCTGCTGTTGTGCTCCGTCATGCTGGAGAAAAATGATGACATTCAAAATGTTCAATCCCGGTATTTCGATCGGCCATCAGCAGCAGCACATCATCCAAGAACGTCGTCGTCGGTCGCCGGAAATGCGGCGACGGGCATACCGCATTAATGTTCTCCTGTATGGAACCATTAGAAACGGCCAGTGCCGTCACCCCCTACACCGATACTTGTACAAAAATGACACACACGATGTCGACAGAATGAACATCTCTCCTTCAGTACTGTGGTTGTAACCAGGATCAGTTGCACTTCATGCGCTTACAAAATACTCGGTAATCTGGTAATATTATTAGCAGCTTATCACGACGTGACAGGCGCACATCCGGGGAGACAATGTTTAGACACAAAGCGACGAATTTCAGAAAAACCTCAAGATTCTGTCTACGGTTCTGAGCAGCGCTGTCAACAAGTCAAGTCAAGTCAAGTCAAGTCAAGTTTCTCGAGACTTGTCAAGTCAAGTCGGTGCATCGACTTGACTTGACAGACTTGACACTAAGTAGGGTTGGGGTATCGAGTAAAAAGTAAGTCAATGTGGGGTTAACTAGCCCAGAATTTGTCCCGATTAAAACTCGGAACATACCGAAAATGGGCATTTTACCCACTCTTCTGGCCCTAACCTACTGCGACGCGTTGCCTGTCGCGTCGATCACCTCCTGGTCAAGGTGGCTGCGCGCCGCTGCAAAGCTCACCCATACTTCCCGTTTGCAATCCTCCCGAATGGCTATCGTCGCTACTAACGATGCCGCACGCGTAGCTCTTGACTCTGACGACATTTCCATTATGCCGAACATCGACTTCGAGAACCCCTTGCACCTCAACGCGTTCGACGCGCTCGGCCGTGCCAAGCGCACCAAGAAGAGCATCAAGGAGCAAATTCGTGATGCCAAAGCCATCACCGATGTGCCCCTCGATCCGAAGCTATACCCGAAGATCCAGGGTCCCGACAATCGGTTTTACCACCTCCGCGCGCATTTCAAAATAAAGGATGGACCTTCCTGGGTTAACGCCCACGGTACGCTGCTCCTACGGCTCACAGGAAACGATTCGAGCTCTACAGACGGCAAGTTCTGGGTCTGTCACGAGTGCTACAACATCTTCGACGCGGAGGCGACAACTTCGCCAGCTAAACACCTCCGACAAAGACACGGTATTACGAAGGATGGCGAACGTCTTGGGGCAAATACTGCGGGCAAGAGATCGTCGCCAGCAATTGACGAGCTCTTCCAAGCTCGAACCACCAAGAAGACGAAACTCCCGCCCCCCCCGCAAAAACTCAAAGCCGCTTCCAAGAGCTCCTAGTCAAGTGGGTTTCCGATTCGGATATCCCATTTTCTGTGGTTGAGCACGAGCACTTCCGGAGCCTACTTTCTCTTCTCAATCCAAGCCACACCGACAACCTCCTCCCAAGAAGCCATGTCACTACACACAACTGGCTAAGAACCCAGTACAATCTCTATTTTGATGCCATCAAAGCCGACATCACCTTGACGCCCAACCCAATCCACATATCCTTTGATGGATGGTCATCCCCCGGAACTGCTGCGTTTTTCGCCGTCGTTGCGCACTACTTCGATGCTGCGGGGAACTTCAACACCCGCTTACTCGCCCTCCCACGTATCAAGGGCACTCACAACGGCGAAAACTTCGCCAAAGGAGTGATTGAGGTGGTCGACCGCTTTGGCTTTCAAGCCAAATTAGGGTGTTTCCAAGCTGACAATGCCGAAAACAACGATACGTGCGTCACCAAACTTCTACGGCACTTCAACCCCCATCTTTGTACGGCGCAGCTCGACCTCATCCGGTCTCTCAAGCGAGTGCGCTGTGTTGGCCACATTTTGAACCTTGTCGCCAGAGCTTTCCTTGATGGCGAAAACAGGGAAGTGATTAAGAGACTAGCAGAGGGCTCAGATGAGCGACTGTCTGCGGAACAAGAGAGGGAGCTTCTCAATACGTGGCGAGAAACTGGGCCAGTGGGTAAACTACACTACCTTGTACACTTCGCCCGCCGTACGCCCCAGCGCAAGGACGCTTTCAACGACTTCACAGAAGGTACCCTAGCACCTTCACCCTGTTAAAAGACAATCATATTCAGGGCTGATGTATTCTTCTTTCTACAGGCAAGCTCACTGAGGCAGAACGCGAGGAAATTGGCGCCATCCTCGTCGACCCTGCAATTCAAAACCTCAGGCTGAAGGCTGACAACGATACCCGCTGGCACTCGGTGTACCATATGATTGAGCGTGCCCTCGTCCTCCGTGATCCCCTCACCAAGTTCAGCGCCCGGTACAATCGATTAGGGGACCTCAGTGACGAAGCCGTACTTTCTTCCGAGGATTGGGCAGTCCTGACAGAGATCAAAGCTCTATTGGCCCCATTCAAGTTCATCACCAAAAAGTTCGAGGGGAGGAAACCCAATCTTTGTGACGTTGTCACCCACATCTTCAGCCTCCACCGGGATCTCAAGCATTTGCACCGAGGATATAGTGCTGAGTTTGAACGGTCGGGAGGGTTTGATAGCTCGATATTTCCGCTTAACAACGAGCGCCCCGCGGGGCAGCTCCCGGCGTTCCCGCCCACTGGGCCCGCTGCGGCACAGCAGCGCCCATGCCGGATTCGCCGCGTGCCCGCCCGGTTTAGTGATTATGACGTCGACCTCCCCGGGATCGGGCTCCGCCGCCCAGTTACCGCCCCTAAGCAACACGGGCCCCTTGTCGAGCTTGGAAATCCTCTTCACGAGGATCTTGAGGTGCCTTCCTTCTCCAGCCTTCAATCTAGCCTCAAATACCCCATTGACAAGCTCGAGAAGTATCTTGACATACTAGATGAGACCCCTGCCTATTGGGCAGCTCATATGCTGCACCCGGGCCGCAGGATGAAGTGGGTGAAGCTGTTTTACGAGGACAACGACAAGAGGATCTTAGAGATTCAGCGGCGGTTTGTGGCCTACTTTGATGCGCACCACCCAGCAGTCGAGCCCGCAGCACGCCCATGCACCCCGGTTCAAGTCCATGGCTTTGGAGATAGCTTCTATGATGCGCCAGTTGCCGGAGGTATTATAGATGAGGTTGGGGAGTATCTACGAGGGCCTGTACACCCCGTTGACAATCCAATACAATGGTGGTTGGCCCGGAAAGACGAGTATCCATGTCTCACGAGTATGGCGCTCGAAATACTCTCGATACCTCCCTGCGCAACGGAATGCGAGCGGACCTTCAGCCCCACTAAGCTCACGATAGGGTCACAACGACACTTACTTGGTGATGGTACCCTTTCAGAGCTTCAATGTGTACGAAATTGGGCGCGGGAGGAGTCCGTTGGGAAGGTTGTGGCCTTATGACAGGCTTGGTGGCCCAGTTTTTGTAATTAACTGGTGTTCGGAATAACCTCCGAGCCTTCTTGGCAAGTCTTCCAAGTTAAGTCAAGTCGGGGGTCGTTCAAGTCAAGTCTTGCACAGATTTGTCAAGTCAAGTCAAGTCTGCCGCCAGACTTGACTTGACTTGACTTGTTGACAGCGCTGGTTCTGAGGTTTCACTCCTTTCCGTACCCACAAGTGATGAACGCTTCCCAGCATATGTGAGGATGAATCGTGCTCGACTCGGCAAGAGACTCCCCCAGATTACAAGCCTCTGCCGCTCAGATGGCCTTTTGCCTTTGTCGCGATTGTCGCCATGCTGCCCTTCATCGCGGCCCTGGAGACAGCCTGCTGTATGCTGCCGGCTGGAATCGACCGTGACCTGGTCCCTGGCTTGGATCCGAAAACATCAGCGCCAACAGCCCGGCGAGTACTGGCAGCCCATCTCACAGCATCATGACGAGGATGCCAGCTTCGAGACGCCAGTTCCAGAATGTGTCGACCCTTGAGTGAGAGGTTGTATTCCAATGGGGGAAGGCTTAATAAGGGCAAGTCAACCTTGCCCTTTCCATCCCTAAGTCCCCAAGTCTCAGATTCAAACCCGCAGTGGTGGCCAGGCACTGCCAGGTGAGCAGGCGGCTTCGAAACCTGACCTTCCCTCACTGTCATGGATACCTTACCTTGCCTAACTTGAAACAGCCCAAGATGCCCCCAAACAACAACACGATTTCCATCCTTCCTTCGTCATCATCCGATACTCATTAATGTCACGATCATCTTAAAGTCGGACAGCCAATCTACAAGTACAATCACCGAGAGCCTGTTAACGACGTTAGATTTGATTTGCCCAACGAAGAATCACCCGTTATCGACCCAGGGAATCACCATCCGCAGCCGGCAGGCACACCTAACGAAAGCTGCTTTCAAAGGAGTCCATGAGAGCGAGGAAGACGCAGGATGGCGGCCCACGGCCCAGGCGATCCTGGACGGGAATCCTATTCCTACCCGCTTGACATTCCGTTACCTTCCGCCACTACGATCACCGCCGCCCCACGGTCCGGGACGTCCTGGTCCACCGTCTCATGGCTGGATTCATGCGCCTCTCGACGGTGCATCCGAGCATCTTCGATGCATACTTGAATTCGACCGTAGCCGGCAAAGAGCAACCCAACATGCCTATTACAGGCTCTAAGGACTGGCACGACTACTCGCACTGGTCTGGATCCAGCAGGGGGGCTCGCAGGCTTCTGGAGGACCTCGAGGTGCTCGATCAAATGCTTTGCACCGACGCCACACCAAATTACTACACCCTAAAACGTAGCACCGTCATGCGCAAGGTACCGTCGAGGGGCCCTTGGCATGAGCAGCTGGTAAACGCCCAGAAGCCGACGTTCTCGATGGAGCCATTTGTACTCGGAGTCTGGCTGACAAATCTTGTCATGAGACACTACCTTGAGATCGACGACATAGCGTTGCGTTTTGGGGTATCTCGTGCTAGACTCCCTCGCCCCCTACAAGGTCCCGGGCCTGGTACCGCAGCACGGAGAAACCACCGACTCTGGAAGCGAAAGGCCTTCGAAGGACTCGGCAAACGGGCTCAGGAACGTAGCCACATGCATTGGGTGGCAGACCATCGGCCCGTCATGGAGAGTTGGAGCCGGAGGATGCCAAGACAGCCCAACTTTCTCTTTACAATGGCGGTGCTTCGTTGCCCACGCTGCGTCAGGCGGCGGACCTACATGCCTGGAGCACCCAAGGGGCCAGCCAGCCACTGCGTGCGAAGTACACACACTGGACGGTCGGCAGGGGAGAGTGCAGGAGAGCCTGAAGTCCCTCGCCTGCCCAGATGGCCGGGCGCCAGAGAATCCGCTTCAGTCGAGGAGTCAGAGTCCCATTCACAAGTCTCCCGGCATTTCCCGTTCTGCGGACAACCCCTCAGAAGCCACCTGGACCTGATTATCCGTCCAGAGATGAGCAGAGATAAACATCATTTCCGGGAAATGGTGCCAAACACAGGCGCCACGGGGGACCGAGATGCTGCCAGCGATGTCCGCGATCGAGGGCGCCAGCGGACAAAAGTTACGAGCGAGCCGCCGCCCGAGACGTATGCCATTTTCCGGGGTGTCTATGACGACTAGAGGGTGCAGCTCATTTACCACCGACGGATGACGCTGTCCCAACTCGTCCGGCGGACACGACCGCGCAGCCTCAGCCGGACACGCATCAAAGAGGTGTTCGACTGGAACACGGACTTGGACTTAACTCTCGCCTCCCTGCTCGACAGGCAGTCGGACCTACGAGGCCACACCCACCAACACTCCCTGCGCAAACTGCACCTCCCGATACCTACCGCACAGTCAAGTGCGCTGCCCCCTGCGGCCACTGCGGCGCGCCAGCCCAAACGACTCCCCGGACTCCTCACCAAAGGAATACCGATACCGCGCGTCCCACAAACCACACGTGCCACCCACGCACCACGTCCACCAAAACCCGCACCTCGCTCCGCAATGCCCCGTAGCCAAGCACAACCGGTGCAAGTGCGTCGCCTTCCCGACCTTCCACACGGTCCGGCAGTGCAGCGTCCCCTGCCGCGCCGCGTGCGGCAACCCCGCCAAACCGGGCACGTTCCGGCACCGCAACGCCATGACGTGCCGCGCGCGCTGCTGCATGTGCGGGCTGCGCGGGCACAGCGGGCGCGACTGCCGCGTGCGGACGTGCCGGTGCGGCGGAGGGGCGCATCTGGGGCAGGACTGCGACTGGAAGCCCGGGTGTTCGGTCGAGGGTTGCGATCGGTACCTGTGGGGGATCCACTGCCGCGCGTGCGGGAGCCCCGAGAGGCCGTTTGTTGGGTGGCGGTGCAGGAGGTGCTTGTTGGGGTCGTCCGACTCTGGTGGGAAGAAGCCACCACTACCATCCGCGGAGGAGGAGTTCAGGGATGACGGGAGAAAGGGAAGCGGAGGAGGCAGAGAAGGAGACTGACTGTCCCGGAGGAAGAGAAGGAGGAGGAAGGAAAGGGTGGGCTGGCAGAAAGTTCGGGGAGTCGTCAGGACGTCACGGCTGCAGAACCCAGCGTAGAAAGTCCCGCAAATGTGTCATTGCCAGCAGGGGAGGGGCAAGGAGTGGGAGAATCACAAGCGGACGTGTATCAAGGCGTCCAGAGCATCTTTGGCGATCCGCGCGCAGGGAGCTCGACGGGCAGATGATTGTCAAGCCTGCATACAGCAGATATGATATTGAGGAATGTGCAATCCGTGCAACAGCGTTGACTTTCCATCACGGCGCCGAAATCCATGCCAGAAGCAAAAGATACGAGTCCATCACTGGGTCAAGATTTGAAGCAGACAGTGTTGTTACCATAGGTAAATCGCCATAGTTCTGGGTACCTAATCTGGTTTTTTGACTCAACTGTTGGTCATCGCAGGGAGCCCGATCCGGCGGCAGAGTACCTGGCAAACTCCGTCCCAAATATATGTATGGCGAAGAACGGCCCTAACTCCCACCATCCAAAAACTCCATCGCGCAGACCCAATGCAGATATCCAGCAAGTACCAGCCACCAAGTGACATCCCAAAGCAATTCCAAGCACGGTATACACCCTCGCGTATTTCACCTCCCCAGTCCTCCAGGACAGCCAGACACGACTCCAACAAGCGAAACACAAATCCCAATCCTACACCAAGCAACACAAACGCGGAATAAGATCACTAGGGAAATCCAGCATCAATCGTCATCCTCCCACCCCCCACCGCCTATTCCCCCACCACCCCCATCCAAATAATCCATCTCCTCGCCTTCTTCGTCCAGTCCCCCATCCGTCATCTCCACCTCCACCCTCGTCCCCAGCGCTTCCCTCCCCTGGCGAATCATGCTCAGCAACCGCGCATTGAACGCGTCCACCCTGGCGTCGGCGTCCCGCTCTGCGGCAAGTCTCCTTTGCGCCAGCTGTCTGGCCTCGGCGTCTAGGCGGGGGCTGGTCGCCGTATTACCCTGCCATGTTGTCGTCGTCGAATTCGTCGTCGTCGTCGCCAGCAGCATGGCGCTCTGTCTGCGATTGGAGGTTACCGAGGAGGAGGACTGGTTGCGGCGGTGGTGGTGATGGTGGGCGGCGAGTTTGGTCGGGGAGGTCGGGCGGGTGCTGGACAGGCCTAGGCTTAGGCTGGAGCGGGTGTGGGTGTAGGATTGTCGGCTCGAGGGCCGGGAGGCGGTGGATTTGCGGGCTGATGTGGATGTTGTTGTTGTTACTGGGAGCGCGAATGGTTTCGAGTTGTAGCTGCTTTGAGGACTTGGCTGGATTGGGACGGGGATGCGGCTTGTGCGGGGTGAGGCGAGCGACGAGCGAGGGGAGGCAAAGCTCGCTGGCTCGCGGGGCGTGAGGTTTGGTGAGCCGATGTGGGAGATGCGTAGTGAAGGGCGGGCTCCTGCTCGTGAAAGGCTTGATGTCCCGCCCGTGAATCGTTGAGATGGCGCGGCGATGCGGCGGTGAGCGCTGGCAGATGTTTGAGAATAGTATCCTGACCGAGGCTTAGCTAATCCGCCGGGCCTAGCAGCAACCGCCTTGACTTCAGCAGCAAACCGCGTCGGCTGTGTGTTGCCGGGCTCGTCCACCACCACCCAATTTTTCAGCTCGTCATTGTTCGCGCTGACCTGCCGGCGTTTAGCCGCAGGTCGGGGGGTTGAGTCGGGGGAGCTGAGATCGTGTAATACAGGCGAATTAGGAGTCTGCGATATGGGATGGAAGTATGCCGGTGGCGATACTGGGGGAAAGTATGCCGGCAGTTCAGGATCCATGGGAGTGTCGTCGGCCAATGGACGAGATGCATCGGGCCCAGGAGGTGACGATGTGCCCGTGGTCTCGGTTACTATGGCCCCGTTCACATTATAACCTTGACCACCTCCAGCATGGAACCCCCGAAACGCCCCTTTTTTGCAGAACTCCCAGACCTTGCCCACCATGTCTCCTATTGTTTGTAGACTGAACAGGTTCCACCCTGTCAACATCGGCGCGCTTCTTGTTGCCGGTCCTCGCCAAGATTGGGAGTCAGGTTCAGGGTCGGATTTTGGACCTAATGCTCTCCTGTAGTCGACGTCCGAGTAGACACTGTCTTCCAGGAGGCCATTCTCTGCGCCCGCTGGAGGTCCTGCGGGCGTGCTAATCTGGCCCGCCAAGGTATACCGAAACTCCCGACTCCGCCCTTCGCCCCGAGCCTCAATCTCATCCATGTTCGCATTCCAATCCAGCGGCGTCGAGTCTTCCATCCTTGTCCGTTTCCGTTTCGCGGCGCCTGCGCTTTGTGCGGTTGACATGGAGATATCGGAGAACAGACTTCCAGTCGACTTGGCTAGGTTGTAGCTCGACGCTGACGGCGAAGCGGGTGGGCGGAAAACGTTGGCGTGGAGCGGCTGGCCGGATCTCGACGATGGGTCAAAAGTGAAACCCCCGGTGGGTTGGAATTGTGGTGCAAACGACATGATGCGCGGACCGGAGCTGGTGTCCGGACCTATCGGATGCCCGACTCAATTCGATGCCTGATGCGTCTCACGCAGCGCCAGCCAACTCGAGGCTAGAAGTCAGAGCAAGATTTCGTGGCCGGGGTCGCAGGTTGCGGTGGCTTTCGGGAACCGGGTTATGAGACGCGAGGCGCTGGTTGTGTGCCGAGTCTGCGAGGACCTCTTTTCTTTTGTTTTCTTCGAAGACTGCGAAGCACGGTTCTCGTTGCGCCAAAGGAGCGTGATCATGGAGCGGGGTGTCGGACACAGATGTTGAGGTGCAGCAACAGAGCTGCCACGGGCAACCAACCAGAGCCCGGCCGATAGTTACCCGGCTTGTATCGTCTTAGCAATTCGTAACGATGGCCTTGGATTGAGTTTCGAGCCACTACTGCGCCGTTCCAGGTTGCTTGAAAGTGGTTGCAACCTTGGGTCCGAGAAATCAAAGTCAACGAAGACCATGGATCGGCGCTTGTGCAGCCCCTAGGCGGAGCAACCAACTCTGTCGCAGCGGGAATGGAAGCAGACCTGGTTCTGTCGCTTTTTTGGACCGGAGCTGGATTTGAGAGGGTGGATTCGATGAGTCCGTCTCAGTCGGTATAAGACGAAGGACTGATGAATGTTGATGAAAGGTCACACGTCGTTCTTGCGACTGTGGCTCCACGTCAAAGTGGATGCTTCAACCTTTCTGGAAAATCGAGTGTGGACTGTGGAGACAGTGGCTGCAACTCTGTCCTCCGTACAGTGGTAGGGCGGTCTGCCAGAAGATTATTAAACCTGACCCTATCTTCGCAGCCGCAACATTTTCCTGAAAGGGCTCGGAAAACCTATCAGCATCAATGAGGTGTCTGTATGGTTGCCGTGGCAAAGGAAGCGTTGTTTTCTTCGGTTGGAGAATAACGTTTAACGGCAAGCTGCCAAGCAAGTCGGCACTTTCTGCAACGGACGCGATGTGGGAACCTCCACACTTCCCCAACTGCACGGCAGCGAGATGATAACGGGCGCTACGAAGTCCAGTGAGAGGACCAAATCAATAAGACAGGTTACACACGTAGAGGAGTCCAAATTGTGTCATTCGTCCCAGTTCGCATGACTAATTATGACATCATGCTCATCTGTGACTTCTAGAACCTTGCGGTATCGTCTCTCGCCAAACGAGCGCCAAATCCGTGAAACAAGCCGCACGCCCATACCCGGTCCCTCTATGGCAACCTCTGACATAAACGCCAATCAACCTGAAGTGTCCGAAGACGCGCGACATCTACTCCTTTCTGTAGTATGCATCCTGCATCGCTGCCTTTTCGGGTGCGACGCCGCCCTCCACACCCGCCTCGCCATGGACATGGGCCTGCCCGGCCCAGAACTCCTCGCGCTCCTTCATGATCTCCTCGGCCCACGCCTTCACCTCGTCCAGCACGATCTTGGTCTTGACGTAGGCGAACTCTCCCAGATCGAGCCGCCCCTTGCCGCGCTTCTCGTACTCCACCATCTGCAGGAGCAGTTCCATCTTGTCAATGTCGTGCACGAAGAGGCTGTCGAGCGTCTGCGAGTCTTCGTACTCCTGCCAAATGGCGCGGATCTCAGATCCGACCCTGCCACCGTCCACCTTGCCCAGCAACCGCTGTGTGATGTAGTCCATGGTCGAGGCCTCGCGCCGGCTCTTCTCGGGCTTGGTGACATCGTCGACGGGCGTGATGTCGCCGACGACTGACTCGGCCATGTCGTGGATCAGGCACATCTTCATGCACTTGGCCATGTCTAGCCGCGCTGCGAGAGCCGGCGGCGCGAGCATGCTCATCATGGACATCCGGTACATGTGGTCCGAGATGGACTCGCCCCTGCAACCCCCGGCGTCGTTAGCGACAGCGCCTGGTGAAGAGCGCAAAGCAGTGCCGAGGAAACCCACCGGTCGATCCCAAACCGCCGCCAACCCTCCCGCTTCGTCGTCTTCAGGCGCTCGAGAATGTGGAAGTACCCAATTGGCGAACTTGTCCCTTCTGCCGGTTTGCCTGTAGGGATCGTGTCGAGCACCTTATCCACCGTCCACGGACCGGTGATGGTCGGGTTCGGGTTAGGGACGACTCCCACATCCTGGTTGGGATCCCCCTTTTCGTTTGCTAGCCAGCTCGGTGACATGGTAGCTGCAGAGGTTGTTCTGGGCTGGCGCGGAGCGAGGGCTCGTTGCGATGCGGCGTGTTTAGAATGTCTGGACGTAAGCGGGAGGCGGTTGTTCTTGTTTTGCGTTGGGAAGAGGTGCAAACATTGAAGAATGAACAGTCAACAGACCGGCGAGGGGTCTTCATCAACAATGCCCCACAGGCTGAGCCAGGCAACGAACAGGGTTCTGGAACCAACAATCGAGCTCTGCTCGTGATTCGAGCGCGCTAGCAGGCCCGGCCCGGCAGTGGCCGGCTTGAGTGGTTGCAGCAGGTGATGTCATTCTGCAACCAAAACACCATCCAAATGCGAGCCCCGCAGATAACCCATCGTTTGTTTACTCTCCGACAACAGGGACAATGTCAGAGCTTGGTCTTTCGCATATCCAGCCTCACTTCCAGACATTGAGCACATGTCCGCTCCGATCCAACACAGCTCCAGCAAACTAAGAGACTCTCCGTGTTGCTTGAGGGTTAGGGTTTGTGATGCTCACTATAGCACGGCAACCTAGCCTGTATCTGTGTTGAACCTTGCTCTAGTAATAGGTATAGTACCGTACCGAGTACCTACCCTGTCCCTCAATGCAGATTGAGTGCTCCATGTCAAGTATAGAGTTCACAATCCTGCGTATCACCGTCTCTCGCACCCTCTCAAGAACAAACCGCACCCCTTCTCACTTCTCAAACCTTCACAGAAACGAACCAGGCTATGAAACCAACCACTCCCACAAATTCCGCGGCATCAAACTCACACCCGGCCTCCGTCTAAATGCCCCGTCACCCCGGTCCCAGATTTACAGACCGCCGCCGCCGCCTCTGCCGTCCTCTTATCCAACCCAGCCACTTGTCAGACTGAGACCAGTTGCCGTGCAGCTCCCGGCCCCGATGTACCTGCGTACCATGGATGGCATAGGCGATGTGGGCGATGGCACCGGACCGGTTTGGGATGAATCACCTTGCGGTGCACCTCCTCCTCGTCCTCTCGCCCGCCCTCTGCCACCGCAAGGTCCATGACTCCTCGGCTCGGACTGAAATCACTGCGGAGGCTTGCATCTGGAGGATTAGGCGCTGGAGGGCCTGGTTTCGGTGAGCTTGGGTGATAGAAGCTGGCGTGCTGTACTATGTGCTGTTTCGGCAAATGCTGCCCTTGATAAATCTGGACCACCGTGCTGCTGCTAATTCCAGAAAACGGCATGTTTGGTTAAGTGGTCGATGGCGTAACGTTAAGGTCGCCGCCACTCTTGACATCAAGAGTACAATTTCCACGGTGGGTGATGGTTCATGGCAATATTTCTGAGCACTTGTAGGGTCGCTTTCTAGTAGCGTGAGTGGCCACTACCGCGGACAGGCATGTCTGTAGCATCTCGTCTATGTTCTTGGGGTGGCCAAGACTGTCAACCTTTCCTTTTTTATTCATTTTCCTTTCCTGTGTCCGAAGCCATTTATTGTCAAGCATAAGGCTTAAGGCCAGGGGAATAGGGAAACGGCGCCCGCAGTGGCCGATCCACAAGTCCAGTCAGGGGAATTCTCGGATGGCTCTGGACGAGGGAAGGCAACTAGGTACAGAGACGAGTGCGCGGAATGTCGTGGCATAGGAATGTTACTACTCAGACAGCGTCCGCGCCATCCAGACCGGGAGTCGAGGGTCTGAACGCTGTCGGGTTATTGCTTATGTGCAACATGGGTGTTTGTTGAGTGCAGCTGATGGTACATACGATAAGGGCGGCAGACCCCTGCCCCTTGCAGCTGAGCCGCAGCCTCGTTTTCAGCTGCATGCATTAACGCGCCGCGGCCCCACCAAATCGTCGACCTGTCAACGTCAGACCATCTCTCACGCGTCAACGTTAAGAGCAGCTGCAGCGCCTGCCATGGCTGCTTGCGTGTTTGGTTCCCAGTTTGCAAACGTCAAGCTTCGGTCTCCCTCATGAGAGGCCCAACAACACGATGAAGCCCAAAACGGCGGCCCGTCGCCCACGAATCTTCCGCACACTCCTCTCGCGCTCGACTCTACTGAAAACCGTCCTGCTCTTCTTCATCTGGACAATAATTGAGGCGCATATCAGTTACTACCACATCGAACGCGCGGAAAGAGAAAGCAAAACACGCGCTGTCTTGACTAAACCGACGCGCGTCTTCATCGCGAGCCTCCACTGGAACAACGAGGAGGTCCTCCGATCCGACTGGAACAAGGGCGTGGTCGACCTGGTCAAGGCCCTGGGCCCGGAGAATGTCTTTGTCAGCGTCTATGAGAGCGGCAGCTGGGACGACTCTAAGGGTGCCCTGCGCGAGCTCGACCGTGAGCTCGAGAAGACGGGTGTTGGGAAGAAGATCGTCTTGGACGAGGAGACGCATGAAGACCTGATCGCTAAACCGACAAATGAAAAAGAGGGCTGGATTAATGTTCCTGCCTATGGAAGGAGGATGCCTAGAAGGATACCCTACCTCTCCAGGCTTCGGAATCTTTCGCTACAGCCACTACGGGAGCTTGCCATGAACGGGACCATGTTTGATCACGTCCTGTTCCTGGGTGATGTCGTGTTCACTGTAAAGCTGACCCATTTAATCTTCCCTCCCAAATTATTCGGCTGCTGACACAAACCCAGGTCCCGGACATCCTCGCCCTCCTCAACACCAACGACGGCCACTACGCGGCAGCCTGCTCGCTCGACTTCAGCAAACCGCCCTACTTCTACGACACATTCGCCCTCCGCGACATCCACGGCCACGAGCATGCCTCACAGACCTGGCCGTACTTCAGGGCGTCCCAGTCCCGCAGAGCCATGATTCACGCCCGACCGGTCCCCGTATCCAGCTGCTGGAACGGCATCGGTATGTTGCTTTCTCCTCCAGCCCCTTTTTTCCCTCCCGCCCCCACATCGCCAAGAACTGATAATGATGGAAATCCCTAGTCGCCATGCCTGCCACCACCTTCACCGGCATCCGCGGCCTCCAGTTCCGCGGCCTCCTGGACTCGCTCGCCGCCGCCCACCTCGAGGCCTCCGAGTGCTGCCTGGTGCACGCCGACAACCCAGGCTCGCGCACCAAGGGCGTCTTTGTCAACCCGACCGTGCGAGTCGGGTATAGCAGGGCGGCGTACGACGCCGTGCATGCTCCGGAGAACAGAGGAGGAGGAGGAGGTAGTTGGCTGACGCTGGGGGAAGTGTATTTTGGGTTGTGGAGGAATCGGATTGCGCGGTGGCTTACCACGCCGTGGTTTGAGGAGTGGGAAGTGAGACGGAGGATAGAAAGATGGGAAGAGGGTGGGGAGGGGAGGAGGGAGAAGGGCGGGTTTTGTGTGGTGGATGAGATGCAGATTGTGGTGCATAATGGGTGGAAGCATTTGTGATGGGGATATGGTTTGATACATAGAGTTTTGGGAATAGTTAGCCCATGTTGTCTTGAACTTTAGATATGAAATACCCTTTGTGATACGTTTGTTCTGGTCCGGTTTGGTGATGTCTGTGTTCCTTTCCGTCCGTGCAGGTCTTGCCGTGATCTGATGCCATCCATCATCGAGTGGACTGTGTGTATCGAGTGGACTGTGTGTATCGAGTGGACTGTGTGTATCGAGTGGACTGTGTG